CCTGTGCAGTGAAAATATGGTGATTTGTCATAGTCTGTCGATGGGTTCTGGTTGAAATTTTCCTTATCTTTATTGAAACAAAATCTCGATAGTATAACTCATTCTGAAACGAAATTCATGTCAGAGTTTGTTGAATAAATAGGCATACTTGTCAGGAAACGAGTACTGAACAAAGCGGGACTTCCCCGACTGGAGGGTGTTTTTTACGCTCTACTGACTACCAATCATATTCGTTGTACATATTCACATATCGGTACTTATGTTGTCAAATACCTATTGCTCAAATTTATGGAAATGTCCTCTTCAACGTGACGGCAGATTGTACAAGGTACAAGAAAATGCTTGTTAAGCTTATGCTACTAAAACACCATGTTCCAATGTCTTGTAAAATACCGAATGAGTGTGCATGACCTCTGCACCAATATTCTACATCCTGTATGGCATCGTACGTATCCATATACGGTGCTAATTGAAAACTGTTGTGTCATTTTGTTTGACAAGCAAAATTTACGCTAGCGTGACTATTTCCGTTCAATTGTATCATAAACAAAAATGGGTAAAATAGTCATTTCCTTTAGATACGCATTTCCTATGCTTTCATCACAAGCCAAACTGTATATAGGTAGAACAAAACTGTTTCATGAGTATCACAGATAAACACGAGATTACTGATCATTGTGCGATTATTGCAATTTATGGAACCTACTTTGATATGATAGATTTTTGAGACTCCGGCACATTCATTCCGAGATAACTGAATAACAAAAAGTTGAGTTTTGGGTTACAACTGGATAGCACGAGGCATCTGCCACTTAATACGTCAGCGAAATCGATCAAACCATGACTATACAATATTATTCGAACTGTCGCAACACCAACATGTTTTGGTCCCATTTGAATATTTCATCACATTTAAATATTTTAACACCCTTTGGGTATTTCCATCGGTGGAAAATAAATTGAATGTGTATCGTACTACGTGAAGATTTCACAATTTTTGATACTCAGCCAGTTTGTACGTTAAAAGTCGATAATCCACGCGGCAGTCTACTCTGAAGGTAAGTGAATTGAAGTTTCGTGATTCAGACCCACATGCTAGTTTCGGACATGTACTGTACTAGTTTATTAGCAAAATTGATCGATTCCAAAATATGGTTCGCGAATAAAAATATCAAAATTGTTTTGACGAACTGATGAACTGAACGAAAATCTACAAATGCCGTTAGATTTTTAGCACGTTCATTTTCGAGTTGGGCCACATTAGAAATCGAAAGAAAACTATTACGCAATTTTCTTCTCGGACTTAGGAGCCTCACTTGATCACTTAGGATTCATATAACGAAAACAAAACAAGACTTTCGGGTAAACAACTAACCATTATTCACTCAGACGGCTTGTCTAAACGACACGTACATTATGACGCAATATTAAGTTTGAAGTCGTAAACAACCAGAAGCGGGGAAAAGATTTTCACTAACTTGTCCGAAGAAGTTGGATTATGTTTGTGTTACGTAAGGAATTATAGTTACCTCAGCCGAGAATTGTCACGTGGTCAATGGAGAACATCAGCGGATCGGAAGTTGATGCATTACGTAATTGCCACTCGTCACAACCCGTTAGGACCGGAATTGCGTAGTTTCAATCACAACCAGATATGTTCTATCTGGTCAATGGTCATTTTCATCACGTGGTACAGAAGGCTTCCCGTGACGCTAAATGAAATTTTTAGCAAATTCCGCATGATTCAGCAAATATATTGTTTTACTAATGATCTTGAAATTAATCCCCCGATCTTCTTCCATAACAGATCATTTTGCTCCGTATCGAAGAAAAATCAAAATTATTTGGTACTATAAAACCTATTCAGTTTATGCTGTACATACGTGAAACCAGCGTACAGTTTGCTGTTCAGTAAGTGAGCTAAATACATTTGGTAAAAATTAACCATGGCCAAAATGTACGACTGAAAACTCTTGCACTAACTGGCACTATTTTATGTCCAAATACACCGGCAGTAAATGTACGTAGTAAATGATTAACAAATGCTGAACTTAGTAGTTGGTACAACCCCTACTCTATTCAACTATCATATTCATTAAAACTCGCAAACTAGAATTTAAAAGACCTTAGATTTATAATTATATGAATTCAAAGGTTATATATGAAGCACGTAATCCCAAGAAATATGGTTATCGTGAGAAAATAAGAGATCACACGGGAAAACAAACACAAGTAATGTATATAGTCAAGGTTAGATTTTTGAGTATCGAGAATTGCTTTTTAAATCTCATAGTCTCTTTTCGAAAAATAATATATATACTTGATCACCTTTGGACCATAGAATGACATCATAACATAGTTTATCACATGGGTTCGTTACACTTTAAGCGCGGCTGTTTTGATTCAAAGTAAGAGATATTTTGACCCGCCGTATGGAATTTCATACGTCAAATCGTTTGTGCTGAGAGCGTCTTGACGTAATTCGACGTCCACAATGCGGCTTTGCTCCTCGAGAGAAGAGCGGAAAGAAATATTTACGTTAAACCGGTTCTCTCGAATTTTCAGGAAATGTGATTGATGTTCCAAAAGAGCCACCAATGCGATTGGAAAAACATGTTGACGGTTTCTGCTAACCAAATGTTCCCCTTTCTCGAAATTTTACTTGAATGGCCTGTAATAACCCCTATGTGCCCTAACGTTCATTCGCGATTTATTCGCAAATTGCGAATAAAGAAATTTTAGAGATGAGCAAAATAATAAGTTAGACTTTGTTGATTACAGGTGGATTGTACAGTAACAGCGCACGGTCCCAAATGCCCGATGCCATTGAAGTTGTTTCATGGATCAAACGGTACAGTTCTTTTTAAATATTGAAATACGGCAATACTTTATTATAAGATGTCTGAGCTTTATTTCAAGTTTTAGATAACATTTAATCGACTTGTCAACCTATTTCTAAAGTCATTGGAAACTTACCAGGCGTGAAGTTGAGTTGCTCTTGACTCTGGTTTACTCAGCTGCTTAATTTGTGTTTGAGTGTACCGGCTCAGCACCCTATTAACAAAGTTTAATAATCTTGAGTCGGGACCGGAATCAAATGTGACAATATAAATATTGGTTCTTTCTTAAACCTAAATGGCACATTCGACTCCATAATTAAGATAAAATGTAAATTATACGCTGATGACATTTGTTTACGTTTTAAAATATTCTACGCATTTTTTTCGCATCAAAACTAAAATTTATCTGAATTGTATAATTTAACGATTCAACTTGTCAGAATCACGATGGAACTTGTATACCGTTTTGAACACGTTAATTTAAAATATGCAATGTGCATTATAGTCCATTTCTTATGCTGTTCTGCACAATGTAATTGGTATACATATATATATATTTTAAATAGACGTTTGGCATGCGCAAACATTGTCTATTTCTTAGAAGGCTCTGCATATTGGAATTGACATAGAATTCAAAATGTACACAGAACAAATGAAACGCGCATTTCAGTGTATGCGATATGCAGTGAATTTCGGAGTGCTTAAATTACATTTATTTCAGATATAGACTTATGAAATTGGTAATTCAAAACCGGACACAGACAAAGCCAAATGTTGTTATTTTTTGAATATTCGTTAGCTAAAATGTATTTGGAAAAAGAAATGAGAAAAAAACAAAAGGCTTCATCAGAAAAAAATTTCTACGATCAAATACGCTACGTTAATTTATTGCCCTTCTTCTAACACTGTTACTTTATTTCAATTGTTTTTATTTGAAATTGTGGATAATTTAACAATGCTCCTGTCGCGTCAATTATCCAATCGTGACACTGGAAAAAAATAAATAAAGTTTAAAAAATGCCCCTTCACAATAACAGTTGTGGTGAAAAGGACTCTAACTCCACATCAAGCCCATTTTAGGAAGATATTCTGCCCCGTGTAGGGGTCCGGAAAGTTTAAGTACCGGATCAAGTGGAACCTCCTACGCTCTTCAGTCGAGAGCAAATTCCTTTGGCTATAAAGTACATTAAGTGTGTACTCGGTTTCGTAATTTCGGAGTTTTTTGTTGAAATCCAAAAGGAAGGAACTAAAATGGCGGATTGCTCGATTTAATGTCCCGATTAATTTTAATATTTTCGGCCTTAACAAAATTTAAATAACATAAGGCATGAGATTACCTGAAAGTTGGGCATGCATTCATTCTTTAAATTTATCGAGACATTTGAATGTAAATATCGTGATATTTTGTTCTAAATCAAAAGTGCCGGTTCTAAAATATATATATATTTAACGGATATTCAAGTTTAGACAAATTATAAATTTAGATTAAAATAGCTTTTCCATCGCGCCTGATTATTATTCAAATCAACACCTTTACTTTTATAAGTTGGCTGCCTGCTTTCAATAAAAGTTGATATGATGTTTGAATATCATACGCTATGTATAATAGTACATATAATATATTAGTTTATATTTGTGTGTTGCCTGGTAATAAAGACTTGTAATTCGTCATTTCCCACTCCTAATAAATGTTTATCATCGACCCATACTTTAATATTAGCTATTAGTTAGAGACTGGGCGTGGCCTGTCTGACTTATGATGGTAAGGAGAGAATATTCCCAGTCTGAAACACTCGGTCATGTACTTCACTATACTTTGTAAGTATGAAATGAGCTTTAGTGTATAATTTTGCAATGTCGTAACTGTCTCAGAAGGGAGGAAAGATTATAAAATAGGACAATTAAAAATTTTACCATGTATTTGTATATATTTTTATTAACCATAAGACATCTCAGTTCCGAAAAGTGTTTTCAATACAAGACACATATTGCCAGCCACAGAATGATATTACGTCACCGTTTCAATATGTGCCTGCATCAATATACCGGTCTGTATAGTTTTCCGGCCCGACAGCCACAACTGCTCCATTTTTATAAACGGTTCACGCATGTAAAGTAGAACCGCCGCGCATGTGGATGGCACGCACGTTTCTGGATCAATTTCTGAATTATCACAGTTACAAGCCGGCTCAAAACGCAAAAAGATGTAAATCGATGTAGACAGCAATTTCATTTCGTATTAAGTTCTTGTGAATATATAACTATTGCCCAGAAAACGGCTGTGTATTATCAATCGTCCGATCAATATATTTTCTGTGACGTATTCTCAGAAAAATCACTTTGCTGCCAGCACAAACCGGGCATATTGTTTCCTATATTATTACAGGCGAAATACCGGCGCCATGGTGCTTAAAATAACATCGATTTGACAATTGACATATCGTTCCCAGCTTTATAACGTTGTTGGAATTGGATATAGTGTAACTAAAGATATACGGTATTAAGACATAAAAATGTATAAGTTTTTCAAACAAGCGACCTAGAGCGAACATGCGCTACTGTAACCAGTCGATTCTTTATGAAGATACCATCCGATAATAATCAAACAAAATTGTACCCTAAACCAAATCATTAATTTCGGCAGATGAAGCGGAAGGCTGATACGTTTAGACTTCTGTTTCATGAAGGTGTTTGTTGGGAGGTGTGCAGTTGGCGTATTGGCCCAGCGAATTGCCACTTTATTCAAATCAAACAGTGCTTATTTCGCGATCTGGGGTAATAAAATGAAAAGAAGTCCGTCTTTGACAGTCCATCTCAGAAGGGACAAGGCAAAACCAGCGACACCTGCCAGCTTTGGGGAGGTAATTCATGCTTTATGTGCCTATTACTATTCATATGATACCCAATATGGTCGCTTTGTATGGCTGGACTGGAATGTGCTAATTAGCTTTTGATGTGGCATATTTGAAAGGACATTATATGGCGCCAGTACAAGTTGTCATATTGTATTGTGTTTCATATTTTCATAATGGAATGTTTTTCATGGCATCTGACCCAGTGAATTAAGACTTTGTGTGTGGTTCTTATTCTAAATGAGGAAAGTGTATTTATTGTACTGTCATCATATTAATAACTTTTCCATTGTTTTAAGAGTATTGTGGATGTACTAAAGAATGCGGAAAACGTTGGTGGTGATGTGGACAATGAGATTTTTGTGGATTGCGAAATATCAGACAACGCCCTGGTGCTGACTGGATCACACCATGAGACCAACATTTCAAAGAAAATTTTATTAAGAGTAACTATTATTTAATGATTGTTTTGATGTCACCTGTTATGCCATTTGCCAAATAACCACACCTTACAACCCCAAATTTTTCATCTGATAATTAATTTATAGGTGGGATTCAAAGTTGTGGACAAAAACCTAACGAAACGTTACTGTACTGGTTATGACGTTCAGTTTGAAAATTTAATTTTTGATATTACGTCAGTATCTCTCTCTTGGCCCTCACACGCGGCGGTGTGGCTCAACGGGCTAAGCGTTAGGAATACGCTCGCCACCGCACCTCTAATTACTCTGCGTGGGTTCGCAGGTTCGAATCCCATGCAGGGATGGTTATGTGCGAGAGGATTGCTGGACTCCTCGCCGTCGTTGGGTGGTTCACGTAACCGCTGGTCGGTTACGGCTTCCTCCACCACCAAGTCCATGCTTCCGAAAAACAAACAATACAGTAAAAACTAATCCCATACCCGACTTGGAATGGTAACCGGACGAGAGGCCGTGGTTCGCCATATGGATAAGCCGTCTTATCGGCTTTCCTCTCCCCCGGGATAAATATGTAAATCCTATCCTATCCTATTTATATATATATTTGAGTCATCTTGACTGAAAGTTCTTCAGTATTTTTGTGATCGGAAATTTTTTACTCATTCTGGGTAATTTTATTTCACAACCGAGATCATTTTCCTCTGATCTATTCTTTACTGAAGTGGCTGTTGAATATATTGGTAATGTTTTGGATAAGTGTGTTTCATTTTATATAAGTCGAGATGTACTTACGTCTTGAGCCTTGACAATGGATGATGTAATGATACAACACTCAAGTGGACATGTGATCGCTTGGCCCTCATATTTCAAATCACTAGTATGTGGAAATAAGGGCTAACTCATTTTTCTAACTATCATCATCCAGAGACCTCCTTTTTGCCCAATCAAGTTTTTGTTTGAGGAACCTGGTTTGGAAGACTTGCCAGAAGATGTTAAAACAAGAGGAGTTCATGTTGGAGCTGCTGTTATCTTGGAGAGTTCTGACAACAGTGTTTTTATCACCAGAAGATCAAAAACAATGAGGACTTTTCCTCATGTGTGGGTACCTCCTGGAGGCCACGTGGACGAAGGAGAATCAATTTTTGAAGCAGGAATAAGGGAGGTAGAGGAAGAATCCGGAATCAAAATTGAAAATGGAAATTCCGGTTCTATTCTGGGGCTGTGGGAGGTGCGTTGAAATTTTCAATAATAACATTTTACTCTTCGTAAAATTTTAGGATTTTTTTTCGTTTATTTATTCACACTATTTATATGCATATGAAAATAAAAGTCATCTTATTTTTCAGTCATCATTTCCACCAATGCGACATTTGGGATTGCCGAAACGACATCATATTGTGGTGTATTTACATTTCAAGTTAAGTGAGACTGCTGCTAATATTAGCGAAAAGATTCAACTTGAGACCAAAGAAGTGGATGCATGCACGTGGTTATGTAGTTGTGTTGCCGAAGGCATCGTTTCTACTGATAAACAATTTGATTTTCCAAAACAAACTAATGTATATTTAAAACAATGCCATTCTTTTCCAAATTTGTGTGTGAAGCAAATGGATTATATTGATGGGATTTTGATTGGTGATAAAGGCGAGACACAAACAGGAAGAATTATCTCTACAACACCACTTTTCATGGATGTTGGAAAAAATGAAGATAATGAACGAGTCAGTACTGGGACTAAATATGCTTTAAAACTTTGGCTCGATTTATTGAAAAGCAGGAAGGGTTGATTACTGCACCATTCATAAATGTATAAATCTCCTATGCAGTTTTAATTTTAGTGCTTCAAAACGACGTGTTACAGTGTGAATATGAATGCCAGTGAATTTTGTTTCTATTATAACCATGATTTATTGCAAAGTTTTATCTGATTTTCGTAATTTACAGAATTTTATATTGCTGAAATACAGTTTACTCGTATAAAAAGTATTCAGATATTGATATCAGATTTGTATTTCATTTGAGCTTGTAGAAATGCAATATGAGTCGTTATTCTATAATTTTTGAATGAAAAATTGTTTGAAATGTTAATTGGCGCAACACTATGCTATTCCATTTCCACCAATCGATAAACTTTTCATTCATTAAAAGTTCTCAATAATTTTTTTAACGAAACATTTTATGTGAACACATGAAATTCATGTTTTTGAATACTTTGGTCACATTACAAATCTGGACACATAACTGGCATTTAATCTTGTCTGGTTTTCATTTTCACTGATTGATTATAATATTTAATTATTATTTAATAGGAGAATTAAAGCATAATAGCTTGGTAAGAAACACATGATATGCTTAAATTATTATATATCATTATAGCATATGATTTCAGTGTTCATGAACTCATTTTGAAATGAAAATCAAGTATGATTTGTGGTGCTCTAACAGCTAGGTTAATATTCAGCACATACGACTTATATATAATCAAGTACTCTGCTCAGTGTTTGAATGAATGCTTTCTCAAACGAGTGGTGGTATTTGATAATTTTTTATGAATTTTTACAAATTTTATATCCGTTCAACTATATCAAGTTGTAACGCCTGAAAATGTGTGACTTATCAGGCCACCAATGATTGTAGTCTGTATATCACAAGTATATTTCCAATATTTGTTAGACATTGTGTGACATATGGCCTAGTTATTTATCATATAACTAAATACCATTAACACTTAGTTGGTATGAAATTCTCTTGCCATGTTTGAACATATATGCTAGACATTTTTGCCAATTGGTTTACTCATTACAGAAGTACAGAGAATTTGTGACGTTCTCTATTAATAATTGATGACAAGTACTGTATTATTAGCTTGTATTGATCAGCCGACTGTACAGTACTGAAAAATTCTTGGTATTTTTAGGCAGCGGAACTGCTGTTTGTACTATAATTAAACAGTTCAAAACTCACTGTAATTGGAGAAACAGTTTTATTTTGATGCATTAAGATATTGGTGAATAAATTGAAGCCCACCCAAGTTCAATTATTTAATTCTCCCACGGTCTCGTGACCAAAAAGGGAGGTGTTTCAAGTTTTGTTTCACAATACCTCACTAGTGGTGTTAGCTAAAAGCTAGGATTTTGATGGAACATAGCTTCCAAGGTGTGCACCTCACGTCTTCAATTTTAGCAAGAATTGTCAAATCATAAATACTGTCTTGTTTTATGAATGAATATGGTTTTCACATCCATGTAAAAGTTATCTTTTTATATAATGCTGTTTATGATCAAATAAAACCATGTTTCATTGCAAGAGGTCTTGGTGTTTAACTTTGCCCATATAAAACCATACCACATACAAATATGCATGTATTACGCCTACCCATCACATGCAAGCAGTCATGAGGTCTGGTACACAGTAACTTATTCAGCAATTTCGCAGAAATGTGTGAATTGCTTGCCTAGCTATTAAATGTTATTCAAAGTCCAAATATGTATTTGCAGTATTGTGTGATCGGGCTATTACAGGATGATTTCTTCATCTGAGGGTTAATTGGATACACTGCAATACAGTTTACACAATGGTAAATGAACTACCGTCCCATTTGGCTTGCTTGCCTTTCACATCCAATTTCTATTTGATGGGCTTAAATAAAACATGAGCACCTAAAACTATCTTTTTTTCTGTTTCACTGTTTTCAGTGAGTCATGAAACTCTAAATAGTGTATTAGTATTTGTAGCTTTGATTCTGAATAAATATAGGCCATAATGAATTCCATCAGTTGTGGAAAGTCAATCCATGACGCTTTAATCAGGATTGAAAAGATTTGAATATGGTAAAAATACAGCAGTGCACACTCTATACATGCCTGAGGCAACCAAATTAATATGACGATACAATACAAGGAAGTCGTACTGAATTGTACGAGCCGTATCACGCACAAAATTTACCAACTGTGATGACTGTATCACATTTGTTCCATATAAGTATTCGATCAGTTTTATTTTAGAAACGGCGGGCACGTTCAGCCATACAAGGAAGTAGATTCATGCTATGCGCTATAAATGTAATGGTGTGCGTAACACTATGCATCACATACAGCCTATTTGTATAAATGGCCACTTTTGTTCACTGATCTTTCCTTCAAGGCTACCAAGTACATAAACTGAAAATCCCTGCTTAAAATTACACAACAAAAAAATTAGTGATTTTCGATTTTTATTTTTCATAAAACATCACCAGCGAAATATCCTTCAACGACACCAAGTATCAAAAAGTACGCTTGTCAAGTGTTGAGACTGAAACAAGATAGTGTCAGTTACAACCATAATACGATCCATTCAATTCACAATATTATCAATTACAACAATGCGATTACAGGTAACGGAAACTTCACTAAAACAACGAAAAATCACTGCATGCAATTAGGCAGGCTTGTAGTCTGTTTTTCAGATGTAAAAAGTAATAGTGCCTTGCTTTGTTGCACCATGATAAATCAAGCAGCTAGCTACATAGATGGGTTAAAAGAGCACAGGCCGCTGATAAATAACACAACAGTGAAATAATGTCAAATGAAATTTTATATGTACACTTGGGAAAAATGAAAATAAGTGCACTGTGTAAATCGAATTAGAAATTCTTTACTTACATGACCGGTTATAATCATTTGATCAACATTTTTGAAAGAATTTAAAAAACGATGCTAAAAGTAAATCGAAATAACCTTGTATATCCAAAGGCAGGTCAAATAAAAAAAGAATTTTCGAAATAAGTTATAATTTTCTAGTCAAATTTATAATCACAATTTTTACACTGAAATTGGTAAACATAAATTTTGATCAATAGCGATCATTCTCATTTTTACAGGTGTAGTATTTTCAGAATGCGGATCTTGAATTTTATACAAAGATGAAGTGTAGAGAACATCTTGCAGTCTGACAAGTGAACTTTGCGTATTATGGTATTCATTGATGAAATTTCACATTATACTGCGATTTGCGAACTTGCAAAAAAATAAATTGCAGAAAACACAGTATTATAAATGAACAATGAAACAATTGGAAATGCGCAAGTAAATATTTAGATGATCGATTTAAAATCATTCTTGGCCGAGCCGAGTTAAAATTACAAAGCCTGGCCAAAAATAAATTAACTTCCAACATCCAAATGAATATAAGTAGTATTATTCACTGTCTGCCGACGGCGAGAGACGCGATTGCACCTAATCCAAGTCCAGCATAAATGAGTCCTTTCCAAACTTTCTTTTCTTCTGACGCACCGTCATCGAAAAATTTGATGAAACCAGCCTGAAAATAAAATAAGATCGGTTAGGTTTTAGATCTTTAATAGGTATTTGAAATGTACTAAACAAAATGTGTAGTTTTATTGTTGTATAAAGTAGGGCGTTTAGTTTTATTGTGTATACAGAAGCGGTACAGAGATTTTAAAAGTCTTTTGAGCGTTACATTGTGAAGTCGGAAACAATGGGTCTTTCAAAATTGAAAGAAAAAAAAGCTTTTTGAATGAGGTTGAGTCACTATAGAAATATTTCGATTGGTTCCCGTGTTGTATCTGAACCACCTAGTTTCGTTATGCTGAGTGAACTAGAATATGCGACACCCACGGGGAAAACTATACATTGAATGGTAATTTATATATAAAATCATATCTATATTCATAAATTCCATTGGGGGATAGTTTGGTTATAATAGTTATTATGCTGTTTCAAGCCGTGTCATGGTCACAGCGTTAAAGTAAATCGTGATAAATGCAATGAGAAGTTACTAAAGAATTTATTCTCACCCATCCGCCGTTCTTTTCAATCCATGATTTTTTATGTGTTCCGACATATTTTCCAACAAAATCAATAATGTTTTCAATATCCTCACCACCCTCTTTTTCCATATTATTGAGGGCTAAAATTCCCCCTAATACAAAGAGGGATACAACTCTTCCCCAATTGTCTTGTCTATCTTTGGAAATTTCTTGAGCGATCATTAAAAATACACGCTGGTTATGAGTTAATCCGATATGCTCTGGATTTTTTGAAGGATTACTATAATGGAGACGTTTTGACATTGCATTTACAACAGTTTGATGTCTATCGACGAGTTCATCACCAACACGTCGAAGTGTTCTTGCTGCTTTACTCTTTGTAGATGATGGCGTAGGTTCAACTTTGTATTTGATATAATCTCTTGCCAATGATCGAGCCTCTGATTCAATGGTGATTGGTTCATCTATGTCATCAATTGGTGATGGCAGGTCACTTGCGCTTTGATTCTTTAAAATATCACAAAAAATATTTATTCTATCTATTCAAATTATTTATCATTTTATACCAAAGCACTAGTTGAAGCTTTATAGTCACGAAAAGATAGAAAATTCTGAACTTATAAATCTGAGAGCTTCATGCAGTCATATTTTCAAATTTTCTTCTAATAACAAAATATATCTTCCGATAGTCTTATGACAGTATGATGAAGTTGAATTATTTTTCAAGTCATTACATTTCAAGTCTGTAAATTTCAAACTTGCTTTCAGCAGTTCAGGCAGTCAGGTAAATTTTGAATAACATCAAGTTTTTACAAGCAGTCAGGCACCTGTTTTGTAGATATATAGAATTTTCATTTTTCAACATTAAAAAATTCACAAATCAGAAGTTTAAAGGCCTGCTTACACCGTAATTATATATATTTTTTAATGGTAAAATGAAAAGTGATCGCGGGACTTAATTTTTATTCTGTCCAAAAATGTAAAAAGATGGTCACTTACCATACTCGAATGAGGCGAAATCTTTAGTTGAGACATAGGTGACAGACATCGATGGTTCGATAGAAATATATTTCTGCCCATTCTGGGAAACATATCCCCGCCTGGTTTCTCTGTAGCAGCTGCCATTTCTAACCTGTACAACCGACGCGAAGTATCGAACAGAGACAGTAAACGATTGACGCCGATTCAAAAAGGCGTTCGCTTTCGCAACAGCAAACAAGAATATCGTAAGGACTAACAGCAAATATGCTCAAGGCAGGGCTGATTCATTATATTATAGTGCCGTCGATAATTTTTCTTCTCCTAATGTTTAATTTAAAGAAACACAAAACGCCGAAACCTTTCTATCTTTATTGTTTGTTTGAGAAGATAAAAACCATCCTTTGAAAAAAAAGAACCGAAAGGCTTGTTGACTTGTTAGCGCCACTGAGTGGATTATTCCATGACGTAATTCTCTCGTCGAGAACATTCCCTTTTTCTATTTTAAAAGATCTAGAAACGACTTTCTCTCATTCAATCACATGACCAATTTACGTCACGAAAAATTTGATGTTATGAAGATAAAACGCAGGATATTCACGTTATGTATTGTTCTGGATATAACACCCATTTCCAAAGTAACTTTTTAATCGACATGCTAGAAAGTAAGTTCATACACACAAAGTATTGTGGGATAATTTCATACCATCGCGAAAATTTTAAAATTCATTGGATGCAGAAAGTTAGGTTTGAATAACCTTGTCCATTAGGCATTAGTGATTGTAATTACTGGTGACCGTACATTTGAACCCATGTACATTTGAACCCATGCGTATATCCACGGGTTCAATCTATATGCGGGTGCTAAAACCCATGGGTTAGGGTTAGTATGGGTATAACTATCCGTGAAACAAAAAAAATTCCATAGGTGCAATAGCATACAGGTGCAATTGTCATGGGTTCAAATGTACGTGGGTTCAAATGTAATGGAACCGTAATTACTATGTTCGGTGTAAATTACCTTTTAAATAATATAGGTATAAGTTTATTTCGACTCCATAATCAGCATAACTAGGGATAAAATGATTAAAACGTACTAAACGTACAGAATATAAAATTGAAGGTTTTGCGAAGAAGAAGTGGTACGTGTTCACTCACCTAAAATTGTTAAATTATCTTACACACGCTCAAACGTATCGACCCCCTCCCCCCGCACACAACTATAAACGAATTAATATGTAAAAATGCGATAAACTTGTGGTAAATTACATATCGTAATATTCAAAAATAATATAATAAAAGTAAAAAACTATTTGCCACATCACATTAATATTTGTTTAATCGTTTCCACTGCCAAATTGATCGATTCTCTAATCGGGAGTGAACAGTGAAAATTTTTTTTTATTGAAAACATATCGCAAAGCTGATTGAAATTGGAGTCAAAAGTCAAATTGTTCAACCAAGATGCCAGAATTGGTTGCATGAAGAGGCGGCTAGACCACTTTATTCCCCAAATTAGAGCCAATCATTGCCAAATTTTAGTCCAGATTGTAATAAGCACTTAAAGCTGCCGGTAACAGTATCAGTTACTATAATTAAATACCTATTATTAAATACTTATGAATCTTGAGAATTTATCCAGGCGGGCGTTATCTCGAGTGTCTCGCTCAGATTCTTAAAATTGATCTAATAACCAAGACTCTTTTCGCCAAAACTAATCGATAACTATTCTCAAGAAGTTGAATAAAGTTAATATCCGACCTCTATATAGTTGTCTACATAAATTTGAATCGAATTGGATGAATTTTTAACATGTTGGCTCATTTAACAAATTTATTTTTACCGCGCAGCATTGAGTCCGACGATGTTGTAAGAGTTATAATAAATGCTGCTATTTTGTAAATTCAGTTTCACACTTTAACCAATATGGTATCATGTAGCAATACAATGGCACGTGAAAAGATCCGTACTCCATTATCATATTAGCACATCATGGATAGTCGGATTCTATATTTGTCTTATTCAAGGAGAAGATGGGTGCACATGGGTATCAACTAAAGAATTTTAGAATTTAGAATACACATTACATGTTATTAATTTGTCCGTATTTCCCGTTCCCGTTAATGAATGTAAATATATAAAAAACCTAATCGCTTGTTTTAGGCTTCATCGAATTTTCTCATGTCATTGTTTTATATTACGTTGTTGGGGACGTCTTATTGCTTTTATCATTACGTACATTAGATATGATCAGAATAAAAGCAATTTACTTATCATAACTATAGCTTATATAAAAATTTAAACCTATATTTTGTTATTTTCCTTAATATTTCAAGACTTGCTTTTTAGGCAATTTCACCTTAAAATATTTTGATTCATGCTTTTAATGAACACTATCTTATTTCATTTAGTATTGATTGGTAATATATACGTAACCCATAATTCAAAAACATTCAAGTTATAGGAAAAGATTGCTAATGACACCGCCAAATTAATTTTGCCGGGATAAATATGTAAACCCTACCCTATCAGAAATAGCCACTCAAAACAATACTTCACTCAAATTTAGCGTGTTGGAATAGTGGGTGAAATTTACATATTCCTCCACGGGGATAGGTAAGACGATAAGACGGCATAATTATACGACGAACCACGGCGTCTCATCCGGTTATCACTATCAATCCATGATCAGGTAGCCAGTTGTTTGTTTCAGATGTAGGAACTTGGCAGCCGAAAGTGTGGTCATACGATATAATTTGCAGTTTATTTGATTTTATGACAATTTTTCCTATTTCTTTTGTCTCAGGTATTTCTTAACACCGCTCTGCTGATGCCAACCTTCCACGGAGAGGGTGAGCGAACACGTATCAGTTCTTTTGACAACACTACGTGTTATACCTTACTTGGGATTTTGTTAGCTTTTCCCGATTCTGTAATCTTTATATTTAATTTTGTCAATTATTTTATCGTATTTTATGCTAATTATGGAGTCAAAATAAACTTCTACTTATGAAGCCATAAGTAGTACGCCCATCAGCTGATCGATGGTCCGCCTTTTCTTAATTTCACGAGTCGCCTAGGAGAATGACAACAAAGAATCGCAATACTGTACCAGGCACTAGCAGGCGGAATATATCACAGGTGTTTCACCAGGAACTACGTCATTAGGTATTGACAGTCTTTGAGGGCGGAGGTCTACTGTGGATTACATAACTAAAATTTGAAGTAAATAAGAAGAAAACACTTGCATAAAGTGACAAGCAATCATAAACGTTTCGTTTATCAAGGTATGTCGTATAATATTATTTTTTGATACTGGCTGTCTGGGTGGGTTTCTTTTTTGAATAGATCTACTTGTTACTGCTGTACTGTGTTAGGGAACTTGTTTTTACTAAATTAGTCACTGGTTAATAAATTTGTTGATGTACGGTACCGGTATTGATTTTGCCAAGTTTTAACCACAACCAATCATTTATAATTTTGTACATTCAGACATTTCTTGAGGTCTTGGTACCATATCCTTAGGTTTTTAGATTGGCACATACAGACATAATTAAACTGATATAGAGTTAGATAGAACTTATTTTGCTCATTACCAAGTCTCAGGGTAGTTTGACGAGACATAACAAAACCGTGAACAGAAGTCTTGATACCGGTATCGGTCCTAACTGCACAGCTACAAATGTAAGTCTAAATAAATCTAACCGATTAATTGAAAAGTTCCTCCCATACAATCATGCTTCTTATGTGTTATTCTTCAAATTAATATGGTTCTTTTATCATAGAATGGTTCATGAACGACTGAATACTTCTGGAGCTATTATCATGTCAGGAGAAGACACCACTCGTCCATCGACCACATCACCGAAAGCAACCAGAATCCACGAATCACAATCAGAGTCTGCGATGTTTCAGAAATGGATGGCTATTACAAAAAGCGCAAACGATTTACGAACAATGGGCGATTGTTGCGCAAGGCGACAGAGTTTGGGAAAAATCGCTGATACAACTGAACAAACTTTGCGAAAATCTATTTATAGAAGAAGTGACTCATTTCTTTTTATACCAGAAGGACAACCAGTACGAACTTGTACTCTATGTGAGGGGAGTCGAGTAGACTCTGATGACACAGGATTATGTTTTAATGATCCTCCTTCACCATCTCATTCTCACACACATTCAAAAAGAAAAAATACATGCTGAGATTTTAATACCTTCTACCTGTATTTATCATACAATGCCATTTTGCCTTGAATATGCTGTTTTTTTTATATGAAATAGACTTTGCAAGTTGTGTATTAATACCAAGAATTATGAAAAACTACGTCACACACAATACGGTATATCTACCATCCACTGTTACTGTATAAATCTAGTGTTGGTGATTTTTTTTCAGCTGTTCGTCTTTCAGTGGTCAGTGTGTGTTTGACTGATGCATGACCAAACCAAATACAGCTTGTGCATGTATATGACGTAATTATTTTTTGTTTTAAAATGCATTTTTTTTTTCATTTGACTTTGAAATGCCTTTCCATTTTCTTATGCATATTTTTTCTTCTGTCCATTTGAATTAAAAAATTTCAACATTTTATCATTGGTCAATTGTAAGTTGCCTGTAACACTAATCAGCTCTCTAGAAACTGCTATTTTGATTGGCATAGCCAATATACATGTGTGAATGAAAGCGCGAATTTTGTATATTATTTTTCATCTTTATTATTGCAAATTTTATTTGTACATGTCTGAATAGTGTTATTAAATACATGATGAAAATAATTGGTTGTGCACTCTTTTGTATAGATGATTTTGGAATTGTGTTTCAGGCTGTTAAGACTGAGTGGTAAAAACTCTGATCAGCCAGAGCCAGCAGCTGAAATATAACTGTGGCAAGACTTCCATCCAATAGGATTTACATATTTATCCCGGGGGTGAGAAAAGATGATAAGACGACTTAACCATGCATGGCCTTTCATTCAGTTACCAGTCCCATGTTGAGTATGGGGTTTGTCAGCCAGTTAATCGTTTTAGGAAGCATGGACTTGACTCAAAGCTACCGGTACATCTAATATCACGGAGTTGAAATTGGCACCCTGCAGCAACTCCAATAGAAACCGATGACCACACCACAGCATACATTTTGTGAGACATGCCCCCACCCTGGCGTCACCCATGCTTGCTTGTGCAGAGACTTGTTGAATGCTAACTTGCGGAAAGTAAAAAACGCATACTTTAATACCCATATTTTCCAAAAACTTTCTAGGTTTCCTGAAAAGTGTACATTGCTATCTATTGAGATAAAACTCCTCCATCTGTCAAGCAGACATTTGATTATTTTGCACTGATAGAGCATCATTTACAGTTTACACCACTGCTGATCACAAAAAAAAAACAATAACGATATCCATGATCTTATTCGATAAAAATATAGAATAAAAAAGCACGAATAAAATAGTAAAATTGTATAAGGAACACTGAAAGAAACGAGAGTAATAGGTTTAGACAGTCTAATAAAATTGCCTCAAAATATCAGTAATACAAAAAAGTTACATTAGGATATAGTACAGTGTACAGATGCTTGCAAGTATCTCTCTGGAATCTCACATATATTAATAGAATTTGAAGCACAGATTCCAATGACCAGATCAAATAATAGCGTTCGAATGGCTAATATTTTCATTGATACAATCATACTATATAGAAAAGGGGAGTGCAACCTGCAGCCTGCTGAGAAGTGCCAATTTTGTATGATGTGCGGCCTGTGAAACAAGTTTTTAATTTAGTTTAACCTGTCACGGGCGAGTAATTCCAATTTCTTTGTGTTGTAAAGCCTATATCTGAGTCTAATTCATTATCGATGACGTTACAATGCCCTAACAGCTAGCTTGTGCGAAGCGATCAACACATGTCATCAGACCAATAATGAAAATTTGTGACTGCTGCAAGTCTGCAACTACTAAAAAGCCTCTATAAAATAAAAGTACAGGCTTTACCCTTGCTACAGAGCAATGGATATCAAAAAATCAATATATTTTGTGTTAGCAACTACCGGTAGGTAATATTTGTGTACGTTGCAATCTGTGAAGCTGATGATACAACTTGTCTTGCATTACTAGCTCCAGTTTGATACGATTTTATATTTCGCACAGGTAAGACTACTAAACGATATGCAGAATGCTTGTTTGGCTACAATTTCATATTTGAAATGGAAGAAGCTAATCCGTTGCTAATATTCAAGATTTGTGACTTGAAACACTTGGAATTTCAGGAATTGGAATATAGTTTTGGGCCACCGTTGACCCACTTGGCTAGCAACTGATGTTTAGGGTCAGGCGAAGCTACAACACAATCCTGTGATGGTGAATATAGCAATTCGCCAGCACATAATCATCCAGAATCTTAAATGTTGCAGATGTATGCAAATGGTTCACTAATCACAATATCTGCCCTGATTTAAATTAAAGTGAAACTTCATACTCATTAAATGTTTCACTTGATCTTCAGACCAAATAGTTTTCTTGTTGCCATCATTTTTAGTTTGATTTTTTCCACGTCACTCTCCTCAGTTTCGGGGGTGTTGATTATTACGTTTTCTTCTTTCGGAGATAGAGCTGTACGTCTATAAAGACAAGGTGAAAATATTCAAATCACATTATTCATACAACAAATTTAAGATATGGTCATACATTGCCAAGCTAAAACAATACAGCTCATGTCAAAATATAGTCACAAGAAGATTTGAGGAAATTTTGGAATTTCCAGTTACACATACACTATGCTCATTCTAATACTGAAAAGTTAAAATAAGGGCTGACAATAGTAGTTTGTGTGACTATTTTAAATTGCATATCAAAAAAATCACAATCAGTCAGTTAAGTATTGGATTACTATTGGACATTAAGTGGATATACAGTATATATTGATTTAGTATTATGTTGTTCTTGGAATTCTCATTCTTATTGCTCTCCCACTACTGGACCAATTGCTTTGAAATTTGTGGTGTTTGGAGGTCGTTTTTGTTGTTTGTTAGGCTATTACTTTCATTTATTTCAAAAATCTTTGTGTGCCAGATGGCATTTGCTTTTTGTGTGAGTGGAGATCAAAATAAAAAGTCATCAAAAGTCATCAAAATAAAATAAAATTCGCCTTTCGGCGCTTCCGCAATCATCGTGATCTGGTGGCCAGTTGGAGTCGCAATGATTATGCTTCTGTATCGATACTGTGAAGGATTAGATAGATACCCCTATACCAATTTAATTAAAATATTTTTGTGGGCTCTATGGAATTCGTTTTTTGTGTGCAATGACCTCATCGAAATTAAAAATCTCGCACTGTGTGGTCGCCTTCATTGTTGTCAGGTGATCGTGATTGAATAGTCGTGGAGATTGTGGTACTGTACTGTGACAGATTGCATACCTGTACCACCTTGTTAACTAAGCTATGCAAAGCAGTGTACAAGTAGCCCATATTACATACAAGCTATGGATAACACTTTCAATTGAAAATCCCAAAAAAATTTTTAATAAACAACAGACAATGAAAAATCAAATTGCTGAAAAATATTATTATCAAAAATATCAAATTAAAATATTTGTTTTTCATATAAATAAAGCCTAGTGCAGTATCCCAAGCTTCTGGTGTGCCTTAGATAGAAACAATTAACAAAAATACCTTTTTGTTGCAGGCTGATTGATTGTTTTCGTAAAAAGTGAAGTGATTTTTGGTTGATTTTTTAACTTCTCTGTCATTGGTGACTTTTTAGGTTTCTTGTGCTTCATTGATTCTTTTTTTCGAAGCCCACTTGCCTTTGCACTTCCAAAATACTTGGATCTGACTGAATAATAAAATTATTGAGATAGATATAGTGATGTATATGACAAGGGCATTGAATATTGAATGAACATGTTACGTCAAAATTATTCTCAGATGGATAGTTGTGAAGTGTGCATATTTTAGACATAGGTAACTAGACTGGTGTTTTATAAATGATACTATTTTCAGAGAATCTCATGTATTGTTATCAAATAGAAACCAATAATTTACATTTGAAAAAATCGTTCGAATTACAGAAAATAGAAAAGATACAGTTTTGAAAATTGAACATTTTTACATACAATAATCATTAATAGTATTATTGCCTTATTGGTATATAATATTACTAACAATAATATAAACAAAAATAACATTTTTCATAACTGAACATATCTAGTAATGAGCAAAGTTTACCTAAACCTGATGAAGGCTGTGGCGGTGTCTTTCTATTCAGACCTACCGTTCTCTGTAAATAAATATCAGATTTAATAAATAAGAGAAACACAGTAGATGCAGTCCTAACCACTTTCAGTGCTACATTTCATTAATGTTGTCAATAGTACGATATAATAAAAAATAAAATATTTTATCATGTAATCACCATAATATACCATGAAAACTTTTTATATGACTTTGTTTTACAGATTCTTCCTAACTTGCAATGTGGTTGCTGGTTGAAGCCTAATAAACAAGCGAACAAGAAGAAATAAAAACTTGTCAGAAAATTAGTTTGGCGGAATACAATATCGAAGAAAAAGCCAGAAAACAAACATACATCGTCTACTTTTGAGTATGACACTGACAGCCAAATTGCGCTATCCCTTTTAAGATATAATTGATTCATTTTAGAGTTTTCACCTAGACTTGCACAAGGCTTATTAAAGCTTGGGGCTGACTGCGTTCACATAGGTTGTAGTGGTGGCCTGAGGACATCCATAACTGTACTAATGAACTTACTTGACGTTTCTTCGGCATATTGAGAGTGTCATCAATATAAGGTATATTTTCTTCATCCGACGATAAAACAATAGGTTCTGATAATTGTTGAGGTAAAGTAGTTACAGAGGTTGAATTTTTCCCATTTAATATATTTTCATTCTCGTATTTTTCAATTGAAATGAAATCCTCATATGATACATCCTCTGGTGATAATTTTTTTAACGACACAATCAATTTTTGTGGCGTTAATTGCAATTTCAATTTTTCTATATCTTTTGGTTTTCCTGTTCCTTTTTCGGAATTTTTATGAATTTCGGATTTTGTAAAAACGGGATCGTCTATGAGAGGTATATCTTCATTTGTTTCGTTCATATTTAACTCAGATTCAAAATTATCCTTTTCATTTCCTGATGTTCGGAGATACAAGATTTTATCCATATTGTTATTTTCATGGCTAGCTTCTTGGCTTTCTACCTTATTTGAAGAAAATATCTCCTGTACCTCAACCGAAATACAATCTGTGATCGAAATAAGAACTCGTATTAGTTTAGAATGGCTAAAAAAATCGGCTCTTGTGTCAATGAAATAATTAAAATTATTGAAAATCAATTAACAAGTAAATTTACAATGCCAAGGGGCAGTAAATCTTCCAGCTTAGAATAGATTCATAATACTCTCAAATAAGCAGTCGCCAACGTCGTAGAAAATCAGTCGCAATCATACGACTGTTTGAGTAACAGTGACAACTGACTGAAGTTCAAATAAATAGAGAGGACTATTAGAATAACTGTAACTGAGGATATTCAAATGAAGCCAGCGATGACCAGTTTTTCACTTTAGATGTATGAACTTTATTTGAGTTGTAGTATAAGATGAAATATATAAATAGAACGAAAAAGTGCTATATAAACAAGTTACAATACAGTATATATTATTACAAATGAATTTTCCGATCATACCTTCATTGTTAATTTCAACCTCCATTTTATGAGGTTGTATCACTTTTCTTTTAAACCTTTTTAAACAAGCAGGAGTACCGCGAGGTGAAGTTGATGCTTTCCTTTTGTTGTAAATAGAAAACTCTGACTTTATTTTATCTGAACCATCAGTCAATACAGCGAATGGATTTTTTCGTTTTAAAGGCGTTACAGATGTGCTTTCTGAATAAAAAAGTATTAATCATTTATTGAGAGATAAGAGCACTATTTTCGAATGAAAATATTCATAATTATTGCTAAAATTAATTTATTGTATTCCAAATAGATATAATTATAATATGCAATTCATGAGTCCTGCTGCACACTAACACAAATATATTTCTGTAACGTTTCGTCTGACCGAAATAACATTCAGACAAGCAGTTTACAACAAAGACAAGGACAAAGAGGGACCGGCATTGTTGTAAACTGCTTGTCTGAGGAAGTCTGATTTTGGTCAGACAAAACGGTACTGAAATCTATTTGTGTTAGTGAGCAGCAGGACTTTTGAATTGCATGTTATGAAATTTTTATTCCTGCTACAGTAACCTTTCATTATACGCATACAGATCCACTAGCGCAGCGCAAAGGCATTGAGAAAGGATTGGGAGTTCGTCTCCCGTAACCTTTACTGATAGATATAATTATATATTCAATCTCACCCCATTGAGAGTTTCTCAAATATAGTGTAAATTGCTTTGAATATGACCATAAAATCGACTAAGTAGCTTTTTTAACTTTAGTGGTCGACTGTAACTTCACTCAGAAATCAATCTCATATATTTCTGAGTGTGTGTGCGAGCAAATTTCTTAATAAAAATTTTATACTCACTCTCAACTTTTCTTGGCAATAATGGAGATCTGAGATCATTTTGCTTTTGATATTCTTGTAATTTTTCCAGCAAATATTTCTGCTTCTTTGGTGACTTGATTGAATGTATGGATAACTGTTTTGTTGGTGATGATTTTCTTTCTACTTTGACTTTTGTTTCAATTTCTTGTAAAATTTCATTAAGTGTTCCATCATCTGATAGAGTAGGTTGAGGTATAATGCTGCCATTTGATGTCTCTGGGGTTTCTAAAGTTAAGAGATCATTTTTTCTGCCTAACCAATGTAATAAAACCATGCTAGAGGTGTAGATGTAGGGTACAGGCAATTGGCTATATCAAGGGTTCTCAAACTTTAATTATCAATGCCCCCCTTACAAAGACACTCTGCTTTTCTATAAAAATACGAGTTTCTATCAGTTATTTTATGCAACACATTAAGTAATAAATACGGTGAATAAAAGAATCACAGTTAAAAATTTATATAGTTCACAGCCAGTTTACTTCAAATTAATGTAATCAACGCAAAAGGAATTAGTTAAGGCTTTTGCTCGTTGCACTCAGATATCCACTCCATGGCATCTTAAGGGGGCCAGTTAAAGAAACCTTAAGCTGGACAAACCAGACCAGCGTTTTACTAATTGAGTCAAACTAAATTGAGGACTAATTATACAATCACCTAACCCAGAGTGGTCCCCTTGCGTACCGCAGTTGAGAAAATCCAAAAGTGATCGAAATACTGCAAGTTTTGTTACTTTAAATATATTAAAAAATGAGTTTACTGTTCAAATCAGCCTATTGTTATATAGCATGGGTGACGTTTTTTTTGCTCAACAAAGTTACCCTTCATTTTCTTTTCCTTTTCCGATCCGCGTGACAGGGTTTGTATGACCCTGACCTAACCCATAAAATAGTTGAGTGTAAACAAAAATAAATTACCATCGACATGAGTAATTGTTGAGGAGTGATCGTCACTGTCTTCAATAAATGAAGGATTGTTATCGGCAGCAGCAAAAAATCTAAAATGTACAAGTTGAGTTGGTTGTGAATTTTCCACAATGTAATGTCACTCAATTTTTTTATTGATATCAAAGCTTGATTCAAAGGATCGAATTCTCTGTTCGTCTTTACTCTTAAGTTAGGAGTCAGAATTTCCGACATTATAATTGTGATAATCAAACTAAAAATTTTAAACAGAAACATGCATTGGGTTCTATACATTCCCAATAAACAACTGAAAGACTCGCATGCTCCACAATTTTTGTTATCTGATTCTGGTTTATTAATACTGGTAGTATTAAGCCAGAATCAAGTTCTAAATTTTTGTCAACTCTGCGTTTTTGATCGGCTCGTAGTTTTAAATTGAATATAAATTTTCCCATATTTCCGTAATCCCTGCTTAGTACACAACGACCGAAATTTCAAGAAATATTTGGTTAGTAACATTACATAAATACAAACCTGCTTTTCACAATGCAATTTGAAGAAATTTGTTTGTTATTCTGTGTCATCCTTAGTCGCGATAACTTTCCTGATGCCGATGATTTTGAAGGCACAATGGTAGATTTTGAGGTTTTATACATTTCTAGCAATTCTGTTTGATCTGCACTTATTTTATCTTGATTATCTGAAAATGTAGTAAAAATGAAACAATATTGAAAAGTAAAATTATTTTTTTGTACAAAACATTAAAAAAAACGGGATTTTGAAAATGAAATAACTAATGTATAAAATTTCACGATTAAAATTTAAAATAAATTTGGTAATTAATTAATCATTAGATTGAATAATGCTGTTTTTTCATGTTGAATTAACATGAATTTATAATGCAGAAAACATTTCTATACCAATTAAATATGTGAATGTTGGCCTACATATCATCATAGGGCACAAAACTGCTCTATATAACATTCACAGTATTCTATAATATGGTAATAATGTTAAAGGAATATGAAGATCAATTTTAGATTGGAAAACTGATGAAAGTCTGTTTCAAAAGTATTCTAAGATGATTTATCGGTACTCCCATAGTGTGTGTACCAGGTTGGGGTTGGGGCATAATTTATGATTTTCCTTATTTTAGTTCTATTACGACTTATGAGTTACGAGTTCGGGGAATGTCTGTGTATGAACCCCCTGCCCATAGGTTTCAGTCCCTTTACACAACTTGATGTAGGGTAGGCGAACATAATTAGTTACTTCCATATTGGTACACATACTTCGGGAGCGCCAAATTATCAATGTAATGTCATACCCTTTGTTTCTTTTTTCATAATTTTGTCCTCTTTTTCATGATCATCCTCCTCATACTGAGTGAGTACTTCTTTGAGTGCATCATTTTCTCCCAGCAATTCTTCTTGCTTTTTAGACTGTTAATATGGGATAGTAATGAAATAATTTATGAAACATCTTGGAAATAAATAGTTACAAAGTCAACCAAAACATTTTGAAATTTGGTAGAAATGATTTTAGAAAATCACAACCATATAAGATAGGCTAAAACAAGGTTTCGTACACCAGAAAATAAAAAAAATATAGAAATGCCGTTAAAAACCGTACGCATTAGGACTTGTCATATCCTGACCATAGACTTGGTGGATGTTCCGTTATTTTAGCGCATAGTTTTGATTGTGTGGAACGCACTATAATTGAAGTGCTGATTACACGCCATAGCTTCAAAAATTCGTTTGTATTATTAGGTACAAAAAAGTTCCTAAACTCCACAAGACGGTTAACGTTACCACAGGCTTCCTCCATCATCAAAGTTCATATAAGCTTAGATTAACTATTCCCATACGCAGACTCCGCTGGTAGAGCTAGACAAGAGGGCGTTTTTTAATATCTACTACCCTTTTCTTGGCATAAGCCTCGAGATTTTTGAATTGCAAGGTATACTGTGTTATAATAACATGCTAAAATCATGTTAGGGGGGCGCAATCACGAGGGGGGCATAGACAAATTTTTGAGGTGGCATGGAGCCAATTAAAAACATTTGACAGATTTGATGTTGTCGCCCTATTTTGGATATCTACATTTCTTCATTTTGGAATATTTACGCTCCATCGTGTATTTTCAACATGTTTTTGAGTAATAATACTACTTTCCCCATGCTATCTGTTATTTGTAGCTTATTGTTAGCTAGTTATTTTTGAGATGGGGTGCGAGACTTGACAAATTCCAAAACGGGGGCGCGGCTTAAAAAGTTAGAGAACCACTGTGCTAAAACGAGGCCATCACAGATTCATTGGTAGTATGACAGTAAATATCTCACCTTGCTTGAGTAGAGAAACCTCTTCATATCAATGGTTGCTTCCTTCCCTCTCAAAGATACTTTTGCTGGTTGCTTGGCTTTCTCTCTTTTACTATTGACAGCAATAGAATCAGTATGCTTATTATTGCTGAAAAAATCTTTCTGCCAGATGCTAGATCTTCTCATAACACTTTCACCATTCCAACTTTTGCTTTTCTACAAATGGAAAATATTTTTATCATTGATAAATACCTGTTCTGCGTGTTCAAACACAAAAATGTTGACTAAACCTCCAGACCAGATTGACCAAAATCAATATAAGCTATCATTTTGCAAATATGGAATCAATTTTAACTGAAACATTTGAATTTTGTGAAAGCTAAGGTTAATGATAGTCAAGATCACAAGTTCAAGATCAGGCTCTACATCCACATAGCGTACAATGAATTCAGGCAGCATTGCAGAACCTATGGAAATTCTTTTTTTTTCAACATTACTAGCTTCATATATACCAGCGACTTATCAGTATGCATGAGATGACATTGTTAAAAAAATATGTTGTTATACTTATTCAAGGTTTTTCACACTTCAAATACAAATAGGGTTCTAAACAAGAAGTCACTGATTATTTTCGAACAGACTGAAATTTCTGTTTTCAAACACTACACAGTGTGAAATGGTGGAACAGGAGTTGAATTCGAGATCTTAAACTTTGAGTAAATAATAATCAGGAATAAAGGTTATGAAAACAACAATATTATCACATTATTTATTTGTGTCTTGACTACTTTCTATACGGAGTTACTTACCATCCACGTATCTACATTAAAATCTCCAATACGTTTTCCATTGTTAATATCAATATTTCCCCAAGCTATATTGACTGCATGGTCATGTGACATCATACTGAGTAATCATTGAGTTAAAGAATTTATTCTTCAGCAATTTTTCTAGCCTTTCACTATAAACAAGGCTCTATACAAGTTTCTCTGAAGTAATGAGATACAATGTTTTTGAAAGGGGCCTGATTTCGTCTGGTTTAACATTCGCCTACCCAATTTAATGCAACAGGGGTGAGGTGGCGACATGGCATAATTTTTTGTGAAATAAATGTTATTTGATAATTTATTATTTTATTTAATATTTTACAAAAGGGCCACTGTATTATAAGGCCCACTGTCAATAAATTTGTTAGAGTGGATTTTTATTCATACATAAGGCGCGTTGGAGCTACAAGACACAATGGTTTTCGAAGCAATACCGTACTAATTTTGGGTGTAGGCAATGAAGCACTATCTGATCCATACTTTAGGCTTATAGGGCACACAACCGAGTTTGTGAAAAAAAATTCAAAGTGCATCTTATGGTCCGTAAAATACTGTAATTTACCCTTTTATAGGCTTTCATATCATGCATAATGGTTAAAACGAAAGGATACGGTCCAGCATATTGTAAATCTTCCTGCTGTATGTCAGGTGTATAATCATTGAGAGGAACAATTTTGCGATGTTTTGGATCAACAACGAGTTGGTACAAAAATGTTTTATCTGCTCTTTCAAATCCAATTGCATATTCTGGTTCCACTGGTGCCAAACCTTTGATATATTGGTGCAGTTTACGAACAGTCTAGATTAAAGTTTTATAAATTTGCAAGTAGAGAAATAATAGAAAATAATAATCAACATAACATATGATATAACTGTAAACATATTTAGTTTTTAAGACAGTTGGACGCCCTGTTGTTACCAGAGATATCCAAAAGAATTGAATATTGAAATCAATTCAAATTAATTACATACGATACAATATTCGAAAATTTAGGAATATTTTATTCTAGATTCATTTAAAAGATGATGGGCGCAATGTTCTAGCAGTTAATAAAGTATCAGTCCAGGTCAGAGCTTATAGGGAGTAAAAAGGTTGACATTGCCTTTATTATTTAGGCCTACATATTTACAAACTTTAAAAATCATGAGGTACTCATTAACGATCATAAAATTGTGTTTTATTAAAAGGCAACATTTATTTTCGTGCAAGTGCGCGGTAATTTTTTCCTGATAATTTGGCGCCACGTGTCATATAAAAGTGAGCTTCTGAAATCTTGGGCCCACAGGGCTATATAGACAGTAAGAAATGTATGTTATGGTAATTAAAAAAACACCAACTTGATAAATATCTTTGTTCTTTGCTAGTTTCAGAGCTTTGCAAGATTTTGCTAATCCAATTCCTTTAATACTTGGTAGGTAATCACAACCAGACAGAATACACATATGTCTGAATGTTTCGATTGTAAAACCTGGAAGAAAAAACAATTAGGAAATTAATAGCAGACGATAACTCCTTATTCTTGCATCTACCAATGAGAATTTCGATCAAAAATAATAGAATGATAGAATGAACAAGATGGAATCTGGGATTTTTAAAACAGAATAATTTACCATTCGAATACATTCTCTCAAAAACATTTCGAAATAAATATTTTCTGATTGATTTTGTATTTATAGAAGTGTCCAATAAAGTCTATTATTGCGCGAACACCACACCAGATATCAACTGCTTAAAAAGACAAATTTTTAAATGAGACTATTCTAAATTATTCATATATGCTAGAATTTATAATATTGAATATAGCTAATTTTGATTTGATTCAAATATTCTATCAATTTTGTCTCACATAGGCGCTAGTATTTATTTGAGTATTTTAAAAGTTTTAAAATATGTTGCACTGCTTTTCCCTATTATGTTTTAAAATGAAGTTAAGGTCACAAAAATATAGATTGAAGATACCTTGAAGATTTTTGACCAACTCTAATTTATCTAATGATACTTCTTGTGCTCTACCAGTCAAATCCATCTTTAATATGACCTACAAAACAATGGTTATATAGTATATATTATAGTAGATATAGTATTTCTACCGTAAATATTTGTGGGATATCACTGAACATATTATCCTTGAATTAGTTCAGTTAGGTAATCAAAATCATGATATCTATCAATAATGGGGAAGTGGTTACAATTGTGAAAAAAGTTTTGTTTTCTTGACTAAAATTTTTAAACGTATTTTTAATAAATATATACTGTCAATTAAACCGCTAGCAATATTGAAAACATATTCAAACCTTCTCACAACCAAAACACAACAAATCCGAATCTTCTGTTACAACAGCTTGAGCGTAACCTTGTTTTAAAAGATATGCAAGTTGTGCGTCTGCTTCATAAGGTGCAACTATACAGTCTATTCCTCGTTCTCTCGCAACCTGAGAAAGAAAAAAAATGTAGACTTTGTTTCCGGGTTGTTAAAATTTAGACTTTCACTCCAGCTTTCAACTCTGAATCAAACTTCGAAAGCAAAACCTTTTTTACGACAAAATGCAAGCAATTTCTATTCAGTAAAATCTAAAATAATTATGATTTTTGACAAAATTAACAAATTTTACAGAAGAAAACATTAATTTTGTTAATCTAAATAATCTTTAAATAGCAATTTAATGTCAACTAAATTGTTTGGATACTAGTAGATGAAATTGGTATGTATAATTTGATAGCAAATAGTTTCATAAACTTACAAACCAAGTTCCCTGTAACCCTCACCTTAACAGTATTATAAAAAATAGGAACCCATAAAGAAGTATAATTTCAGGTGCACAAAGAAATTTTCTCGGTAAATAACAAACAGAGAATTTTCAAACATTCATTTAAACCAGGGAGGGCTGTGAGGACGAAAAAATTTACTTCCTACCCCGACTTAAAGTCATTTATTTTGAGGCCAAAATGTAAAAATCTTGGAAATGGTTTTCACAATAAACTATATAAATCTTCATAGTCTTCTTCAATATCTATGAATATCACATCGATTATAGTATAAAAAAATGTCAGTTAATAAAAATTATGTCTGAATTACCTTCATAACTGAAAGTGCCATTTGAGGAGTAACACTGACGCATTTTGTAAATGCATCTCTTGCTTCACTCAGTCTTCCTTCTCTTAAAAACTGCTTTCCTTTTTGCATATAAAGTTCCCGACGCCTGAAAATTGAAAATATTTTATTCAGCATTAAACAGTATCAGTGCCAACCAACAACTGGTATGCTTTTAGTAGGCTTACAATTTTAATTCAAATAATTCAAATTCAAAAACAAAATCTTTTGCGATAATCAGTAATCAGTAATTTATTTTTTCACCATTCTAAAGCACACAATGTGAATACACAATACAAGAAATAGGAAATATGGTACTTTAGGGCGAAGGGAGGCGCGAGACACCAAGACTGGTGATCGAGCAGCGACACCCATGTCGATACGTAATCATTGAGGTGTAAACACATATAAAATGGCTTAACCATATTGCAAACTTTGACCTCTTCTTACACTTCGTTTAATTCTAGATCAACCTATTTTCCATTTCCAAAACTACAGATGCATGCACATAGAAAATATCAAAATAGGGAATTTTGAATACTAACTCTCTTCTCTGTTTTTCGACTTCTTTCTTCGAGGGGAGGTGACAACCGTCAAATACGAGAATCGGCCGAACGTTATACGATTCCAACATATCAACAAATTTCATGCAATACTTCACATATCTGCGTAAAGAAGTGAAAATGGAAAAAAGTGAATTGACAAAAATTTCAAACAGTAATACAAATGAAGTGGTGATGTTTTTAAATATTTCCCTCCTATATCTGCCTATATAGGAGGAAAATCTTGAATCAAAACATATCGGATTCTTTATCTATAAACAAATACAATAAAGTATATACGATGTGAATATTAGAAATTAGAGTTTTATTGTATATATAGATATATATATATCTTTAAACATGAAGATTTATCTCGAAGGAAAATTTCAACAATTCATGATTTTAACTATCAGTAGAGTTAGGTGAGACGTAACTCCCAATCCTTCGTCAATGTCTTTGCGCTAGTGGATAAGTATGCTTATAATGCAAGAATGCTGTAGCAGGAATAAACATACCATACTATGCAATTCAAGTCTTGCTGCACACTAATTAGACAGATACAAATGTATTTATGTGTAATGCTCCGTCTGACCAAAATCAGACTTCCTCAGACAAGCAGTTTACAACAATGGTCACTGATTTCGGTCATATGAAACGTTACAAAAATGCATTTGTGTTAGTGTGCAGGACTCTTAAATTGCATGTCATTATTTTAATAAGATGTATGTTTTGTTTCACTGGGCAATTACAGAAAAGTGTTAGACCTACTGATCAGTTTTTTCTCCTTTTGCAAGTTTATCAGCACAAGCAAAAGCTCCTCTGTGTAACCAACAATACGTATCCACGGCAACACATCTCCCTGCGTATTCTCGTATATGAATTTCACTCGTTGCGTCTTTTAGAAATTTCAGCAAACCCTGGATTCCCATATTAGAGATATTTCACTATTTGTACTATCTGTCTATGAGAAAAAGAGTTTCATAGTTTTGTCGAACAAAATACAGTTTTCAGATTCCAAGATGTGGGGACATTTGGTGTAATGAAACAAACATTATATTTGTTTCCGAAACGAAGACAAGTGGCATGACGACAAATGCGTCCCATCGTGCCAAGCTTGTCTCGTAGTAATTTTAAAATCTCTTGGATGCTGTGGTAAAATTTTTATCATTCGGTAATTTAGATAATTTTTTCTGAGGAATCCGATAAGGGCGTTTTCAGATTTCATTTACTTTCAATTTATTGCGCACTGTTAGTTTAGCGTTTATGAGTTGATATGGAGACCCAGACTATCATTAAGACAGCTTAACCATATGGAGGTATGGCGAACCACGGCCTCTCGTCCAGTTACCATTCCATGTCGATGCGGTGAGAAGGGTTGGTTGCATAAAAGTCATATGGGGGATGGCAAAATATGATCGAAAGGTGTCAAATTGGGGATGGCAAAATAGGGTCGATGAGTCAAGTTGGGAATGGCGTAATGCGGTTGAAACATGGCAGATTAGGGATGACGAAATGCGGTCAAAGCGTGGCAGATTAGGGATGGCAGAATGTGTTCGATGGGTGTCAGTTTTTACCAAATCGTATTTGTTTTCGGAAGCATGGACTTGATGGTAGAGCAAACCGTAACCGACCAGCGCCAGACTGGATTTTATGGCAGGTGCACGACCGAGGTCGCTGGCGCTCCGCAAAAATGCACGAGAGCGAATTCAATTTTGCACGTCGAACATTTACAATTGCTCACCAATAAAATGGTGTTAAAATCAATAATCCAGTAATATAACAATGCCAACAAATCATAGCTCCACAATTGTCGAATACATACCGGTACTAGCTTGCAAGATCTAGAGCATAGTTATGGGCGAAAAGATCGCCAGACTCTTCGACGATGCTGGTCGGTTACGACTCTGATTCAGCGTATTTTTCATCCAATGATTTTAACCAAAAACACTCCCAAAGTTAATGTCAAAGTATAAAAATAATGTTTGGGAGTCAAAAGTCCAACATCCATTTTTGCTCTGATTCAACGTATTTTTATATCCAATAATTTTATGCGGATGTACTAAACGGTACCGGTATCTAAAGTCGCACAAACACTCTCAAAATTAATGACAAAGTACGGTATAGAAATAATGTTTGTGGTCAAAGGTCAAACGTCCATTTCTGCTCTGATTCAATGTACTTTTGATCCTGAAATTTTACCAGGATGTACAGATGTATTGAACAGTACAGCAGTAGCCTATCTATAGTCAGATAGTCAAAGTCATTTGCACACTGGCTCGTTTTGCACGCTGTGAGCTAGGGCTATATTTGCACGACCTGACCACTGAAACTTTGATTTGCACGTCCATTTTTCCAGACCGGGACCAGAGGTTACGTGAAACACCCTACAGCGGCGAAGAGTCAAACCTGCAAACCGATTTATCTAACCCATAGGTTCTCAAAGTGCTCCGTACGGAGCCCCAGGGCTCCGCGAGAGAAGCCTAGGGGCTCCGCGAGCTATTTGATTAGTTTTCAAAAGACTGACTTGGTTAATTTTGTAACTGTCCAAAGAAGCAATAACAGCTTTAATAAAATTTGGCAACAGTATAGCCTCGAAATATGACAAAGTGGCGGAATTCGAGATTCACATTATTTATAAGCAGGAGCCAGCCAGAATTCCTAAGGGAGAGGGGGGATCAAAATTGGAATCGGAAATTTCCGCGCAACATTATTCGCGATTAAGTAAAAAACTTTTTTAGTGGATAACGAGATTTCTGTTGCGTAAAATATTCAATCCATGACTGATGCAACATTTAAAATGTCTTGTCATAATAATTTAATTGTGCTCATCGTTACTCACGTTTGATTCAAGATTACTACGAGGATTACTTAAATAAAAGATTACTATTCTAAAATAGCATAAAATACGTGATAAGTTGCCAACTATAAATAAATTGGAATCGTATTTTCGCGATCTTGGGATTTGTCAAACTTGATTTGTTCCTTCGCACTCGAGAATATTTTTAAGCAAGATATCGCCGTTCCAAAAATCCCGAGGTCGACGTTAAAACTCAATAAGTACAATATACAATTGTGCAATCCATGACCGATGCGGGCATATTTAAAATGACTTGTTTACTGGGTTAATTGTGTTCAATGTAACCTGCGATTGTGTCGACTTACAATAGAAAATCATAACTTCTCAAATAACCACGGCAATCCGCGGACGTGAAATGAGAAACAATGAAACAAAGTTAAGTGAACGAAGTTCTTGTGGACTACCGTATATCCTGAACAACGCTGTTATCATAAGATATTAGGAACAGGGTCATATTGCCGACAAAAGAACATAATACCTACTACCGGTGCCAGAAGTTTGATAAGATATTTGTGCCCGTCCCGATCAAATCGTAATCATGACTGATTGATTGCGTGGCAGTGTGGTGGATCATAGTGATTTAGCGAATTCGACAAATTTGAGCCCTTCTTGCAGCACTGACTCCACCCTATCGCAGGTCTGTCACTCAGATTCTTTGCAAGATATCACCCGATCATCGTTTAAAAAATCACAAGAATAGGCAAAATACGAACGATTGAAATTTATGTTATCGCATGCTGCTCCGTTGGTAGTTTCAGAATGGGTTTCGATTTCAGTTACTACGATAAATAACCAAAGAAAACCTAAGATAACATCAAATATATATTGTCATTTGCAATGTCTAAAAAAGCGTTTTGAATCTGTCGTGAGTCTGCTGAAACAATATTTATAGTGTTATCTTCGGTTTTAAGTTTTAGTTTTAATATTTCATAATGCCGCTTTTCAATCAAGAAATTTGAGTTGCGGATTTACCGCCGATTCGCTAATAATTATATTTAGCATCTCGTTGCCGATGATTATAATGTATTAACATGTTTTTCACATCGATTTCATAATTCCCCACAAGAACAAAAAAGCAATTATCGTCGTCATTATGGAACAATACATGTATATGCCGAGGAAATTTTTGATTTAGGGAGAATAAACACCGACGTAACGATGTTTAATAAGGTATAACGTTTCTCGCTGACGAAAACAGTCGGCGATTGTACCAAAATGCAATCGCGCAGCAACCTTTTAAGTCTTCCAAAAATATCAAAAGGAAAAAGATTCGACCCCTGATTTATTAATATGTTGGTCAAGTGTTAAATTTACAGCCCTAATACATATGATTTATCTTTAAAATTTAGATTTATTTATGACTTGTATTAACCCTATTAAAAAAGGTTTAGCATTTAAATTGAGTAAAGTACTTTTAACTTACTCAGTAGTATTATTAATCGTTAAGTAACAATTTTAAAATTTATTTTAGGGCTCCTTGAATAATAGTCAACATCTTCACGGGCTCCGCAACACCAAAAGTTTGAGAACCCCTGATCTAACCCACGCAGAGTACCGGTAATCAAAGGTGCGGTGACGAGCGTATTCCTAACGGTTAGCGCGATGCTGACGATGAGCCACACCGCCGCGCCATTTATTCCATGCAACTGAAACAAATATTAATGTCTAACTGATCCCATACCGTACATCGACTGTTGTCGCAGTATTGACTTTCCTCCTCGATTGGAAAGTTATGTCAATCCCATTCTAAATCAATGCAACCTACAGACCTATCCTACTGTCCTGAAATACCATCGCAACTCTACTCTAGCAAAAATCAAATGTTCCCGCTTTGCGCAAAAAATCTGTCAATCACCCGTTCAGTCATCCATAACTAAAATCATTCATTGTATTTTAAGTGTTGTGATAACTTCTTTTCTTGGGATTTAGGCCGCGAGCCGAGGCCATTTATCTTTCAGCTTCGTAGCGCACATAAGGTAACTACCTGAAAATGATTTTAGAATGTTCCTTAGAAATTTAGTAACAATATTGCCTTGTTCCCACTTCCAAAAGTTGCACGTTTTACAGAAAAGACGCTTTTACTACAATAAATATGTGTTACCATCTGTCCTATTTTCTCTGCTTTTCCGGTATCATGGGCCAATGAACGCAGACTTCTGCATGACGTAACAACCAAATTAGTCAACTGTAGGTGGTTCCCCAGTGGTAGGATAAATATCAAATGCACTACTACTGCTCGCCTTTGCGTTGAGTAGCCTTTCATAGTTTTTTTTTTCAGTTATTATTAGTTCAGTTATTCTAAGGATGTGATGTCTTGGGTATTACTGAATCACCAGTAGACAGAAATATTACAGTTTATTATACGGCAAAGTAAAACGTCAGTATATCGCAGCTTAACGCTAGACAGTTCAAAACATAAAAAAAAACAAGCACGCAGACAGGTAAAAGCAAGGAGCAATTACGAGAAAACAATTATGGCATCATAATCACAAACCTAGTCCGTGTTAAAAACAACAAGCTATGATGTAAATACACAACACCCCTCTCCCCTTAGGAAGAAATGAACAATGTCACTAAATTCACACATTTACAATTAACCCTCAATTCAATGTTCATTATCAATATCACTATAAATTTAATCTGTCAGGCGGCCTCATATTTCTGAGAGGATTGCGCCTGGGTATAGGATGTTGCTGTGCTCCTTGATTACCCTGTGGCTGGACTGGATTGTCATCTGTCGATGTGCTTGACCGGTTCCAATTGTAGGCTACCATTCCGGTTCTTCATATCTTCGACAAAGTTCGTCATTTTCAGCTTTCAGCAGCTGATCGATATGGCGTTTCCAAGTTACAACATTAGAAATTTTGACAAGGTATGTCAGTGGTCCAAGATGTTTAATAATTGTGCCACTGACCCATCTTCTCTTTTTGCTAGAATAGTCACAAGCCAAGACTGCTTGACCAAGTTCAAAATATCTTGTTTCACGATTTCTTTTTGAATCTTGCACGTTAGTTTGCCTTTCATTAACTTTTGATGCTAGATCAGGCTTGACCAAGTCTAAACGTGATCGTAGAGATCGCTTCATTAATAACATGGCTGGTGACTCGTTCGTTGTCGAATTAGGTGTATTTCTGTACGCTAGTAGTAAATTATCCAGTTTGTGTAAAATATCAACTTTCTCCTTCCTCCCTCGGAGAAGAGAACTCTTGAAAATTCCGACAAATCTTTCTGCCATACCATTACTTGACGGATGAAATGGTGCAGATCGTGAATGACGTATGCCATTATTCTTCATAAAATTTGCAAACTCTTCCGACGTGAAAGTAGGTCCATTGTCAGACACTAGTTGTTTGCATACACCATATCTTGCAAATATGTGTCGGAGTTCTTCGATAGTTCTTTGCGAAGTGATAGAACGCATAGGGATTACTTCTGCCCATTTTGAATACGCGTCAATTACAACTGACATCATCATATCCATGAACGGTCCTGCAAAATCAACATGAATTCGTTCCCACGCATTTGAGGGAAATTCCCACATATGTAGTTCAGCATTTGCAGGCATTTTTTGCGTTTTTTTTACTCTGTTTTCAATTGAGTTAGTGAGTTGTGGCCACCAGACATATGATCGAGCCAATGCTTTCATTTTGACTATGCCTGGATGTGACTCATGTAGTTCTTCAAAATTCTTGACCGTAATTTAGGTGGAATTACAACTCTGTTTCCCCACAATAAACATCCTTCATGAACACTAAGTTCATGTCTTCTATTGAAATATGGTTGCAATTCCTCATTTTTGATTTTGTTTGGCCAACCTTTCAGGACCAAATCACTTTAGACAATATTGGCTCATAAGTGGTTGCTTTTCTTATTTACGTACTTGTGACGGGCAATACTTCAAAAATGCAACGTAAAGAATATTCTTCATCATCTGTATGTGAACTTTCAGACAATGGAAATCTTGATAAAAAATCTGCGTTACCATGCTTTTCAGTTTTACGATATTCGATATCATATTGGTGTGATGCTAGAAACATTGCGTAACGCTGTAAAACGAGCAGCTGTCATTTTTGGAATTGATTTATCCAGGTGGAAAATGGATGTTAGTGGTTGATGGTCTGTAACCGTCTACCCTATAAATATAGGTAAAACATTTTTCACACCACATACTATGGACAGAGCTTCTTTTTCAATTTGTGAATAGTTCATTTCTGCTTTTGTTAATGTTCGAGACGCAAAAGCAATGGGTCTCTCTGATCCATCGTTCATTACATTTGATAATACGCAACCAATACCATATTGACTAGCATCACAAATCAATTTCACTGGTTTCTTAGGGTCATAATGCACTAATAATTGATCAGATGCAATCAATTGTTTCGCAGTTAGAAAACTTGGTTCACATGCCTTGAACTATATGAACTTTTGTCCGTTTTTCAATAGACAATAAATTGGCTGTAGCACACTTGCTAGCTCTTTGCAAAATTTAGCATAAAAATTATCATACCAGTGAATGATTCAGATTCAGATTCAGATATTTATTTCCGTCATGCAAGAAATATTGTACAAATAAACAGTAAAAATAAATCGAGAGAAGAAATAACAGACGTACAATAATTCGACTGCAATAGACGAGGAGTCGCGAATAAACTATAAAGTTAACGTGTCAGCGACACCTAAATAGCTGTAAACAGCAGCAGATGAAGTTGAATAAACAGGATTTAAACATATATATTTTTTGAATGAACACAATTTGGAAAATGTAAGTCGAATTGGGGAAGTCAGTTAGGAGAAAATAGTTAAATCGAAGATAATTATGAGAAACGAGAGAAAAACAAGAGCGCGTCAGGAGGGGAAAAAATGCTCAAATCGTCAGCGTCATGCTCGGGTCGGCACCGTCACAGCTGTCGGGCTTCTGATTGACATGACGCTGCCTTGCGGAGATAAATTACGGGGAATTCCCAGCAAACCACAATAAGGGAATTAGTTTTGGAGGTATAAATACATAATGAAGTTTGGGCAACAGAATCACAATACGAGAGGTTAAGTACACGGCGAAGAGATTTGGGGTAACGTAGCTTGTGGAAGAATAGTGAAAATATTCAATAACACTGGAAATGAATGATGTGAACAAATAAGAAAAACATCACATTCAGCAAAATTGTCATCAAATACAGGATTGATGACCAGTGGATTAGACTACTGGATGTTATAAGCATTGAGGTAGTGATTTTTTAATTCTTTTTTAAATGTATTATAGTTCTTAGAGCGTATGGTAACTGAAAGCATATTCCAAAGTTTTATACCAATGAACTTAATGGAATTTTGTGTGCGGCTAGATGAATAGCGAGTCATATAATATGAGCTATTGGCAGAAGACCGAGTTGCATGAGAGTGAATGACGCTTTGCTTAACAAAATAGCCGGAGAATGCAGCCGGCAGTTTTTTATTATGATGTTGGTGCATAATTTTCAGCACTTCAGTTTTATAAATATCTGCATTTTTAAGTATTTTCATCTTATAATAGTAGGATTCTAAATTGCACCGAGGTCCGGCGTGTGTAAGAGCACGGATTGCCCTGTTTTGCGTGACTTCAATACGATGCAGTAACATTTTGCTTGCTGAACCCTAGGCCGCAATGCCATATTGGATATGGGACTGGAACAGAGCATAATAAACCATACGTAAAGTTGACACTGAGGTGTATGATCGAAGTTTATACAACATTCCTACCGCCTTAGATAATTTAACGGTAATGTTGGATATGTGAATATCCCAGTTCAATTTATTGTCAATATCGATACCAAGATATTTATACGATTCCACATTTTCCAGAATAGTCCCCCCAATTTGGATTTTTAAATCATCGATGCGTTTTGGTTTTTTAGGAGTTATCAACATAGTTTTTGATTTATCCACATTTAATGTTAGTTTGTCAAGTTCCATCCAATGAGCAACCTTTTGTATTTCAGTATTCACTCTGGATTGAAGCACAACATGAGACTTATCACTATCGAGAAGGTTCGTATCGTCAGCGAATAATTTGGAAAATAGAGTGGAGCTACGTGCAAGATCATTAATATAAATTAAGAACAGAGCCGGACCCAAGGACGAACCCTGGGGAACCCCATGGGTCACAGGTAAGACAGAGGAGCAATATGTACCTATTTGAACATATTGAGTTCTACTTGTCAAATAACTAGTAAGGAGTTGATTTGCTACCCCCCTAATACCGTAATGCCACAACTTATACATTAAAATTTTGTGGTTGACAGTATCAAAAGCTTTTTTAAGGTCGAGAAATGTTGCACTGACATATTCTTTCCTCTCTAATTTATCATATATATGAGAAATAGTATCTAAGATGGCATGTGACGTGGAGTGATTGCTTTGAAAACCGAACTGTGATTTATTTATAACATCGTGCTTTGTAAAGAAGTCCATTAGCCTCCTGTAAATTAGACGTTCAAAAACCTTATCAACAGCAGATAATATGGATATAGGTCTGTAATTTGAAATTTGTTTTGTATTACCAGATTTGAAGATTGGAATTACTCTGGCAATTTTCAGTGAAGATGGAAATATCCCCAATCGAAGTGAATTATTAAAAAACTCAGTTATACAAGGTGCTATGATGTCTGCCACATACTTAAGGAAACGACTGGGAATGTTGTCAGCGCCGGAATGCTCGGACAGGAGATACATTTTCAGGGCGTGGTGCATCCACAATCGCTTTGACAAGTTTCTCTGTCATATGTTGTCCGTTACAATCAATATCATGGCCAAATGAAGGAAAATACGATCTTTCATAAATTCGCATTTTGTTAAATTCAGTCTCACCCCATATTCTTTTAAACTCTTTAAGACGTTTCCCACATTCTTGAGGTGATCTTCATCATTTGATCCAGTGATGATCATGTCATCTATTATACATGCCACTTTAGGCAATCCTTGCAAAATTTGTTCCAGAACCCGTTGCCAGATAGCTGGAGCTGATGCAATTCCATAAACCATTCTATTTACACGATACAGTCCTCTGTGTGTATTCAATGTGAGTAGATGTTTGCAGTCTTCCTCGACTTCTAATTGCAAATAAGCATTTTTCAAATCCAATTTTGTGAACTTTTGTCCACCAGCTAAAATTTCAAACAGTTCTTCAACTCTTGGGAATGGATATTGATCAATCTTCAAAGCTGGATTAACAGTTACTTTGAAATCACCACAGGGACGTATTTGACCATTTGGTTTTGTTACAGTTACAATAGGCGTTCCCCAATCACTATGTGGTACTTTTGTAATTATTCCTTCTTTTTCGAGACGATTCAACTCTTCTTCAATTCTTGGTCTCATGGCGAAGGTTACTTGACGTGCCTTCCTGAACACCGGAGATGCATTTTCATTTAATACAAATTTAGCTTTATGGCCCTTGACAGTACCAAGTTCGTCTTTAAATAAATCTTCATAATTTTTCAGTAAGGTATCCAGTTTTTTTTTTTATATCAATTGGATTTTCATTTGGATTCAGGCTATTCAGATTGTCCTATTCATAATCCAATCTCTTCCCATTAATGGTGGTCCACCTTTTTTGACCACATTCAATTTCAATTTTGCAGCTTCATTTCCACATTGAACTTCAACTGGTAACAGCCCAAGTGGTTTTAATGGCTCACCCGTGTACGTTTTCATTTTTATAGCAGTAGGTGTGAGCTTCTCATTTTCAAAATGCTTTTGATAATCTTTATTCGATATTATCGATACTGGTGCTGCCGTATCCATTTCCATTTGTATTACTTTCACTGCTACTTTGACAGGTATCAATCTGATATCAGTGGCATGGACGGACACTTCTTTTGATTTACTTTTGCCAGTTGTATAGGCTATTAGATAGAAATTTCGATGCCACTTTATCTGCAGCGACGCTTTTCTCTGCTTCTCTAGTGCAGTTTTGTTGACGCCCAGGTCGCGGCTGGGTGCTTCTTCTGTGGTGTGGTGTAGATCTACACACAAATTTGGTGTGACCTCTTTTATTACAATTAAGACAACATTTCTCTTTAAACCAGCATTTATCTGGATGATGTCCAATTTTACCACACCTGTAGCATTTCTTTGCTGAATCACGCATTACGTAATGAGCATTTTCACTTTCATAATTTGCAGTATTTTTGCCTTGAAGCACTTTTGTATCTTTTGCAGCAATTTCAACTTCTACAGCAATTTGCAACGCTTTTTCATGTGTTAAATTTTTCTGAGTTATCAATCGATTTTGTGAGTGGCTGCATTTCAGTCCACTTACGAATTTTTCGCGAAGTGTGTTTCCTAACTCAGCACCGAACTCACATGTGGTGGATTTATGGACTCACATGTGGTGGATTTCTGCCGCTCTTTAAATTACGTTGATTCGTTTCAACATGTATTCGCCCTACAGGCAATAATATCCCAACCTCATCGCCAGTGTGTGTCTTGGGTATTACCAAATCACCAGTAGACAGAAATATTACAGTTTATTATACGGCAAAGTAAGACGTCAGTATATCGCAGCTTAACGCTAGACAGTTTAAAACATAAGAAACAACAAGAGAGCTACGCCCAAATATATGGACACGTCTGTTCGCAGTACAGTACGGTGTACCGTACCTTCAGATCACAGTCTACAAATATATTCACACCAAGCGAAGCAGTACAGTAGGACACAAAATGGCGTCCGATGTCCGCAGAACGTTTAATGACGCCATAGCAAACTAAAACAAATCTCACAGAGCTAACAGAAATATTTAAAATGAATAAAAGTAATAACCTTCTGGGGAAAAATTTTATCTTCAACCACTGAAAATTTCGGAGCAATTGGTCCAGTATTCGAAGAGAAAAGCGGTTTTTTAATATTTCCACTAGGTGTGTTATTCTGTGTCAAATAACAACAAGAACAAGAACAACATAATATTGAAACGATCGTTATGTCAACTACGTGTCCAATAACAAGCACGCAGACAGGTAAAAGCAAGGAGCAATTACGAGAAAACAATTATGACATCATAATCACAAATCTAGTCCGTGTTAAAAACAACAAGCTATGACGTAAATACACAACAAAGGAGGTGTTGAAAAGTATAAGTAAGATATTAAACACTTGTATATCCTTACCATAAATAGCAATTTTAGTTGAGCACTAGCTCATAAGACGTTGTTAAATAGGTACGGTGCGGTAACTCCAAGGAAGGCTAGACCTAGAATAATATGTCACAAACAGCGATATTTTCTGGCTTGCATGAAATGTTTATGATTAATTTAATGACTCTTCTTGACTATTCAGCAGACTAATCGTTATACTACTATATAGGCCACAGCATATTTGGAAATAGAAATTAATGGCTTTTTCTGTAATGCACGGTTGTGTGAAAGAGAAGAAAATAATCAATTCTACTAATGTCGGTTGGTCTAAATCTAAATTCATAGAGTCGACAAGAACCTGGGAAGCAATGATAAGTTATGCCGGAGTGAAAAGAAGTAGCATTGGAAACGATTGAGAGGTGAGAATTCAAGTTGTAGACAGACAGTTGATGTTTTGAAATTTACGGTAGTATATAGTCCATACTCATACTGTCATAAGCAGTGTTCCTTCTAAGGTGTGCGCGTGTGCGCGCGCACACAGCTTTCAGAGGCCGCGCACACGCATAGATTTACTGCGCACAGACGTATTTCGATGTAATGTAACAATTTTCTCGGTTGGCAGGTTGAGAAAGTTTGTTGTTGGCCCACCCATTACCCGGTTAGAATGCCAAAATCTATTCATTGGTTTTTGCACAAATATTAGCCATTTCCAAAAAAGTGCGCACACATCAAAATTTCTGCGCACACATACTACAAGAAATTAGAGGGAACATTGGTCATAAGGCATTTCAGACTGTGATATATCAAAATTTAGTGTAGATATAGTCTAGTAATGGTATGCAAACACTGCTGGACTGTAGTACATGCAATGAGCATATATACGCTAATTTAGTACATCAGCTAAAATGCATTATGTATTCAAGGTATTAGTTAGTATTCAGTGGTATTTTTGCACTCATGCTGTTCCAAATATGATTTTCTTCCGCATTTTAGATATTATACCACTAAAGAAAACGGCAATGTTCCACCAATCCGACCTAACGCAGGCTCTAATCCCTGCTGCTATCAGTGCTATAAAATGGATAAAACAGAAGAAGTCTTGAAGCGTAAAGGTATATGAGAATCATAATAGTTGCAAACAGCTTAGATGGGCTATTCATATTAAAATACTTTAGCACTTTTCTGCAATTGGAACTGCCCATCAAACTCATGTGGGAGACTTCATTGAGGTTTTCAATTCATTTTTTTCTCAACTATGAAGATTTTTTGAGGTTAACGAAGCATTAATAAATAAAGCTGAGGAATTTGTTTGTTCACTGTATGAAGAGGATATGAAGAATGTAAATGATACCAGGGCACGTCTATTTAACACTGGCAAACATAAGGATTATACTCTTCCACCCAACAATGATTCACTGAAGAAGCATGTGGCCCTCAAATCAGTTCTTGAGTTGGCAAACTGCAAGTGTAAGAAAAATAGTCAAAATAATTTATGCAAGTGTGCCAAAATCAACTTAAATTGCACAGATTTTTGTTTCTGTATTCTGAAAAGTCGATTTTCAAGATAGTGGATTTCGAAAAAAATTCAGAAAAAAGTGAATTAGATATTGCAGTTGATTTAATAAGTATCATTTATTTGTTTTTTTTTCGGACATTTGTTAGTGTCGTAGTCCTGTTTCTAGAAATAATATTGCCTTTGTTCAAATACATAACCACATAAACTAAAAAAATACTAATTGTAATAGTCCAGCGAATAAAATGGAAAATCATGCACTTTTGGAAGCAAGCATGAAACTTGGCACACATGTAAAGTAGCATCCCCTGATCAATTTTGGATATGGTGCCATCCGAGAAAATACCTCGTTGCCATGGAAACGAGGCATCATCCACATTGGTATTTAAGTGGAATGAACATTACTTTATAAAAGGATATTTTCAAGACAAGTGAACCGATGTGTATATAAGAAGTGAAAAATATGATCAGAAGTGCATTTTGACAATTTTCCTTGATAACAGAATACCTGGCTACCATGGAAACGAGGTATCATTATTGACCAAACGCTATTATTTGTCGCACAACCTGTATTTTCTGTTATTGTCATGAATCACAAATTAATTAAGCTACATTCACTTTCAAAATGTAATTCCTTTTGTGCTCAATCAACTGACATCGCCAATGGTATAATTTTAAATTCATAGCCACGTAAAGCTGGTGAAAATATAAAATATATATCTCATAGCTGACAGATTATTGTTATCTTGGAGCTATCATATCGTCATCATATATTTTAATAAAGATAAATTCATTCTCTTAACTCTGGCATTAGTATCTCAGTCAGATAAAAACGGAAAACTTGCATTACGTTTCAGCTCAAACTCGGATGGAATCGTTGATTATTCTAATTTATATCCAACGTCGCCTTATGTAAGTGCTACAAAACGAAATAAATAGAAGAACGATTGAAATACTTATATTGTCCGAAAATATATTCCACAAAGACTCCCCAAAAACTAGTGGGGGCAATTTTACTATTTAGATATATACTCCTGCACTTTTGGATGCGAGCATGAAACTTGGCATACATGTACAGTAGCATCCCCCAATTATTTCTTTCTTTGTAAACAGACGATGTCGTAGCTCATTAACCTAAAGGGAAATAAAATAATTATCCGGGAGGAAAGCTTCTGCTTCTGAAGTTTGTTCAATATCCAAAGAGTCTAAATTATTTTTTGGCTTACCTAGCTGGCACATGTCGATAGATAGACGTCGAAATGTTGCCGATTCTAGTTATCAATTAGGATTCAACCGTATTTCAACATTTATCTGACATCTCGGTAATTGCTAAGTTCAACTGTACATACCTTTGACAACATACTTTTCCGATCGTAGAGCACAACGATGAATTTTTTAATCATTTGAATGCATTGTGCAGGCACTTCGCTTGTCCTCATACATTGTACATACCTTTGACAACATTAGATATAGATTAGAATAATCAACGATTCCAGCCGAGTTTGAGCTGAAATGTAATGCAAGTTTTCCGTTTTTATCTGACTGAGATACTAATGCCAGAGTTAAGAGAATGAATTTATCTTTATTAAAATATATGATGACGATATGATAGCTCCAAGATAACAATAATCCGTCAGTTATGAGATATATATTTTATATTTTCACCAGCTTTACATGGCTATGAGTTTGAAAGTATACCATTGGCGATGGCAGTTGATTGAGCACAAACGGAATTACATTTTGAAAGTGAATGTAGCTTAATTTGTGATCCATGACAATAACAGAAAATACAGGTTGTGCGACTTATAGTTGTGTTCTGTCGATAACGATACCTCGTTTCCATGGTAACAGGTATTCTGTTATCGAGGGAAATTGTCAAAATGCACTTCTGATCATATTCTTCACTTCTTATATACACATCGGTTTACTTATCTTGAAAATATCCTTTCCTAAAGTAATGTTTATTTCCCTTTAATAGCAATACGGATGATGTCTCGTTTCCAGGGCAACGAGGTATTTTCATGGATGGCACCATATCCGAAATTAATCAGAATATGCTACTGTACATGTGTGCCAAGTTTCATGCTTGCTTCCAAAAGTGCACAATTCCATCATTTTTGAGGTCTTATCCGCTGGACTATAATATCTCTGTTCATTATGTTATGTACATATTGTACATTCATTTAATTTTCTTGACTTTTCCGGTAAATTTCTAAGTGAGAAATAACTGATTTATTTGTGTTTTCGTGCTCACGATGTTAATTTTTGACTTCATTGCTTAAAAATAAATACGTTAGATGGCTTCTATGAAATGGATGTAGCTTTTTATGCTGTTCTTGTTGTAAACTTGTTGTTGTACACTATCTATTGCAACCCGAGTAACTTGTCGCTTATTATTACATAAATCAGTATCTTGATTCTAAACAACCGACTATACACTGAATTTATTACCAAACACAGATTATATGGAGCACAACAAATATATTTCAAACAGATTTAAAAGTCGTTAAAATGTGAAATAATATATCTCATGAATTAATCTACACTTTTATTTCAATATTCTATCACTGTCTTTTAGTAGTTTTTTTTGCTTTCTAATATGCAGCGAAAATTCAACGTATTGATTAGTATTTAAAATGATCATTCTTCATGTAGGAATAATATGTATCTTTCCATCAACACATGCAACCTTTTGGATAGCCACGACGATCGAGTTCTCGAGATATTTGACAAATGTTGCAGCATCCGCACCAACATCCTATGCAGCAATCACCCGCCAGAGAACCCTATCACGAGCGAAGGATTAATATAAGATGGTGACAAAAGTTAAGTGCTTTGGCAGGGGTTCATAAATCGTTGGGATAGTTTTGGGAATTATTCCGGGTTAACTGAATTAGACATAACATAACTAAGGAAAGTACGAAAAAAATAATATACGTTCCAATTCTGATAGGCTAATTAATCTCATAATTATATTATCATAAATACCATGATGTTTTCTTTTCCTCGGAAGTACGGACGCGCAGTACTGGCAAAATGAGGGGCACAACAGTATCCATATAAACATGATTCACCCATTCTGGTTGCCAAGTTTGCCGTGAAACAAACTGTACAAAATGCTGTCAGCAGGCCTGTGTAAAAGCATATTGATTAAAATCACCTCACTTCTCACATTACTGCTAACACCAAAGTTGGTTCTTATTTAATTCTGGAAATTTGCCTTCAAAGTTGGAACATTTGCACTACTTTTAAATAAAAGTATCATCGACATTTTTTACGATGCATTTTTTTTAGTTTGTATTAGCTTACTACAATATTATAATTGTTTAAAATCCTATGATTGAACAAAGATGAAATTCTGAAGGAGCTAAATCAATAGATCTAAATTAAAAAAAAAAATTAACAAATCTTTGATGATACACAGAATGCAAAATAAAAACACGAGGAAATAGTTATGTGGTCAACTTTTGAAACGAGAGGTAATTTTTCTGCATGTTCAGCTTCAAAATCGAGTGCTTCATAGTAAATTTATATGTATTCTTAAATTGAATTGAACACTGATCTATGTTCTTACATGAACTGCATTCCGTCATACATGCGCATAATCCCGACGACCATAAAGATCTGTCCATTTGCTGAGAAACAGGTGCCGTGATTATAGTCGTATGGCTATATTGTGCAGGGGGACTGTACGGACTTGAACCGTATGTACCTCCCATTGTTGTTGTTGTATGCGGAAGACTATATTGCGGAGGCTGATCGTTTGGATTTGATTCGCATTGAACCTGCTCCATGATGATGTTTTATAGTGTTTAATCTATTTGAAGTAAAATATTCAGAAACGGATTAATTTGATGCGAAAATAGGATTCTACACTGATATATTATGTCTCTGTTACTTCTCCAACGTTATTTTCCTCCGTCAACGCTAGGCTGATTTTTACAACTATGACTTTCAGTATTAATGATAACAATTAGTAAATTCTTTGAGCACACTGTAGCCTACTGTACTTTTAAACAAAATTTTTAAAATACAAAGATTTTCCAGAGTATCTTCATTGTATATTTTGAGAAAGCAACCAAGATATTCAAGGTCTTTTCTTACGTTAAATATTGACATGTCGTTAGCCTGACAATTTGACACTTGATTAAGTATGGCTATATTTACCCAGGCGTGGAATAATACATGTTTGTGTAAACTGTTACAGATAAATTATACCTTAATGTTTGTCTTGCGAAATAGATTACTTGAAATGCAAATAGGCGATTACTAATTAACCCGAAGTCTACTGTCGGTGCCAGTCTTTTTGACTTCCAAACGGAGTCAAGTCGTGTTAATAGTATACGGTGTCCTGACTCAATAAATAAAAAAACGTATATTCAATATCAACCGATAAAAAAATCGGACCTCCTGAAGTATGCGCACCAAGATGGCGCACAACCTGAATTCAGGTTGTGTACCAGGTTAGGGTTCAGATTATACCAGTGGCGGCGCGTGGTCATTTTGACAACCGGGGCAAGCTACTGCGGGGCCAAGTCACCCCCATTTACGGGGACAGGATGAGCGCTGTAAGTTCTTCCATCTTTTTATGAGTATAAAAACCATTCCATCGGTAACAACCAATCGGCAAAAGCGACAATTTTTAACGATAAGAAAGTGTCTTTAAAACCGGTCCAAGTCAAGGGATTAATAAATATAGACATAGTTTATTTTGAAACCTCTTTCAAAAGGAAAGGCAATATTTACCCAGATAAATACAATGACATATTAACAGAAACTTCGGGAAAGCAGACAAAACCTAAAATAAGGTTTAAAACGTTACTATGAAGAAAGGAAAGTTAATGCAAAGATAAGGACATGCGTCGCTCACTCATAGATATATATGCTGCTAGACTTCTACTGCTTGAACATATATGCAACACGCCGCGGTTTCTTGGAAGCAAAATGCTCAATAACGCGCTGATTAAAGCCATGCATCCCAGAAATAACGTCTCTGTGAATGGATAAAACAGCCAAGGAATTTAATCTATCTTGCTTCATTGTGTTTCTGAGATACGTTTTAATACGCTTCAGCGTGCTGAACGTTCGCTCTGCGTCGGCGGAAGAAATAGGCGTCGTCAGAATGATGTCCAGAAATTTTGCAGACGCCGCAAAGGTAGTTACTAGAGTGTTATCTATGAGGAACCCATAGAGCGCGCAAGTTGATGTGATATTCAAAAAAGTTTGATTGGTGTATATACATCGCAATTCATTTTCCAATTTACCCACGTTTATCATGGGGTAAAATTTGGAGACAGTAGCCAACAAATGGATGGGAAATTGACGTGCAAATTTTGAAAAAATTTTGGGGTTCATCAAAGAGAACGCGGCAAGGTGTTCAGTGCGCAGACGATCGCCTATTTGATTCACCAGAATGTCACAGCATTCCTTTGCAGACAAAATCAAACGCTGCGTTGTTTGCCCGCGGCGTAAAGAAGCACTCCATGTGTCGTCGTATTTTATTGTTTCCCGGATACGAGATACAGCATCGCAGAAGTCTGAAATACACGACTGCACAGACGCTCCATCCATTAGCCTTGACTGCAATGCGCCGTATAATACATCCACGTGATATAATATTGTGGAGAAAAAAGCGAGAAAAAATGAAAACTCACCATCTTCTAGCAGACGCTTTAGACCTGCCGCCTCCCTCACAGAGCGTTCGTCCCAAACCGGAGAGCTCTGAATGCCATTGAAACACTCAATGAGCTCCTAATTTCGGACACGCCCTGCACCACGCGTGATAGGAAGTTCCACAAGCTGGGAGACGGCGGCTACATATCTGGCGAAGGAGGTCAGAGCGCTTCGGCGAAACGGAAAAAAATGAAGAAAACCCCGAAACATTTGCAAAAAATATACGGACGAAAGGGGTATCAAGACACATATTTTTAATAACGAGGTTAAATTGGTGTGCATAACAATGTAAAAAATGCGCATGAGGAAAATCTTCTTTTATATAAACTTGAACACCATGTTTCGACCCACTCATGACTGCCGCGCCGTCATAAGTTTGAGCTATCAATTTTGACTTCGCGTTGTAAGGCTGTAACACTTCTTTCAGTACAGCCGATATCCCGCAAGCCGTGCGATCAACGATTGGTACAAAGCTGTGAAATCTCTCGGTAGGTTTACCATCTTTCACAAACCGAAAAATCACAGCCAGTTGGGAAACGCACGTGATGTCAGTTGTCTCGTCAGACTGAATCGAAAGGAACTGGCAATTCTCAAATTCTCTTTGTTTCTCTGCCAAGGCTAGACTGATTTCAACGACTATGCTTTTCAGTATTAATATGAGCAATTAGTAAATGCTTCGAACACAATGTCCTTTCGAACAAAATTCTTAATAAAAATATTTTCCAACGTAACTTTATTATATATATTTATATTTCAAGAAAGCATCGAAGATATTCAAGGTCTTTGCATACGTTAAATATTAACAATGTCGTTTGCCCGACAAATTAACAATTGGTTAGGTATGGATCCCAGCTATACCAAACCAGGCATGATATAATTTATGTGTAATTCGTAGCAGATAGATGATATATCTAACTGTTTGTTTTGTGAAATAGATATGAAGTGCAAATAGGCGATTGGAAATTATCCGAAGCTTACTGTTTACAGCCTTGGCTTGGACCACCCCGTTATAGCCTATAAATCAGGGCTACTTAAATGATGAACTGTGATTCAAAACCTGACCTTTCGAGTATTAAATTTGGCACTTAGGTGCTTTTTGATTCGGAAAGTATCTTTTTTTATTATTCTACAGTAGTGATGTAATTCATTTTTTGCTAAACAACTGAATAAGAATTGTGACATCAATACATCATAGCTATATAGCCTCTCCGAACAAAATGTAAAATTTTAAAGCAATCAATTTTTTAGTAAAATAGGTGAACGATTTATTCACAATAACAACAATGCCAAAACGATCAACAAGTCGACTTCGTGTTGTCCATAAACATTTACGAAAATCACGCGTACTTTAAATGAATTTGCGTAGTTGTGTACACGTCGATAATAGCACAAATAACCTCTTTATCTTCTCAAGGACGCCAGGCAGCATTGGTATTTAAATATTTCATTGGTTAATTAGTTACATTGAAATATTCCTTCCCCTGTTTTTTATTTATCATAATTGAATAAATATTTAATATGTACATAAAAGTACGGTTCTATTGTTTTAGGCACCCACGTACATTTGAATTCTGAACTCTTTCACCCACGGATCTTTGCACCAATGTTTGTTATAACTCGCGGGCGTTTGCACCAATGTACATTTGCACCTACACACAATTGTACTCATGTATACATTGGCATCCATGGACATTTGTACCCATGTATATTTGAACCTGCGTACATTTGCATTCATGAATTTTAGGATATAAAACTGATGACTATAGCTGGGAATGGTTAATCGATTTTAGATAGTTAACGGTTTATTTTAGCCCTTAACTGACACATCTCAGGTACAAATCATCTTTGTAATGTACAATTTTTTCAAAAATGATTACGTCATCGCAAATTTATTTTCTGTGGCGATTAATTCAAAAGAATATTTCTAACTGTATTGGTGAGGACCCAATACATGTGAAAAATAATTTAAGTAACAATATTGCTGATTATGAAAATTTGACAATGATAAATTCAGAATCAATTTTCGGTCAAATTATATTGTTCACGATTTTATTGCAAAATCGTATATTCAATGCCATCCAACAAGTGCGCTGTGGCGTAACTACCCATTGGATCTTGTGGATAAATCCAGGGGCGGCACGTTGCTGGAGGGCGGCAAAATGTGGCAAAACGTTTTAAACGAAGCGGAAAAACGTTTTAAATGAACCAAGGCAGTCACATTAAACGACCTAATTTACCAATGAAGCCAAAAAATTACACAAGATATACGTCTAAACCAGGTGTTTTATGGCTCGTGGCCCCCTTCCAGCGCCTTTTTGCACTCGCGATCTCCGTGTTCGCCATTCCAAAAAACGAAACGTGTTGGATTGTATTATGTGTTTACGACCTATTATGGAATGCAAAAGTAAACCACAGACAAGAAAGTAAACGCTCTCCAGTATATAATCAAAGGGAATCTTGCGCTTAGGACTGTCTGACAGGTTTATCGTATTAAGCGCAGTCTTTTTTATAGCTAGACGAATGTCAACATCAAGACGGTTAATAAATTTTGTTTTTTGTGGTAAGCAAAATTGGCTTTTGCTCCGACAGAAACCCGAACTTAGTCAATGTGCGTTCCTGTCAAATCTAACTCGCTTGGCAGCAAAGAAACCGATGCCAACGTCTTTCACCGGGGGTGATTTTTGTCACGGTATTTTGGAGTTCAGATGGACGTAATGATTTATTGCTCGGCGAACTATTTTCATTGGTAGATTTCAAATTCCATTATGATCAAACAATTCACGCACAAGAAAGTGAATACACCCTGTGATCGCAAATAATCCTATTTAGGTAATGAAACTGCCGTGGAAAGTATGCAAACGAAGTCGCTATATAATAAATTATTAGTTTTGTGTCGTGACCCCTCTCGAACTGCTTCGTGGCTCCTGTAGGGAGCCCTCGGATGAGAACCACTGCACTAGTACAATCAAGTGATTTTACATTTGAAAATGACGCTACAGCGCTGGACGTCCTGCAGTGGTTTGCAAACATCGTTTATGTGAATCAACACCTTATTTATTCATGAGTCTCAAGCTTTACCTCACTGTTGCCGTTTCTTTCACAAGCTGCGAATAACGAAGTCAAAACCTAAGTTGATAAAGTTACCTTGAGATCGACTATGGGAGAAAGCAGGCTGTCTGTACCAGCAATACTGCCCATTGAAAGTGATTTAGTCGAGACATAATCTTTCGAGACATTATAATTTCTGAATTTGCTTCAATGAAAACTAGACATTGAATTTGGAACATTCGATAAAATTTACTATTCACTGCTTTAATTCTTTTGTTGTGTGGAATTTTATTCAGCTTTTACGACGGTGTTGAGGGGGCGGCATTTTGCGCAAATATCCAGGGGCGCCACATTGCGTTGTTACGCCACTGCGCTGTGATGCTGCTTTCTCTGTGATATCTCAAAGTAGAATTTGCACATCAAACATTGAAAATTTGTCACATAAATGACATTTCATAACAGTATCGGGTTGTACTGGAGTACTTCCACATGTCCGAAACACGCTGCATATCTTTTGCAGCAGAGCGAACACGAATCTATCTTGATTCGTCAATAATTTCGAGCGATGCCGGAATGAGATTACGCGAAATTGCTTTACAGCCATTGTGACGTAACAAGCTGGAATTATCAATTAATACAACAAACGTCACGCAGCGGTTAACCGGTTAATTTTACCCGGTTAATGGTTCAAATGTTTTCTTTGAAATTCCCAGCCCTACTGATGACATAATATTGGTTATTTATGTTGCTTTTGCTATATAAGTTAGTTGTACATAGTACATTGATAGTTATACCCGTTTTCTACCAGTACTGAATTGTTCTAGACTAGATAGATATATTGTATTGTGAACATATAGTGTTTCAAATCCATTTGAAAACTTGGTGGTGTGATATATTTCTTATGTTAACTTCTGATGCAATAGTTTTTAGAACTTTATATTGAAATATTTTACAATAAAATTGCACATTAGAAAAACCGTGATATATTCCACATAGATCATACTTTATAAGATACAGAAAATCAATGGCAAATTTTTTTCATATTACATTAAATTTTTTTCGAGTTTCAAGAGCCTATTAAACAATTCTTTAATTTTGAATTCTTATTAAGTTAGTATCATATGGTGGATAAAGACAATAAACAGATTATTGTAAACATTACATATACATATGTAAGATTATTATTCAAGCATACTTATTATCTATAAATTTTGTAGCATATTAAACAATTAGGATATGTTTCAGATGTACAACATTACTTTACCATATACTTGAGCATAGCTCTCGGGTCTTATGTTACGGCTTTTTAGATATTTCATAATAAATTTGGCTCGGCGATGTGGCGCATCGTGCTAAGCGTTAGGAATACGCTCGCCACCGCATCTCTGATTACCCTTCGTGGGATCGCAGGTTCGAATCCCTTGCGGGAATGATCATGTGCGAGAGGATTGCTGGACTCCTCGCCGCCGTGGGGTGGTTCACGTAACCGCTGGTCGGTCACGGCTTCCTCCACCATCAAGTCCATGCTTCCGAAAACAAATAACTGGCTAACTAATCCCATATCTGACCTGGACTAGTACTGTAGTAAGCGGACGAGAGGCCGTGGTTCGCCATATGATTAAGCCGTCTTATCGGATTTTCTCTCCCCCGGGATAAACATGTAAATCCTATCCTATCCTACCTGTCATCGCTGTAGGCAGAGTCTTTGACGCTGAACATTTCGCAACGACGGATTAACCGCAAGATCACCAACAGCAATTTGTGATGAAACCATGATTCACAGTTTTATTGGTGGGCTACAGGTATTTTGAAAATTTTGATCCACCCCAGACAAAATACTGACTGACGTGGGTAATCGAATCTCCCGTGTCGATAACTTTTGTGTTTTCCCAACTGCGACCCGCAAAGTCTTCTCAATTTTTTTTGCGGCCCTTCAATCTCGCAACCTTGGACCACCCAGGTATATAATATCTAAGTTATTACACCCTGAGTAGCTCGCCACTGATTCTTACAGTATCTTTATTCTGAAACCACTGACTATAGATCACACACTGAATTGATTACTAAACAAAGATTATATCGAGCACAACAAATATATTTCAAACAAATGTTAAAATCGTTAAAATGTGAAATAATACATATCATGAATTAATCTACAATTATTAATTGAATGATTGAAAGGACAGCTGTCATGTAGAAATATTATGCATCTTCTTATTAACACATGCAACCTCTTGAATAGCCACGACGATCGAGTTCACGAGATATTTGACAAATGTTGCAGCATACGCACCAACATCCTATGCAGCAATCACCCGCCAGAGAACCCTGAAATTTGCCAATCGAAAAGTGTTATGAGACATAACTTAATTACAGAAATTATAGAAAAAGAATGATCAACTTTTCAATTCCGAAAGAGGCTAATTAGTTTTATAATTATGTTATTATTAATACCGTGATGTTTTCTTTTCCTCGGAAGTACGGACGTGCAGTACTGGCAAAATGAGGGGCGCAACAGTATCCATATAGACATGATTCACCCATTCGGGTTGCCAAGTTTGCCGTGAAACAAACAGGGCAAAATGCTGTCAGCAGGCCTGTGTAAAAGCAAATCACCTTACTCATGCAAAAGTGTATTACATTACTGCAAATCACCAAAGTTCTAACTTAAACTTCTAATTTAAAACTAAAAATTGGAACTCATAGTTGGAACATTCACGCCACTTTAAATAACAGTAGGCTACTATCTGAATTTTGTACGTTACATACGTCATTTTTTCATTTGGATTAATTTTTTTTGATTCAATCGAAATGCCATTATTGAACAAAATTTGAAATTTGACGGGAGCAAAATCCATACAGCTAAATTTAAGGAAAACAAACGGACAAATTTTTGATGATATACAGCATTTACAACAATATTGTTGGCAAAAAGTCATGTGTTCAGCTTCCAAAACAGAATTCAATTTTTCTGCATGTTTACCTACAGCATCGAAGGATTCAATAGGTAGGATATATATAATCTTGGATTGAATTGAACACTTATACATGTTCTTACATGAACTGCAGTCCGTCATACATGCGCATAATCCCGACGACCAAGAAGACCTGTCCATTTGCTGAGAAACAGGTGCGCTGATTAAAGTCGTATGGCCATATTGTGCCGGGGGAACGTACGGACTTGAACAGTATATTTCTCCCGTTGTAGTTTGCGGAGATTCGTATTTCACCTGTTCCATTATGTTTAAGTGTTAGTATCTGTCAGAAGCAAAAAATTTAGAAACGATTTTATTTGTTCATAAAATGGGATTTTACACAGATTTATTGTATTTCTGTTGCTCCTATTACGCTATTTCGATAAACGCATTGTCCACCTTTCTCTGACAAGACTAGACTGATTTTACACATATGTGTTTGAGCATTAATGCAAGCAATTACTAAATTTTTCGACCCCAATGTACTTTCGAATAAAATTCTTAATAAACTGAAAAGATTTTCCAACATATTTTTATTATATATATATTTAGAAAAACAACAAGATATTTAAGGCCTTTGCATACGTTAAATATTAACAATGTCCTTAGCCTGACATATTAACAATTGATTAAGTATGGAATTCTGCTATATCAAATCATTCATTGAATAATTTATGTTTGTGTAATTCGTAACAGATGAAATAAATACCTAAATTGTTTGTTTTGTATAATAGATTACTTGTGCAAATAGGCCGTTAGAAATTATTAAGCCGAAATGCCAAGAATGCATTATATATTTAACAGTTATATATTTAACATATATGATATTGGAGCCAAATACTTACCATGAAACACACAATACTAAATCGTGTGTAAGCATTCAGGTTAAAAAATATTTGTTTTCGTTTTTGACTTTGAACAAAGTGCCTCTTTTAAACATGTAGTCTGTGCTAAATTGTCATCGCACTTTTGATTGCTCTTTGTCAGAATCAAGTTTTTTTTTCTGTACTCACAAAAGCCTCTATATTTATTTGTGCGTTGCATAACGAATATTACAGAAATAAACCTACAATTAACCAACCATAAGTGTCGGCATTATTGAACACGAAATGTAGGCTACACATGGATGATTTTGTTATTATGTTGTTGTTCATCTTGTTAGTATCCCTCCTCTTCTTGTAGTGAATAAAAAAACGCCTTCATCATTAAATGCTGGGCCAATTTATTTGAAATTTTCAATGGTTAAAGATTGTACTTACATTTACTATTTTAATATTATTTTTGTTGGCTCTATGGGATTCGTTCGTTGTCTGGTATGACGTCAGCAAATTTAAAATATTGCGCACTTTGTGGCGGTCCCGCGTTGACGTGAGTTGCTGTCTGGCGAAGTCGTGAAGACCGCGGTACCAATTGTCTACTGTGACAGATTTAATACCTGTACTGAGGCTGTATTACTTCGTTTTGGTTTTCGTGACCATATATTAGTGCATCGTTCCCTTGTTTAGTTACACGAGATTATTCGACGACGCTGCCTTTTGAAAAAGCAGAGAGGTTACGTCTCTTATAATATAGCACTGTTTCCGTGCAATTTATAAACCTGTCGATACAAACGATTCCAACATAACTTTTCTGCATTACATAGACGTAACGTAAGTCACACGTAGGACGTTGAACATTACAGAGCATTTTGTAGCGACAAAAAATACAGGGTCATACATGTCACCGGTTACCCGTCTTTTTGGCTACCAAAAGGTCGTGTTTTCCATACAATATAATGTCCGTAAAAACGTATATTCAATATTACCCAATAAACAAACAATGTTTCGAACAAATATTTCAAGAAAGGCAATCAAATTCACAGCAGGTTAATAAACAAATATTTTTGCGATGAATATAATGAATGATTAACATTATAATTTACAGCGACAAACACTTTCGCTTTAAATCAAGAGAGCAATGCTCAAATATATGAACACGAAAGTTAAAACGAACTAGTAATAAATCTTTTACAATACCGGTAAAATAGAAGATGTGATCACGGAACCAAGGCACGTTAATGACATAATCACACAAAACTTCGTGGTGAAAAACGAATCCCATACTGCCTACAGGAATTTTTGAAATGATTAGATAAAAGTAATAGCCTTCAAGCGCCAACAACAAGGTTTAACCACTAAAAATTTCAAAGCAATTAATCTTGTAGTTAAAGGGATAAACGATTTTTTCACAACAACAACATAATACCAAAACTATCCACAGGTCAGAAATACTTCATATGAATTTGCGTACGTTAGTCATTTACGTTGGGTTAATTATTTACATTGAAATATTCCTCTGCCCCTTTTTAACATAAGTTCATATAGCTATAATAGGAAAAAGTGACTTCAAGGCGGTAAACGTACACGTTTGTATTATACCAATAAATCATTTTAAAATATAATGTTGTATTTTCTATGGGAATTATCTATTATAATTCAAAAACAATGAATATATGTACATAAAAGTAATGTTCCATTGTCTTCGCACCTTCGTACATCTGCACCCGGAACCTTTTCACCCACAAACGTTTGCACCCATGAACATTGGCACACCCGGACATTTCCACCCACTTTCATTTTATTTATGTATTGCGGCTATATAATCTACCAAGCTCCCCAACTTTCCTAAACACCAACTAAACCCCTTAAACTAGGTAACCCGTTGCATATATTCACTCTTGTCCCAACTAGCGGACTACAAACAACAAAATGATATTGAGGTCTAATAGCAAAGCAGCACGCAATTGCAATGTTTTATCTAGTCTCTGCAATGGTTCAGTTTATCAAAGCCCAAAACGCCATAATCGGCTTTCCGCTTTATACATACAGTGATATAAAATGTTAAACATTCTATTCCTATTTCTCTTATTCACAGTTCAGTATATCTTTATTCCTAAGTGATTCTTAGTATATGGAATCAGGCTAGAGACCACGAATACAGTCGTCCTTAGCTTAACTTCTTTTCCTCACCCTGCTCTGAAACGTATGTTCAATATGGTAGTATGGTAACTTATGATGTAATATCTTTTAGTGCTGTACATTCAAATATTTTACAATATAATTGCACATTAGAAAAACAGTGATACAATCCCCCCCCATAGAGTTCCATGAATGAAACATGATTAATGATTTCACATTTTTCCATAGTCTAGCCACGTAAATCATACTTTACAAGCCACGGGAAATTAAACAGTTTTTCATTAAAAAAGTTCATGTTGAACTCTTAGGTTAGTAATACTATAGGTATTTTGAAAATTTCAAACCGGCAAAATAATGAAATGGGTAGTCGAATCCTCCGTGCCGAGTTCGAGTACGTAAGCTTTATGTCGGCCCCTTCTGTTATGTGAAGATACAAATGTTGCAATACGAAATTTGGGGGGAAAAGCATAGACTAAAAAGTTTTACAAAGCATTGAAAAATTTCAATTATACATCATTTCTGTGCCGGTCCGTGAAACTTTTTTGTCGGTCCGAGAGAAATTTCGTTTTTTTGTTGAACTTCTGCGTCTCAATTGCTTTACCGAACCCGAAGTTGCGTTGGCCTATTACGTTTTTTCTCCCCCGCCGTCATATTGCTGTTTGATAAGTGCGGTATTAATTGCCTGGTGACATCTTGACGCCGAGTAATCACACTCTTCGCCTTTTTAGTTCCGATTCATCGCGAAAGCGCAAGATTCATAAACCTAAAGATCGTCGCATGCGTTTTTTTCTGTCCTGCATGCTTTTCCTGCTTAAAATGACCACCCAAATAGAAGGTTAAGAATATCTCACGTGGTCACGAGACGAAGTTCTTTTCCATGTAATGCACAACAGGATTTTGACCCTGGTGCCAAAGTATCGACTTTGTTATTAATATAATTATGCTATTACTTTTCGTTCCACTCATTTCAATATTTTGCCGGTCCTCGAGTACAGTTCATTTAATTTTACCGGTCAGCCAGGGTAGAACGGTTGGGAACCACTGCATTAGATGAATATTCATCATTCATGGACAGTGGAATCAAGCATCTCTTAGTATAAGAACCATTGTCCTAGGGTAAATGATATACCTTATCTTCAACAGCATGGCATAATCTGAACATGTACACAAGCATGGCCTGTAGGCCTACTTCGACGCATTTGTTTGTGTGGTCGCAATTGATGAAATATTTCTTTCGGGATTTTGTAGTCTTAAGAAGACTAGAAGTATGACAATAAATTGGTAAATAAATGTGATGTCACAGTATATTGCTAATTCGTAGACTGCCACAGACCTGCCAGTCGCACGTTCACCCTTTAGCTTCAACGCCCACGTGAATGAAGAGAAGTTAGAAAACTCTATTCGATTTTATTCGTAAATTTCCACAACACATAGAAACGAATCCTAATCTTCTCCAGACTAAACTAGTTTTTTTTTAGTTGACTTCGTGAGTTCGCGTCATAATAGTTCAGTAATTATAAAGCAATTGAATGAGCCGTACTTGTCAGGCCGTAGATTTAATTGTGGAAAATGAAATTTGATAATGACTGGGTAAAACATGTTATGTTCCCAAAAGTGAACTAATTTGATTCCTACGAAAGTCTTTGTTTGAATTTTGGAAAAAATTAACCTTGTTTTTATAATTTTAACTGAAACTGGTTAAAATTGGATTGTTTATGCTATAGACGTATAGCCTATCTATTGCAACCCGAGTAACTTGTCGTTCATGCTTACAGAAATCAGTATCTTGATTCTGTATCAACCAACTCTACCACACACTTAGTTCATTACCAAATACAGTTTATATCGAGCACAACACAAATGTTCCAAACAAATCCAAAAACCTTCAGAAATTTGAACTAATATATCTCCTGAATTAATCTACAAATTTGTTTCAGTAATCAATCATTGTTTTTCGATAGTTTTTCTGCTTTCTAATGAGCAACAAAAATTTCAGTCATTGATTGATTGATTGAAATGACAGCTGTCGCGCATAAATAATATGTATCTTATCATACACACAAGCAGCTCTTTGGATAGCCACGTTGATCAAGTTCTCTAGATAGTTGACAAGTGCTGCAACATCTGCAAAAAATCTCTATACAGCAATCTTCCGCCAGAGAACGCCGTTATGAACGAAGAATTAAGAAGATGGTGACAGCCAAAAAAGTGCAGTGCTTTGGTTGATAAACCGTTGAGGATAGTTTTGGGAATTATCGTGGGTTATCTGTATTAGACATAACATAATTACAGAAAGTATGAAGAACATATATTCTACGTTTCAACTCTGAAAAATGCTAACTACCTTATAATTATATTATTATAAATACCTTGATGTTTTCTTCCTTTCGGGGGGACGTACGTGCAGAACCGCAAAAACAAAAAAGCAACAGCATGCTGATAACCATGATTCACCCATTCGTGTTGCCACGTTTGCCGTGAAACAAAGAGGGCAAAATGCTGTCAGCAGGCCTGTGTAAAAGCAAATTGCGTGGAATCATCTTACCCAGAAGGGAATCACACTACTGCTGCTTTCTACTAAGATAACACTGAAAATTTGACTTCAAAGTTGGAACTCATTGTTGGAACATTTATACTACTTTCAAATAATAGTGTCATTGCCTTTTTTACGATGCGTTTTTTTCGTTTAAATTGGACTTAAGATAAATTAATATACGTAATTGCTTAATTACCAAAAATGCCATGGTTATACAAAGATGAAATCTGGAGTGAGCAAAATTACTAAGGATCTAAATTTTAAAATAAAAACCAACAAATCTTTGATAATACACATTACAATGAGGTAGTTCTGTGTTCAATTTCTAAAACAAGAGTCAATTTGTCCGCATATTTAGCTTCAAAATCGAAGGATTCAATGATCAAGATATATACAACCTTCGATTGAATTGAACACTGTTATATTTTCTTACATGACGTGCAGTCCTCCCTACAATCGAATAATCCCGTCGACCAATAAGATTTGTCCTTTTTCTGAGAAACAGGTTCCTTGATTATAGGCTTATGGCTATAATCTGCCTGATGAATGTAAGGAATTGAACTGGGTTTATCTCCCATTGTTGTTGTCATTTGCGGAAAACCATTTTGCGGCTGCTGTTCGATTGGCTTTTATTCGTATTTAACCTGTTCCATGATGTTTTATAGAGTTAATATCTGTTAGAAGAAAAATATTCAGAAAGGCTTTATTGGATCTTGAAGACTGATTTTATAACTATACCTTTCAGCATTAATGTAAGCAATTAGTAAATTCTTTGAGCTCACTGTACTGTCAAACAAAACGCTTAATAAAAAGATTTTCCAGCGTAAATTTATTATATAATATTATTATTATCTAAGAAAGTATACAAGACCATCAAGGTCATCGCATCCGTTAAATATTAACAATTTTGTTTGCCTGACAAATTAACAATTGGTTAAGTATGGATCTCAGCTATACCAAACCATTATATTTGCAACTACCAGTGGCGTATCTAGGGTGTGGCAGCCATGGCTCGTGCCATGGGCGTTGTTTGAGCAGGGGGGCAAAGACTGCAAAAAGAGCATAATCATAAAAAGTTTCAATGAAATAATTTCAGATTGGGAATAACTGAAACTCGTATTTTTACTTAAATAATAACGTACAAGTACATCAATTCAATAAGAGTCATCATAAATTGTTAAACAACTATCGTGGGGGCGCATTTTTAGACTTTGCCATGGGCGCCATTCTACGTAGATACGCCACTGGCAACTACGTATATTTGCACCCAAATACATTTGCACATATGTATATTTACACCCAGGGACATTTTCACCCAAGAATGTTTGAACCCACGGACATTTGCGCCCACCGACATTTTCGCCCACGTACAATTGCACTCATGCACATTTGCATCCATGGACATTTGCATCCACGTACAATACCACCCTTATACATTTCTACACATGGACATTTGCACCATGGATTTTTCAATCTGTACATTTGCATTCAAGGATGTTAGGACATGGAACTGATGACATAATATTGGGTTATTCATGTTGCTTTCGATATATTAGTTATTTGTGCCCAGTACATTGAACGTTTTTTTTTATTGAAAAAGGCACTGAATTTTTATGGATAGATATATTGTAAACTAAGTGTTATAAAATAAATCTATGATATATTTCAGGGGTGGCAAACCTGCTTTCCATCGCGATCGACTAACATCTTCAAAAAAGCTCGCGATCGACTGATCGGTGACAAATAACTGCACACGTACATACAAAAAATTCCATCGCTGCCAACAAGCTTGGCTCTGTGGGCGCATTTTTAACGAAATCCATGAAAAATATTGTATTTTTCATGTTCCATTTAAGAATTTTATTATGTACATGTACACGGAGTAAATTTGCATCATTTATTCAAGATTTATTCGAATCATACAATTCAGATCTAAGGCCTACCTAAGTTTGGTCGTACGTGTTGAAAATTCCTCAAAAAACCTTGCCAAGTATCTATATTGTCTGAACAGCGAAAAAAATTATGCTCAAACCATAAATGTTACATTACTGCTCAAGCTTCAGTATCTAATTTACAATTTTCTCCAAGTCTAATTCTTCGCTCTATCAGAATTAGAAAAATTGGGCATTCTGATGCCACTGCTACCGTTGCAAATACAATTTATGCCACTACCTTTGTTGGAGTGAGATAATAACTTTCGTATACTGCAGAACGACTTTTATTTATGTATAGTGGCTATATAGTCTACCAATCTTCTCAACCTTGCTTAACATTAAATAAGGTCATAAAACTATGTCTGATAGATGGGCCAGACAAAAAAAGAAAAGAAGACCTATGCAGATCCTGAAAATCTGTTGCAAATAATAACTCTTGTGCCAACTAGCGGACTACATGTGATGTCGGTGGTCATTGGCACAAACAACATGCAATGTTTGATCTAGTCTCGTTAAGAGTTCAGTTTATCAAAGCCTTAAACTCTATGATAGGCTTCCCGCCTCATACACACAATCATAGAAAATGTTAAACCATGTTATTTCTAAATTTTTTTATTATCTATACAGTAGTTCAGTATCACTTGATTCCTGAGTGGTTATTCGTATATTACGATAGAGGTCATGAATATAGTCGTCCGTAGCTTTACTTTCTTTTATCATCCTGCTTTAGTACTGTATATTGAAATATTTTACAATATAATTGCACACTAGAAAAACAGTGATATAATTCACGTCATTCAGTTCCAACATGAATTCTTGATTTCACATTTATGCATAGTTCAGCCACATAAATCTTACTTTGCCAACTACAGATAATCAATGGCAAAAAGTTATCATATTACATTAAAGTTTCAAAAGATTATTAAACAAATCTCAAGTTTTTAATGTTGAATTCTTAAGTTAGTAACATATGGTGGAACATAAGGACAACAAACAGATTATTGTAAACATTACATATATATAAAGATTATCTTTCAAGCATACACAAATTAAAAATCTTCACGACGAAGCCTCGTTACCGTGGTTTTAAAGGTCGAGTGTAAAACATTCACTTCTAATGGTATCTTTACAATAATTATTCGTGGAATATTATATCTATAAATTTCGAAGCATATATGAAACAATGAGAATATGTTTCATCAGTACAACATTACTTTATATAAACACGATAACATCAACTGCCTTGTTGTTAAATATGCTCAACAGAAAATCGGTGTAAAACTTAATTCATGAGATCTTTGTCACATTCATTTAAAACAGGCATCCTTTTGGATAGGAACGTCTGTCAAGTTCTCGTGATATTTGGCACATATTGCAGGAATGGCACCAACATGACATACAGCAATCTTCCATTAACGAACCCTGAAAGTAAAATAAATGTGGTGACTGAATATATCGGTTTTTATACTGCTTATTTATTTGAGACACAACTTCATAAAAATGAATCATACGTGGTAGACTATTGGATTACCTACCTGAATGTTGTGTTTGGCACGAATATAAGGTCGAACAACGCTACTGAAGTGAAATCCACAACAACATCCATAAAGGGCAGATTCTCCAAGCCTTGTTGCCATATTTACTCTGGAACACGGACCACAGAAATATTCAAGTAAGCCTAAAAGAAGAAATATACTTGTCAAAGAATGCTGAGTATCGGGGTACGATTTGGTATAAAACTTTTCTTCGATCAAAAATCAGCTATATCGAGTTCAGGCATTTACTATTTATAGATAGAATATCTAAAAAAATATTCGATAAGAGAATATTTTCCAAATGATGAAATACCAAATGATGCACAGGGATTAATATATTTCTGACTCGTTTCCGCTATCACATTGCTTAGATCAGGGGTCGGCAAACTACGGCCCGCGGAGCAAAATAACAGGGCCGTGACTCTTCACTGAATTATATTACCAAAACAGCTGTATTGACGTTTATATTCTTTGTGTGACAGAATTTGTTTCGAGACACTAAATTATATTATAACCTAACAAGTATAGAATTCACAATCACTCGTTTAATGAGCCTATAATTGATTAAAATTAGACAAATGACAACAAAATGTAAAAAAGTTGATGCTCAGTGCAAATGGTTTAACAATGCAGAAAATATTCAAATAATTAGTCTTCGCGCATTGCTTGCAATTTAACTGAAATCTGTGTGAAAAAATGTGATTCATTGGCCATTCCTTCGGTTTTTTACTTTCTGAAAATATGTGCACCGCCAATGACTTGCAACCTATAATTTTGGCCTGCGAACGACAAAAGTTTGCCGACCCCTGGTTTAGATCAATTTCGAGCACAACGTGATCATCCAACACCAGCCCGTGACTGTAACATTGGTTACAATACTAGAAAACGATTGGACACACTTACATCCTTTCATGTCAGTGCCACAGTCGCACAATCCGGATGACCACATAGATATATTTAATGGTTGTGGCTGGCTAGACACTACGGCACTGGTAGTATGTCCAAACGAAGCACCATATTGTCCTGGGATTTGTCCAGTATTATACCCTTGATTTGTAGCCTGATAAGTTGGTCCACCTGGCTGATACTGTTGATTGAAATTTTGTCCCATTTGGGTTTGACTGACCACTGGCTCATAAGGATTATAGTTGGTGGGCGATAGCAGAGATTGTTTGTCTTCCATGGTGTCCAATTATCGATAACTTTCTTCGTCGGATTAAGAATAGATAATAATTATTTGAGTTTTCATCAAAAAAGAGATGATTAAATATATTCAGAACTGAAATAACACGATGTACATTGGGATGAGGTGTCTCAATAAATGTCGTGTCCCACATATGTTCCACACTTTAGCACAGTTCTGAGTTTGGAAGTATGGTATTGGTTAATAAAAATGGTTAAAGAAACCATATAAAATAGGGTGGGATGTTCCAAGTTAGATATATTTCTGAGAATAGATATATCACTTATGTAGAAGGTTATGGTATTCTTGTGAAGTAAGATTCATAAAACTTGGAAAAGTTCGACACCACATTTTAGGGACAACTAATTGCAACATATCACATTCGAATAGGAACGATATTATCCATTTACTTGTGATCTGTGAACGTTGTGCCTTGTGTTTATCTATTTTTGTCTTAATTAAACAAAGCAATGAGAAAGCGAACTATGAGACGAGGGAGAGAAGTAAGGCCCTGAACAAGAATCTAATATTTGTCAGGCATATCTTATATAGGTACCATTTTCATGACGGTATTCAGGTACTCTTGATAAGTAAAGCTATTTCAATTTGGATTTAGAAGGTTTTGCCAACTGACAAGACTCTCTCAGTGTGCTACAGCTTGTTTGAAGTTTTGTAAGAAGCAGAGATGAAGACAAAATTGCGATCCATACCTTTAGATGTAATATTAATCTCTATCTGATTTTTTTTTATTTTAATCTGGGATCTTTTGTACAAAGCCCCACTCAAAAAACGACCCTCATCATCGCCCAAGATAAGGAAATTAGTAATTATCCATTTAGGGTTAGGAATGCAGGTTGCACTGAAATTTTAAATCATTCCTACCTCCAACTGGATAATTACTATACGTATGTATATATGGTATTTAAAAACGCGGTGGGAGGTTTTTAGCAAACCTCACATTTTTGCATTAATGGCGGGGGGTTCGTACAAAAGATCCCAAAGATGTACCATGTTTTATAATCGCTGACCTGAGTTTCTAAGTATTTTACATTTTCATCCACGAACGTCAAAAGTTCTCTACAAAGTATCTAAATGGACCATTTTTCTGGCTTTCTGACGAGATCCTTAATTTATATCTTGCAAACAACAATTACAGAGCAAATCTGACTCTAATATATATAGAAGATAAATTGATCCAAAATCGTCCATGAAACTTTCTCCCTCTTCACTATTGTATGATTGCTGTATCAAAGTCTCCATCTAATCACGGGACTATTACAGTCCATACTGTGCACGAGACGTAACCTTTTATTTACTTTATCATGCATTGCATTTTTGATAAGTTAATCATTTTCAAACTACAAAAAATACCATACTTTGACAGGAATTATGTATTCTCAAGCATGGTCCGAATGAACATTTCACTTGGTCGAAGTGTGTACTATACGTTTATACATACAAGACATAACTATACTATTTCGATGTTAATCAAAGTACTGAATATTTGACAACAATTTTAGGCGATTATTTTAGCGCTAGCATCGCAATATCGTATAATTTTTTGCTAAACACCAAAGTTCCAATACTATATATATATATATACTCCATAACAACGTAACATAAATCCACTTATTTGGTCTATGATTGGTTAAGGCAGTGGTTCCCAACGTTTTTTTTATGTCGTGGCACACTATTGAACTATTTAAATATACGCGGCACACCTATCACAAAACAGGAACATTTCCTACTCTTGAAGCCATTTAGCTATAAAATAATAAAAAATATAGAAGATCAGATAAGGGTAATCTTATTCTTGTTAATATAACATATTCTGTATTTAGGGTGGATGGTTGATAGTTACCGATATTATAACTGTTTTTCTTACAATAATGTACACGAGACCCACTTTCGGAGCACCTCACATCAGTTTTGTCCGTGGGAATGGGATTCTGATGGGAATCCAATGGGAAACGTCCCATGGGGTGGGACAGCACAAATTTGTATTTCCCACGGGACACGAAAACCGTATGAGTTTCGGGGAAATGACGGTAAAACATTTCGTTTTGGACTTCTTATTCATATATTTGAGCATATCTCTTTTCTAAGCTATAAAGAGCAAAATTATATCCAGCATTAACAATATACATCGTGAAGGGGCTGATTGACACATGTATAATATTTATTAATATAGAGTTAACAAAGTCCGTAAATTTTATTGTTTTGTATAGGTCTCTTCGTACATGTAGTCCTATTTAGTAGACGCTGAAACTAAATTAACCAATTTTTATTGAATTGTATTCCAATGGGAATCCCATGGGATGGGACCAGCATGATTACTATGGGATGGGAATGGGACAGAAAAATATGTCCCACGGACAAGCCTGCCTCACATTATTGTAAAAGATGCGCCGCCGCACGGGTAATAGGTGACGCGAACACGCTTTGGTTTTTCTCGCCCTTCCCCTGTGTGTTGCCTTATTATTATCACAGGTATTCTCACTTTTGCACAACCTAATTCATTTTTATTACAATTTAATGTTTCTCCCATTGCCAAAATCATTCAACGGTGTAATTTTCGGCACTGGCGAAAGAAATGAAAGAGGCAAACAAACCGTATTTCATTACAACTATTAATTATTATCGCTAAAAACACTAAATAGGTTTAAACAATTTTCACCGATGAACGAATTATTTCACGTTATCGCGGCACACTAGTTTCACGCGGAGGTCATATTATACAACACTCGGCTTCAGTGTCAAACTGTGTCTCACTGTTTCAACAAATCTTTGTGTCAATATAACACCGAAAATGCCACACTATCCTCCTGACTTTTAAAAAGTGTGACAAACGCGTAGGTTTCAGCGAAATTCTCCTTAAAGACTGTTTTATCAACTCAAATATTACGTCTCATCAAGAATCACGTGCGGTTCTAACTGTCAAACAACATAGTTTGAGTTGGCATTGTTCGACGACGACTGGTTGACCCTACCAATTGAATAAATATATTGTGCCATGGATCTCCAGTGCGAAGATGAGTCGAAATGAAAATGTTGAACGGTTTTTGATGAATTTTTACATCTTATGTCAGATTTATAGCGTGTATGGGAAAACTTCTCCATATTTTACGTTTTAAATCGGTGTTTTCTCTCTCCGGACCCCAAAAACTAAGATTTTATCCGTTGGTCGTTACGTTGTAACTGGCGTCGGATATAATAATAATAATAAAGATATATATATATGCTAATTCACCATTCGTTTCGTATATTCCCGGAAAGGATTCAATGAAAAATAGACTGATGCTCTTGTCAATCTCTTCAACGGGTTGATTGAACTTCCATTCTCGATCGTTCAAACAAATGGGTAATAGTTAACCGACATTACAACTGTTTTCTCATATCAATGTAAACGATAGCGACTTCGGAGCACCTCACATTATTGTAAAAGTTGCGCGGCGCACGGGTAATACGTGGTCTTTAAACGCACTGCCGATCACGCGCTTCGGTTTTGCTCGCCCTTATTATTATCACATATATTCTCACTTTTTCACAACCTAATTCATTTTTGTTACAATTCAATATGTTTCTCCCATTGCCGAAACCATTCAATAGTGTTATTGTCGGCATTTGCGAGAGAAATGAAAGAGGCAAACAAACTGTATTTCATTTTCACCGCTGGGCGTATCTTTTGACATTTTGAATTTCGTGCAAGGCTCGAGCATAATTTGATAGCAAAGATCATAGCATTTACTATGTCGATACGCTTATTCGACTTTTCTGACCGCCGAAACTATCATAAAAAGATAAGCGTTTTTGTGTTCAAGATATGAAATAATCGTCAATTCCACCACGCGGATATTGATGAAGACGATAGTTGACTTTCATGATTTTACTTTACTATTGTGGCTGTTTCATTTTGGTATTAACTGGTGAATAAAAACACTGCAAAGTCATGGCCTGGAAGCCGTAAATCCTGAATGCTATTTTAAGTTCAAATTTTGATTAAATAAGTTGGCAATTCTACTATGAAAAGAATGATCGTTACATCTACCTGCCGCTGCATCCATGCGTGACCATTTTTCTCGTCTGCAAGCACATACAAATTGTCACCTGCTGATATGGAACAGTACTACATGATTACTTTTCCGGGCCATACACCGCATAGACGCACAAACTGGAGAATTTCCCACGGCACCCCTGACAATACTTTACGGCACACCGGTGTGCCGCGGCATTCCGGTTGAAAAACACTGCCTTAGATCAGGGCTACTCAACTATTTTAACCAAAGGTCCGTACACGAAACTTGAGAATTACTAGGGTCCGGTAATTACAAATAAAAGAATAATCCGTTATATTTTCGATGCATCGAGAAAATTTCAATATCACGCAGTGGTAACGGCATGACAAAGCTTCAGTCGTTTAGCTCAGCGCCGATTTTTCTGAAAGATGTGAAACATTCGGCCCCATAAGAAATTTGAATCATCTTTAAGACTGGAAATTTAGAATATATTAGCTGCGAAAAAAGGCGATTTGTCCGGCGGTAGTGGGAGAAATTATATTTCTTCGTTCTTGCATATAATTTTAATCTTGTTCTAGATAGTGAGAGTATACAGTATATATACAAGTATGTAAGTTTTGCAAAATTGAGTTATTTATTAAGTTTCGAAAATGCAATTTAAAACTGATAAGTAGAACGCAACAACAAGTTATTACTGTTCACGACTATGCCTAAATTCCGTAAAAAATGTGTTCGAGTGGCCGCTAAAACTTCAGTTCTTCAGTCATCTTGCTTAAATGCTAGGGTAAGTAAAGTGAGCCAAGCTTGGACAGACGTATATTGCTATAAAGTCGCAGTTTTTCTTCGGTGTTTTAGCGAAAATGCGTTCATTACATCACAACTGTGAAATAAAATAAAAAAGATTCGAAATCAAGAAGCAGCTGCGGTCCAAATTTAATGCTTGAAAGGTCCCGGATTCGGATCGGGGCCAGTTGAGTATATTATCCACTAGATCTACTCACACATCCGTAAATTGTCAGAGTCGCTTGTAACTATTAGTGCTCTTTCCTTCCTTACTTTATTATTTTCTGTGAGATTTGAACTAGCGATGAATAGTCGAAAATTTGCTTTGTATACAAATTTTGTTTCGAATATAATATTATAATACTATGAAGCAAAAACCTGGTTTCTGTGAGATTTGAACCAGCGATGAGTAGGCGGCAATTTGCTTTGCATGCAAGTTCTATTTCGAATATAATATCATAATACTACGGGGCAAAAACCGGGTATAGCCGAATTTTACAAAAAAAACAACAACAAATATTCACTGCGAGAAATAGGAATGTTACAGAATCGAAGTCAGTTTGAATACCTTAAGTTTTAAAATACACTCATGGTATTGCTATTTCATCAGATATGATTATTTTGACTGAATTCTTCATACTGACAGTATTGTAATTCAAGATACTTGCTGACGTGGTATAGGCCATAAGATGACTAATAAAAGTCAATACAATATAATCCGAGATAAATAGTAAAAGACTCTTATTATACTAGACTGGCGGAATAAAAGTAATAAACGGATTGCGATGATGATTTTCAAATGTTTTTTCACTGGTAAATAGCTGTATCGTATCGCTAAAATTTACACCAATGTTTGAATACGCAGAAGTTGAGATCATCGAATGGTATGCCATTCTCCGTTTTTTCATCATTTATTGGCATAAGTTCTAATATAAGCAGCCCTTTGGATATTCTCGTCTGTCCATTTCCCTTGATATTTGGCACATGTTACATGGTCCACAGAATGCGGTTACGAAGCAATCGTTTAGCAAATCACCCTAATGTAAAACAATGATTTATGATTATAGACAGAAGAAATTTTCAGTCGTTAAAAGTAAATATGTTATCTTAAATAAATATTTCGTTAAAAAAGATTTAACCTGTATATTGTGTTTTGCACGAAAATATGGTCTGATAGCAGTCGAGAAATGGAATCCGCAGCAGAATCCATACATAAAAGGTTGCCCAAGTCTTGTTGCCAAGTTTCCTTTAGCAAACGGACCAAGGAAACATTCTAACAAACCTAAAATAAAATAAACGATACAGTTTTCAAAAAATAAGTTTTAGTATCCAATGGTTGCCATTGAACAGAGGTCATAGTCAATTACAGTGTTTCTACTTGATACCTGAATGTATATTGACTTGTGAACAGCAAAAAAATTAAAACGAGACTCACATGAAGGAATATCATCACCACAATTCATTAGTCCCGTCGACCAAGTTTCTTTGACATCTAAACTAGTGATTGATTGCGGTTGCGCAGACACAACAACTGAGTGAGAGTGAACGCCATATTGTCCTTGACTCTGGGCAGCATATACCTGATGATCCCCGGTGTGGTAGTTTGCTGCACCAGGGGAGTAGTACTGCTGACTTTGGTGTGGTTGGCTTACAACAGGATCGTAAGGGTTAGGATTATTAGAAGACACCAGTAACTGTTTGTCGTCCATTACTTATACGCTATAGATTAAATTACATAAGCATATCAAATTTCACATTTATTCACAATTTCGCGCTGGTATTGCTATTACAACAACAAAAATAATTGACACGTATGTATAGCATTGCGTACGCAACCGCATAAGTACTCATAGTAATCAAAACATTACAAAAAAAATTACTCTTGCATTCATACTTTCATGATATAACGTAGACTAGGTTACTGCTAAAAGTTGCTAACGCAGTGTCGCGCGTCTATCCGCACTCCGCAGCATCCGAATACTGTACTTAATTTGAAAGTGAGCTAAAGCGGATATGGACTCGGAAATACCAATTATCGCTTGATATATCTTTTTGTAATTGAAATATCAGATTACTTCCGATAATAGGTGTCAGAACTCAATATTGCTTCAAGAGTCAAAATTTCTGATGAAACAAATGGGCACGCAAGCAATTTTTGGTACAATTCATTCATATCTTTTTCTTCTCACTTCGCTCAATGGTTCCGGCATCGACAGTCTTAAAATATTTAGTTTCCTTTGTTTCGAAGAAACCAAGCGAAGAGTCACCAGCTCAGTATAGTCAATAAAATTCAAATCTATTGTGTTTGGTTTGAGCGTGTTCGGGTACTTTTTTCTTAGTTTCACGGTACTTTGTATAATTATGAACAGTTACATAGACATTCAGAATGAATTGCCGTGCTTTCTTAGGTAGAGGCATTTAAATACATACTGTATATACATACTGTATTACCTAGGGCATAAAAGATTTTTTTCGAGCCCCGACGTTTTTACTTTTCTCAATAGTTTAACAGTGCCGCAACAACTGAAATTTACCCAGTCGCATGCATAATTTCAAACAAAGTGGTGATTTTAACGACCTAAATATCATGCTCGAGTGCGTACATGTACATTCATATCTCAGCTTACGGTTATGCATATCGATTCGCAAAAACACTTTGGACAAATTTGGATAAACATTTGTGGGTGAAATAATATAGCAACAAGCCGGTAGGCGCCCATTTGGATCTCCGCCATTGCTTGAGGCCCGCATCATTTCAGTTTACTAACGGATAATAGGAGACACTACTAAAAACGCCGGTTCATTTCGAACGCTGCGCGTTCCGCTGAGTTCATTTCAAACGCTGCGCGTTTCGTAGTCTTACTCGCGTGACTGGTATATTGTGGCTAAAAATTGAAAAATAATCTTCACTAAAATCCCTAAGGCTCCTCCAGTTTATGGAGTATCGAGACCAAAGATAACTTATTGGAAAGAGTATTTTGCTATGCAGAAGGTAGCGTTTTTGGAATTTTAATTTTCGACTTGGTTGGCGAGAAAACGGCGATGAATTGCGAAACAAATTGAAATTTCATAACGATCGGCGCGTTTTTCGTTGTTTCTATGAAAACAAAACCTCCATCCAAACTTTCCATAAAACGCACAATACTAGGGTGGCAAGACAACCCACGTAGAAAATTTTATCAAGATTGGTCCAGACGTTAAGACGCTACATCTAACTAAACAGACAGATACACAGACAGAACGACTGATAATAAGGGTCTCCTAGAAGCGGAGATCCAATAATTTAACATGATTATAGAGTCGGTTAAACGTTCGGTGCATCTATACTATCTCAGTCAAATGGCTCGGAAAACTTACCCCACCCTGAATAAGATTCTATATCTGCCCCTTAATATGTATGTATGTCTAAATTGTATTTATAAACAACATCACAAACGAGAGAAAATTATTAAGCCTCTACGCGCAGGATAAATTGTTTTTGTAGAACGGTAATGCCAGTTAAGTATGCGTAGTTAGGTTTAGAAGTCATAAACAAGTCCCCTTCATGTCTGATGTTCTAAACTCAACTAAACACTGACCATCATTCTTCTGCTGAAATCAAATGTGAAATTTCGATCATGAACAAAACTAACTCCATTACAGTCAGATACAACGACGCGGCTGGTGCACACGTGTAACAGTTCAAATAATTACGTCACATTGCATTGGATCATATGTCTGTGGAAAGTCAGCCTCAAGCTTTGTTACGCCATCAATTGAGCCATAACACAAAAAGCTTTAACCATGCAGCAATGTGTTTATTGCATAGTTTTGTTCAGCTATGTCGATGGTACCACCTCCCCTAGTCGATATGCCGTATGTAAAGTATGACACCAAACCCGTTAGTGAAATATTACATTTTCGAAATAATTAACAGCATGCCACCGTCCTGAAGAGACACTAAATTGGACTTGACTGGACTTCTCCGAGACCATTTTTTAGGCTACATATGATCTTACATAAAAATGACCTAATTGATCTCTAGACTTGGGTTCTCATTTTATTTGCGACATTCAAACGATTTTTACATTCTTACAAATGTTCTAGCTTTATGAAAATTCATACTAACTTTAACAGGCGGAAATTCTGTTTATTGATTAGTGGAGAGTTCAGTTTCACAGTAACAACGCAACTGTTTACGCGATAAGCTAGCATGTCGCTTCAACTTAAAGACAATGGGTACGAAATCGCTGCCGTGTTGCTGATGTTGACGTATTGCCTCTACTCGTGTCGATAGACTTTATTATAGATTGTGCGTTAGGGTGTTGTACATATATATATTCAATAAATGTTTATGTTTGAGACGTATCAGTAAAAATGTGTCTATCCATTCAGGAAGTCCGCATTCCTTTTTCGCAGCTGAGTCAGACCCAATGGCGTGACACAACTGTGACTGGATCAAAGTACGCAGTGAGCATACGGTATATCCCTCATTTCTTATGGCATTGTATGTAATTATTTATATACTGTGCGACGGCGAGCAATTATCTCGCACAAAACTAATCCTAGCGGGCCCAAACTGTGTAGGGTAACTGGCTGACTAAAGCCATACCCGACATGTACTGTTAACTGGACGATAGACCATGGTTCGTCATATGATTAAGCCGTCATAACACCTTTTTCTCTCCCCGAGACAAATATGTAAATCCTATCCCAGTAGCGCAATGATGTTTCTATACCCCACCTACGCAGGCTGCTGAACATCTCCAGAATCAGCATTTTCGTACATGTAAGATTTCGCATGCATATTAAGCTGTACTGTTCCATATTGCGAAACGACTTTGACTTGATAAGTTTGTTGTGAGCACAGTGTCAAAAAAGTGTTTGTATACCCATGTCGGGCTAAAAGTTATTGCTGACAGTATATTTATAATATAAATAACATTCTACATTGGTTGGGGGCTATGCAGACATGTTTTTTCCATGATAATAATAAATACCTGCTGAATTTATATGTAAAGTTAGGTACATCTGACACAATCACATAATGCTGTGGTGTTTATTGAATAATCCTACATTTGCTGATTTTTTTTCCACTAAATATCATACATATATTGCATTAGCTCCAACTTCCAGCTTTAGAATTTCAACTTAAAAGTAAGCAAAATGTCTTTTTCAATTGTCCATGTTTTCCTGACAACTAAAACTGTTATGTTCCCGCTGAGAAGATACATTCCGAACTGTTTGCATAGTTTTTATTAAGTACAATGTATAGCCAACCACGCTTAATTGCTTCATGAACATGCTCCAGGCTATGGCATTTTATTTCATATTTTGACAATAGATGAAATACTCCTACGCAAATACTTCTCCCGATGTGAATCGAATATAATATAGAATTACACAAATGTTGCAATTTTCTTCTATGAATTGGATTATTTTTTATCCGTTAGCTAATCGGAAAAATTGTCTGATGTAATACCTTTCGACCAGTGTTCTCTCTAAGGTGTGCGCGTGTGCGCGCGCACACAGCTTTCAGAGGCTGCGCACACGCATAGATTTACTGCACACAGACGTATTTCGATTTAATGTAACAATGTTCTCGGTTGGCAGGTTAAAAACGTTTGTTGTTGGCTCACCCATTACCCGGTTAGAACGCCAAAATTTCTTCATTCGTTTTTGCACAAATATTAGTCATTTCCAAAAAGTGCGCACACACCAAAACTTCTGCGCACACATACTACAAAAAAGGAACGTTGCATTTGAGTATTGTCATCCTATATTCAAATGTGTGTGACTAGGCCTATACCCTCATCTTTTTGAATCTAACGAAATTACATAAAAAAAATATATATATTTTCTTTTTACATCCTTTTATATCACTAAAATATTGTATAATTAGAGTGGTTAGTTGACTTTAAGGTAAAGCTTGAACAGAAACTGTTGATTTTCTACCTCAGTCGTTCTACCCTATTAATATAGAAATGCTGTGAATGTACCCAAGTTTCATGTCCAAATGTTTAACACTTCCAATACGTTTTCCCTCTGATAACCATTTTTTATAAATGTATGGTATTTTTACATTACTCAACACGTGTTAAAGCGCTTATTGATATATCCAACGAAGTTTTTTGCTGATCAATTTTATTAAAGCAATAGTTTACTCAACCGTAGAGGGTGCTCCCAAGCATTATCACGATATGACGTAATCATACCCAATAGCCGTATTGTTGTGTACATGTAGCTTTTTTTGTGTTTACGTCGTTTATATCAGCGAATCTGTAAAAGCAGCTTTTGACTGCAGACCTAAGTGTTCGTATCGCTTTTCAAATTTTTTTGCGAATCTGTGATTATTCGACTCTATATTATATAGTTCAGATATCGAGAAAGAAAAAATGATTCATATCGTGCTTTTAAAGTTGAACTGAAGATGCAAAATGATTCTGCTTGATTCATGTTGCTTCTTTAGAGGTTTCCTTAGTTCCTCATTGCCGCAGTGTTAACGATGTCGCATATTTGGAATTCTATGTAACTAGTAGAAAAGAGAAGAAACGATACTGTGCCTGCTTACTCGAACTTTTGGTGGTTTTCATTTGATGGCTTATTCGTTGATACCCTAATTTGTTATATATGTTTTTATCGCTTTCTTAGTTTTTAGTCATATAGTTATTGATGAACAATTATAACGTTTTTTTACCGTAGAAGTTTTTTGTTTGCTCACAAGATGTGACAAAAGGGCAGTGAGAAAACGCTTTTGTTTTGTTTATGTTGGGCAATTAAAAGATATTTTTGATACGAGATTCGGCTCAATTTGATATTTAATTGTATCCATCCTGAACTCCTACACATTTATCAACTTTTCTTTTAACTCAACAACAAGAAAATCCTCCATTTCAAGCTGATTATGCCTGGGCAAACAGACTGCGTAGACTACATTCTGGCAATATATGTGATACTGTTTCGAGAAGTATAGTACTTTGCTTAGACTGAATCTACATTCTATATGCAGCTTATTAATTACCACAGAAAACGTTTTATTCGCATATATATAAATATTTCTATTTAAATAAATAACCTATTGCCAATCATATTTTTCTCCTATGAGGTTAAAAAAAATTTCATTATAGGGTTTATAAAATTTTGTTAACAAGTTTACCACTCTCGAATTAATTTTTTCAGACAATGATTTTGATCGAGTTCGTCCCTTGTTTTTCATTACGTAGCAATTTGGTTCACCGTAGGTTACGAGTTTTTCTCCATTTTTTGTCTGATTCACCAACAGTGGTCTCGAAAAGTAAAACCCAGTGTCACGATTTTCAATGAAGTTTTCTTTCGTGATGAATTTCGGAATCTGTAGAAATTCTTGAACCTAGAATAAAGTTTAATTCCATCAAATTTGGTTGAAAAATTCTACGAATAAATAAAACATTGTATCTTTACATGTAGTTTAACAAAAATCGTATAAAATGCGATATCAATTAATTTAGCTTTCGTGATTTAGTACTGTAAATCTCTTTACTACAAATGAATATATATTTATCAATAATAACCTTCTCTACAACATTCCACGGCTCTTTCATGATTTCTTCTCCGTCGATAACAAGAAGATCGTTCTTAGTATAGAGTTTCATCCATCTGATATACCAAAAATAACATTGTGGTATCAAATAAGAAGTTAGTACATTATTGTAAAAAAAAAAAACTACCCAAAAGATCATAAAGCAACAATTTTGTTAATTTATAATATGATTTTCATGTTATAAATTTGACCATTTATTCGCGATACCTTGCTGACAATCTACACTTACTAACAGGACTATATATTTTGTTCTGCATTTTTACAGTATACATTCAACTAATTTCTAAGATTTTTCGCAAGCTTGAACATTTAACATAAACAAATGAAAATCTTGCATCACACCAAACCAGAAATAACGTTATAAAATAAAAACTCTAAAATTGTGATGCATAACCCTTGCGCCACCTAAAATAGCTGTTTTGAATCTTGCTGAAATATCCTTGCATTCGGTACATACGGATCCACTAACGCTGAGGAAGCAAGAAAGGAACAATATTCAGGTACACGCTAATTTTTTACTGAAGTATCATCGAGTTACAGATGATGAATAAAAATTATATTTACCTTTTCAAATGGTAATAATAAAGTCCGTGTGTAATAATGTGATTATTAATATCTTTGTCCATAGAGTCAAATATAAAATTTGACATTGCATCATCATCTCTCTGTAGTCGAGATGATTTAATACCAAGTAGATTCAGTAATTTAGAGTTGATCAATTTGTCATAATTTGATGTTCTAGGCAACTTTGTTTTCCAAATCTAATAAAAACAACAAAATTCAATAAATATTTCGAGGTGCTGATAGTAAGAACTGAGTTCGCGGACTATTTTCTCACCGGCGAAAACCTTTGCGGACTCAAAGTGCGTTTATTGCAACCTGTGCGAAGAAGCAATAAAATTAAATACAACAGAATTGTAACGAATTTTAAAATCGGAAATGCGCCGCAATTACGCGTTCGTTAAAAAGAGCCGACTTTTTAGTGTATAATTGGCTTTCTGTCGCACAATATTCAATCAAATGTCTTTCTATATTAATTTAATTGTGTTCATGGTAACTCGTGGTTGCGTCGACTTACGACAAGGTGAAAGCATTTCTTCTTTAAAATGCCAATCGGCAATCTGTGAACATAATAATGTGAGACTATATTGCCCGATTTTATTTAGTTTTGTTACATATTTTTGCAATCTTGCAAATTTGTTATCGTCGTTAGAAAAATCTCATTATCTGTTTTAAATTTCCAGAAAGTACAACTTGATTTCGCCTTGCTTTATTATTAATTTGATTGTGATCATTTTAATCTGCGATTGTGTTGGCGAAATAAAAGCAATACTACTCAGAAAATATCATGACAATCCGTGGACACAAAAATTCGTGGTTAAGGGCCCGATTATATTTTGTTTTGATTCCTATTTTTGTGAATTCCACAAATCTGAGCTGTTCGTACAACACTTACCAGTACTGTACGGCGTATCAATGTTGAGGCAGTAAAGCAAACAATCCCAAGGGAGGATGCCCTGGTATAGGCCTACGTATACTACGGTACAGTGGCGTAGCAAGACTCTCGTGGCCACCCCCCCCCCGCAAAAATATTTCGTGGACATAACCTAAAACGCAATGGTAAAAGGCAATGGCCTAACCTAAAATTTGCCGTTTATTTCGGTTACTTTATTTTTTCATACGTTCTTTCTCTTCTGCCCCTTTTCTGCGTTTCTGTGCGCCACTGAGAGGTTTTGCTTTCGACATCATTTTGACAGTCTTCGTAATTTTGCCGGTGCGATCAAACCACAAGACGCCGAAAATCGACGATTTCCTGGCATTGTTACGTAACAAAACGATTTGAGCAGAACTAACATCAACGTTATAAGATGTGCATTACTTGCACTGCAGCTTTCGGTTTGCGGCTTAAATTTATAAATTCTAACTGCTTGGGCCCCTTTGCGCTGTGCCCCCCCCCCCCCGCGACCGCGGGAGTTGCGGGGGTGGATGCTACGCCACTGCTACGGTAGCACCCGAAGTTTTGCGTTTTGCAATGTCTGAAAAAGCGTTTTTAATCGGTCGCAGACCATCATAAAACGAAACTCATGGTGTTCTCCGTTTTATTTTTAGTGTTTTGTATTGCCGCTTTTCAATTTGGAAAATTCGGGCTGCTACCATCTATCGACGCGTGTGCCGACTGTTTTCGTCGAAAATTCGTGAGTGAGTTGTGAAATCCAATCGTTTGATTAAGCGACGCGCACAAGTGCAAGTGACCTGTCGCGTCACCTGTTACCAAATTTTCGAATAGATGCCTAGCCCTACTCATTAACCAGTAATTATTGACTCGATTAATGTTATCAGAATAAACTTGCTTTTTATGTAAATTCCAACGTAAATTGGCTGATAGTTAAGTTCCGCAAAATCGTTTGCGGCTCGCACGAATTTCTGGCTCGTTGCGGACTCATTCGAACGCTCCACGGACTCATTTGAGACCGCGGACCCTGGTTGGGAAACACTGGACTAGAGTAAGAATTAGTGACATAGTCAAGTTTATTTTCGAGCCAGCAATATAGAAAACGAAACAAATACAAATGTCTTAAAGACCTTATATCACTGGGTAAGGGAAGCCGCAGGGAACTGAAGCTGGTTATCAAGCAATGGCACCCAAGATTCTAATATCCAATCAAGATTTGGACTCGGGAGAATTTGGAGGGTTGGGAAAATTATTATTCAAGATTTTCCGGTGAATGTTATTGCTGAGAAAATATTCACCAATCTGTATTGTACGGAAGAGCTACGATCACCAGATGGCCAATCGGGGTATTCCCCCATTCATTTGGACTACCGGCAGCGAGGATGGTCTTGCTGTGGGAAATATTTGAGAGTTACATAAAACAGCGAAGAATTTCATCTTCATTACACGCATGAAACTATGTTTTTATTTTTATTGGTATAATAGAGTATTTGGAACTTAAAAGAAAGTTTCTTGACCCATAGGCCATAGCCAACTGGTTTTGACAAAATAGAACAAATGAAAACTCTTTGTTTCAAAAACTGAACTAATTTTAGTGGGCTACCATGTTTTCTTTGTGTGGAAATTTGTCGATTTTATGACTCTAAAAAGATACTGTATTACGAAGGGTGAGAAAAGAAGGTAAATTTAGAATTGCACTATGCCAATGTTTTTGTTTGAATGAGGTTTCACAAACTGTAAAATGTATTTTGGAAAACTGTGATATGTTGTTGATATGGGTGTTTTCACATCATCCTTCACCTTAACCCAAATTTAGGTGCACGGTATTAGGTAAAAGAATGGAATTGCATAAATATATGTAATTCTAACTCACTTCTTGTCGAAAATCTGAGTATGTTCTATTCACAGGATCACACACCATAGCATATAGTTTAGCATTCGGAACATCTTCTTTCACTTGTCTTGGAATATTTTCCGCGTCTGTGAAATAGGATGGTGATTTTTCCATTGCAATTTGATAATTAGTAAGTTGTGGAAACTGTCTTCTGCAAAAAAAAAACATCAATATCAAAACAAAATATAGTGTATATGTTAGTACAGTAGTAGAAATATATGAATATTTTTTAATAAGCGTAAGGGACTAGAAAATAAAAACATTCGCATTTAAGATCTTAAATTTATAATTTTGTTAAAGTAAAGTTTGCTCAAACTCAGCGACTTTTAAGTTGTTAGAACACTTGGAAACAGAACATATATATGTCCAAACTCAGGTAGCTGCAAGTTTTGGAAAATATGCAGTCTTTTTGAGACATGACAAAAAGATGATTTCGGTCAGTTTTCGTATGTCTAGAATTGACCATAATATCGGAATTGTCCTCGAAATAGCGACGTTGTTTGACTTTATCATCCCCGTATTGAACAAAACTTATTTTTTGCTATATGCGTAGAATGGTATCTACAGATTATAGGCAGCATAATTTGTTATTCATGCATCAGCATGGATTTATTTGATCTAAGTAAACATCATAACATTCGAAAAAAACTCATACATGGGCTTCAGGGCCGGATTTCGATGATGGAGGGCATGGCACAATAGTAAAAAAAAATTATTAATTTTGAACAAAAAATATTTTTTTGACAAGAATTAATCCGATTAAAAAAAAGTTGACAAATATCAGTTTCATAGAATTTTGAACCGAATATATTTTGGAACAAGCCTTTAAAATTTAAAAACGGCCTAAAAATGAACCTCATGGTTCGAAATTGAGTGTCTAAGCCGCAAAGACTTAAGACCTACTTTGCTTAATGATAAATCTGTTCCTGATAGGCCCTACTACTCGTAACTTGGCTCTCTCGCCCTCTTTATTGATTTGTTCGTATCGTTTGCTGTTATGCCTGTATTTTGACGACATATTAGAAGTAGTGATTCAGAATCTTGGATACGGCGGTATCGAAAGGTAACAATTGATTGTCCAATTATCATTTAGTTATAAAATATCATACTCACCCAGCAGTATGTTTCGAAAATTAGGGGGTGGTAAATAATTTGCTATTAGCGATGAAACTATTTGTATTCTTAAAAAATTGGTATGTATTTAAGAAACGATGTACATGAGGGGGTCCCCCAAGTTGATTGACGGCGAGCCAAAATCCACAGCAGAATAAAATTGTAGGGCCAGAAAAAAAGTGCGCGACGACACGGCTGGGGTTCAGGGCGCGCTTAAGCGCCCTGAGAACATTTTGAAAAATAGGCACCAAAATAGGCTCTAAGCTACACATAGCATCGCAGTTTATTATGTAATAAAATTAATAATTATAATATTTGGCTGATAGAATTCCCGAGAAATAAATAACAAGCACGGCTTTCAAGCAAGTAATTTACAACTGATAGTGACTAATGAAGTTACTTGTTCATCTAGCACATGGCATCGTATGAATGGCTACTTATGGCTCGTTTTGTTATACATTTCACATTTTTTTGAACATGTTTGTTTGACTTTTGTATGAATTAAGCAATGAATTGAATTTTGAAATACGCGCGTCAACTGATCATAATGGCGCATAATGTTATATTCCTTCAGAACTGAAATATTTTGTTGGCAAAAAAGACAAATCGCTAAAGTTTGGTTCTTTTCAATAAAGAAATAAAAACGCTGCCATTGATCTAAAAATGTCTGTTTCCAGTGACTAGTTTTCGTTTTGTGACATCTTTAAGTTTTCTTAATATACGGCTGATATCTAAAATACTGCGGTGTGTAATCCTAATACACATACGTATACATAAGATATACCGATATAATTCAATTGTTACGAAATAAACGTGCTTAAACTGTGATAATGATGTAAGGATAGACGGTATCTAAAACTCAAAAGTTACCACATGAAGTGTTAAACCAGTAGTATATATTTACGGTTAAACATATATTTACGCTTCAACTATTCCACTCAAGTTCGGCGGGCCATTTTAAATCGTTACGCGGGCCGTAATTGGCCCACAGACTGCGGTTTGGAACCCCTCATCTACACTGATAAATAAATATTGCCATAGTCGTTATATTTGAATACAATTATAATTGAGTTAGGAATTACAGTGTGGAATCGCACCTGGGAATAACAGTGTGGAATCGCACCTCAAAATTAGTGGGGGTGTTTGAAATTTTAGGGGGGGTGTTCACCCCCTATAGGGGGGGTGTAGGGAAATCACTGCTCACCAAGTGAATAGTATATTACATGGTATAAACTTACAAATAATGTCCAATTCCTTCAGAATATTCCTCTTTTCTGTCAAAATAGTGAATTTCTCTCCCGTTCTTTGCAGCTGGGAGAAGCATTGGATGCGTTTCAAGCATACATTGCAATGCTCCGGTGCCGCATTTTTCAACACCTAATCCGATCAATCCCGGAAGACGAGGATATTTAATCTAAAACACAATGTGAATATTTAAATATAAAAATGATCGAACCTAAAATTTGTGTACATTACCCATAGAGTCTATAAATGATCCTGTGAATGTTCTTTAACTTGGATTATTCTCCATTTTTTTTACTCCGCGCAATATTTGAAAAATAAACTTTTATTATTATTATATATATCGTTGTCTGTTAAGCGTTGTAACAGACGTACTCACTGTATAGGCCTCATACCGACAATGTAGGAAATGTAAAAAAATAATACATACATTTTCAATCTTTTCCGTGTCTTTTATGAATCTGAGGAATGCTTTGTCTCTTTCTTGTACAATTTTTTTCCGATCGCTTTTATCAGCTTCCCAAAACCATGATTTTGAAACTATATTTTTATCTGTATATTTTGGCCGAATTTTAAAGTCATCAAAATTCATATCGTCTTTATTGTTTGAAAGTTTGATATTTTCAGACGACATCACTTTCTTATCAGTCCTAAATTTGTTATTATTTTGAATTTTCTTCTCGAGGATAAAATGATTAAGTTGATCGGGATTTTTTTGACTGTTGTTCTCTCTTGTTACAAACTCTTGTTTGTAATTTTCCTTTCCAGTCGATGCCGACAATTGAGGACGGTTTTTGGACGAAATGTACTGAGATTGGGGAGAAAACGAGTTCATCAATTTTGTCTTTTCAATTTTGTGATTTTGAATATTTTGTTTTAATCCTGCCTGAACTGTAGAAAATTTCTCCTTTTTCTTTTCCACTGTATTTTCTGAAACGCAAGAGAAGATGAAAAATAATGATTGAAATACAGGTAACCTTCGAAAGATGCATAAAATCTCTCAAAACGATATTGAGAGCAACCAATTTTGAAACTTTTAATTCAATTTAACTAAATCCTAGTGAATTGATTACAATAGGTAGATAGAATTTATTAATTCAGACTACTTTACTGGCAAAAATATTTCAAAAACAGGCGAATCATGAATTGTATATCAATGTGTTTGCTCATAAAATTGAATAAATAGAAGAAGAGAATAGTAGAAGTCCTAATATTATGGCATAATATTTAAAGCATGGGCCGATATATCATATTCAGTAGCTTTGTTGTAGTTGGTATTTAACGGAATCAGACTGATCATCGATTTGTCACTTTTACTGATTTTATTATATATATATGTTAGCAAAGTTGCGATCGCTCTTAGGTTCCTCAAAATATTTGGATTATAGTAAAAACATGTTCACCATCCTGACTATTGCATAGTCAATGTTCGGGGCGAATGCATATATTCTTTACACTAAACCAGTAACAACACCATGAGTGACGCTGCTTGAAAACCTAACCAGGTCCTTCGCGACCCTGTCGCTCAATCAACGTTACTAGTTTATTTATTTCTGTACCATTTTTGTGCATTTTTTTGTGACGACAAATAAACGACTGACTGAGTGACTAATCATGTTCCATTTACTGTTTATGACAAGAGAACAGTGCTCATGTAAATAAACACGAAGGTAAAAACTAACCATGGTAGCATACTCAGAAATTTCGTATCTGTCCATTCAAATGCTTCTTTGTCCCATCACTGTGTGTACCCACATGGATACGGGTAGGGACTTTGCTGCCAAAATGGCGAACAAGCATGAAGGAATGCCATGGAATATACGCAAAAATAGGAAAATTTGTAGCATTAGCACTGTATTTAAAAAATAGAGGAACTTAAAAATCACCTTTTTGGGTGTTACCACCGTTTTCAGATATTTTGTATATACTTCTTCTGTATGAACCGTACAATAGAAATGTTAAAAATAATATCCCAAGCATAATGGGTATATTTTTCGGCTTTCTCATGTTATAAATACTATTTTATTTTACCATAATATGCGATAAGCTTTACTGATTAGATTATAACTACCCCTGAAATTTGTAAAGTACCAATGTGGTTTTAGTTTTACTCGCATATATTTCTAATTAAGTCTACCCAATTTGCTTCGGCCTCTTAACTTGACCACTATTCTAATACAGCCGTAGTATTCACTGACGACGACTACTATTTGCCTGTTATATATATATACTACAACGTCTTACGTCTGTAGACGTGTACTGTATCTGTATTTAGTTACACAAGTTAATATCTGACAAAAGATACGATTTGAACAGAAACTGGCAATTGAAGACTTAATACCAACTTGATTGTCAATATTGAAGAAACTGGTTTTAAAGTTAAATTCATACAATGTCAGTATTTCTAAAGCGAATAGTTAGTTGCCCCCGGGATATGAAGTCGGAATGGCGCAGCAAACTCAAGCCATGCGTCGAGTTACAAACTTTACCTTTGAAGCTTGGTCTCGGTATAATTCTTTCATTGATTCCCCAATCATGAATTATAGGATTAAGACAATGACATGTTTCTGAAGTTCAAGGAAACAGAAACAACGGATGCTCTTACGGACACGAGGGGTCATCAAAGAAACAAAAATTCGGGCTATTCGTTTCTTATTACGAAGTTCTACGATAGAGAAAAGATTTTTAGCAATTCAATTGCTCTTCTTAATTTTGCGTAAAAAATCCATTATAAAGTTTGAAGCATGTTCACCGAATATTATAAGTTCAAAGTTACGCTATTAAAACGCCAATTTGCATAGAATATAGTGGATCTAAATTTTAAATATTCATATTGGATATACTGTATGGCAAGGTATACACGGTGATAAAATAGATTAAGATAAAATAAAAGTGCGGGTCGACCTGAAGTGAAATCAAAATACTGTTTCTAAATACCTATATGTAATCAACTTTTTATATTAAAAATGAAAGTTTTTAATTTTCTTTCTATTGCGTCGCCAATGAATTGCATTATTCAATTTATCAGTGTAGGTGGCGTTATAACATTGTGTTATCGATCGATTAAATCCATGCCTTCAAATATAAAAATGTAAAACTCATTTTAATTATATTCGCTCATTAGGTTGGAATTGACTGATATAGAAAAACACCCAATTCGAACAATATTTAAGGTGTATTCACACACTGTAAAAAAAATTTAATTACAAAGATTTATCCACGATAATATGGAAGGGGTTTGGGATATTGACAACTTGTTTCACATTGACTGTTGAACAAGCTTCATTGCACCTTATGAAAGTTTCTTAAAAGTAATGTAAGCTGACTCAAACATTTTAGTACAAATTACAAAACCCTTACCAGGATCGGAAAGACAATAAAATTGTAATTTGAAAGAGTGAAAACTTGTCATGTCTGATTTTGAGTTATTAATAGCGTTCAGACAAAAATAGTCAATATTTGCAGCAATTAAACTGACTCAATTGGTCCCCATTTTTTGCATATTTTAAAACAATATTTGGACCACGCGTGATGAGAATAAACTTAACATTTTGTTTCCAAACAACCTTTCAATGAACTGACGAACAAGTCATGACTCAGATGACCTTACCAGCAACGATGGTTTGTAAATCACGAGTCAAAAAGGATGCTTCACTGACACAAAACCATATCATTTGAGTCGTATTTTCAGTGATGTATCAGAAGAAAATAGGATCCACGTTGGCTGTAATCTTTTCATTTTAAATCTTTATTTCCTCTACATTAGAATTTCAACGACGGTTACAAGGAATTTCAAAATCAAGTTTGACTATATTATGAGAAGAAATGTGCCCAGTTAACGATAGATGTTTACTTTCGTTCAATGAAAAACTTGTTTTATCTGATGTGGCCAAGTGCAATATTACCATGTGGAAAAAACACTCATGTCACTTAATTTTGCTATTTGTTATCGAACAGCTTTACATATATTGTGTCTGTTTTTCTATTATTACTGGTTACCGTAAGGGTTCATCAGGAAGTGGGGGTAGGCAAGTTATTGAAACAATGCTCAATAACTCTACTGGTTTGTGACTTTTTCTGCGACTTTTTTAAGAAACAAACCATCCATGACTAAGAAAGATTCAACTTATAAAATTTCAGATCTTTTAACGTTTGGTTGTTTCGAAGCGGATAGAGTTGAAAATAAAAAGCGTGAAATTAAGTTATGGATCTTGTGATATGTAGTCGATAAGCACTGTTAAGAGTTACGCATTTTAAATCAAACATATTTTAATCATTTTTGTGATATTGATATATCATTGGCTCCTATTTTGTTGACATCAATTAAACTCAGTTTTCTCCAGTTCATCTTATCTTTCATCTGTAGTTTAATATTCCGCTTTGCAACTATTTATGTATTGATCACAAATCTAAATATGGTATATTTAAATATATTTATGTGAATATATTGATGTAACAATAAGTTTTCAATGACCTTATTAACAGGTGATTTTCAATTTTTCATAATATTGAAAAAATACTTCAAAATATTCTGTAGTGAAAATTTATTGAAGAAATAGTGAACTGTAGTATTAACAAAAATATGAAAAGGTGGATGAAAAATGAATTTTAGATGAAATATGAATAAAAAAATAACTGGCAGTATAGCAAAAATTCACTTATTAGTGAAAATATACAATATGAATAAATACACCTGGAGAATAATCATGAATGCTTACTTCAGAAGAGTAATCAAATCAAAACTAAAAGTCCTATTAGAAGCAACATCCAGAACATATTTTGACTTAAATTACTGCTGAGTGCATTGTACTAATATTGTTTGCTCTATTGTTTTTGACACTTGATCATTATAAATATTTTGATTGAAATGATAAAAAAATGAAGAAATATCGTATAAATAGTCTACTCATTTGCTTGGAGCATACTGGAAAATAAAAATGAAACAATAAAGAAAAATACTGTTCTTCAACTCAAAATGGAACAAATGAAATATGTTATGCTATAAGCTTTTTTGACATACTTTCTTTCAACGCGATGAAATAATCAAGATAATCGTGTTAGTTGAATTCAGTTTTGAATTCTTAGGCCTACGCTATTAAATTAAAATGATTCTTTGTTGAAGATGAATTTTACTTTCTTTTTTGAGCTTGATTGTACACATTGTTTTCTTACTGCGTTATTTAGCGATCTTGGGCCACAGCAGAACACACCAATTGATGATCTAAAAGGAAAATGAATTAACATTTCGTTTAATATTGTAAAGTAATTTGTAAAAATGGCAACTTTACGGAAGAATGAAAAAAAAAGATTCTCAGATATTGCGTTTATCTCGTAGTTTGCAGTTTGACCATTCCATTGTCTCCCATTATCAGTTTATTAAACTGTGACATGAAATATATTTATCAAATTGTTATATTTCAGTATCTATTATATTTGAATAGTTTGGTCAGGGTTGTCTCATTCGATTGAAGATGGTCTGGCATATATGTTAATGTTTTAGTACTCGCACAAGTTTGAGTAAACTTAGAAAGAAATTTCATTCAGCAAAATTTTAAAAACACCTACTTTTGATGTCGAACTGACAATTCTCGAAACGTTTCCTTGAAGTTCGGACGTCCGAGAAGGAGCCGACTTCGCTCGAGTTGAATTCCATGAAGACTCTCCTGCTCTTCGAGATTTGACGATGTTACATGTAGGTAAACATTCAATACATCTGGTAAATTTGCATCCCAAAGCTGTAAAATTGTTGAATAATTATTTGATTTGCGACATTTGTAAAATACAACATAAAAAAGGGAAATGATAACCGACAAAAAAAAAAACAATATAATTGCCATGACAAGATGGCGTATACGGAATTGAAATATAAAAAAAAAAAAATGAAGAAATAAAGAGTGAGAGAGTGCTTTTAAATAGAGACAAAAAAGCAACATACCTGTCTATTGACTGAGTTTATTAACTCAACAAACCACTCAAACGATTTGACAGTTTTACAAATCCAGATTAAATAAATTCTCCTGAGTTTTGATTTTTTTAGTACATGCTCTTTTTGTCTGAAAAGAAATTAACTTCATTTATTTTATAATTCCAAATTTATATGAACATCAAATAAACAAGTAAACTTACGATATTGTGTTGAGAACAGCTGCAAATGGCGTAATACCGATTCCCCCAGCAATGCATAGTGACACGTCGTATCGAAAAACATCTTGCATAGCACTGCCGTATGGACCATGTGCATAAAATTTTGGACATTCCGGTGATTTTTTAAATTCGAATTTAATTTGTGTGGAAGCCTTATTGTTTTCATTTGATTTTAATGTGTCAGAAGAATATGGGCAAGACAATCCAACAGTTGATGTTTCTTTATTGTTTCCAATTCGAGAGTTAACACTCGTTTTCAATTCTCTCGTGTGTTCATTTTGAGAGAATCCACCCATGCGTAGCGGAATTTTATTGTGCTCGTCGGAAGAAGACAAATCGAGCACGCAAGTATGATCGGCTCTAGAGTTGAGAAATCGAGTTTCTTTTTTTTCCAATGAAAATTCCGAACATCCGTTGAGAATTAAATTTTTTGCTTTTGCTGAAATATGAATTAAAGCATATTTTATGTTTTACATACACTTTTCCAAACGTCTCTAGCTTGGCATATTTTATAAAAACTTAACTTGATATTTTACTGGTTGTTCCAACAAAGATATTTAATATTACGTTTGTTCAAAACTATTAAATGAAAAATTATTATTCCAAGTAATATCAGTCTTTCAGGAGCTCAATGTTTATAGCCAATTTACGCGCTACTTCTCGAATACAGTTTGAAAAGCACAATTTCCTAAATATCTACTAAAGTTATTTCATATGAATAAATATCTTACTTGTCCACTCTCCGCGTACAAGCATATGTATCGTAAAATTTGGGTTTGATTCATTAGGAAGTGACGTTAAAGTAAAAGGATGTTCCTCTGCGAACGATATTTCAGGACAACGCAGCCACACGCTCTAGAATGTATTTAAAATAAATGTTAATTTATGTTAACAAGTTAATTTTTAAGCAGAATAACATCATGTATGACATTTAAGCATATTAGAATCATAATGGACACAATACAATTTTTCGCAATTATAGCTCTAGAATTCGTATTATTATAATAGCGAATTAATTGATTAATAATAGATAACTGAAAGGTATAATCTAATTACGAGTGATTACATACCTGTCCAGGCTTTGCTACAAAATTTTTCTGGTAAAACTCGAGTTCGATGACGTTATTCGGGTGTTCCTTTACGCTGACAATTTCTAGGGGAGCTTTAGAAAATCCAATATAACGAGAGATTCTTTCCAGAATATACAAGAGTAAGGGAACGCTTATCCACATCCATGCCTAAAGAGATTATATAAGTAAAAGATTATTTGAATTCATTTAGTGGTCACAATTCTAGAATACAAATATTGAAGTGCTACGTACAAACTCATTTGATAGATAACTAAAAGGGAAACGATTCGATTCAAACTATATATGGCTGGTTAATCTCCAAGGGACATGCAAAGTATAATAACAAGACACCCAACGCAATAAATATTCTATTCTTGTGAAGAATGAATTATTTCCTACCTCCGTAGCACAGGATTTGAAAACTGGGTCCGGTTGATCACATGGTTGCAATCCGGGTTCAGGTCCAACTTCTGGCATAGGATGATGGGGTTCCGCTTCGGGAATCACATAAATCTTTTTCTCTGGCCAAGGATGGTGCTCTGGTTCGGGACGAGAAAGATTGTTGGAGCTTGTTTCCGGCATAGGATGACGAAATGTGTCTTCTGTTTCGGGAATGGGGTTTAAAATTACACCAGAACCTTGCGATTTCATTTCTGCTACCACTGAAAAATATAAAACAACGCTCAAATATATCGACAAAAAGGCCAAAACATAGTAGTATCAAATATTTTACAGTACCGGTATAGTATCCCTTATTAAAAGATTTCTCTGACCACCAGATCGCTGGAATGAGATAGTCACACCACCACACGGTGCGCTATTTTTTAATTTTGATGATGTCATCATACAAAACTTCAAGTGAAAACGTATCCCATAAAGCCAACAGAAATTTTTAGCATTTAGCATTTTTTAGCAATAATAGCATTTCAGCAACAACAATAATCCTTAACCACTCAAAATTTCAAAGCAATTGGTTCAAATGCGATTTCTTTTCACAACAACAAGAAACTAACAACAATTCGACATACGATCCAGGGGTGCACTTCCAAAAAAGTATTAGTCATTTCAAATTTCCAAATTGTAGGATGAGAATATGAAAATAGTTTTGAATTTGTTTGTTGTAGTCCAATTTTAGATAAACATTTAGTAAACAAATTAGTTAAACAACATATATTACTACAGATTCAGAAAATTACTTTTACTCACCACTAGGCGATTCAGCTTCAGGAACAGGGAATATTGTGGTCCAGTTTGTCCCATTTTCTTGGTACTTTACAAAACATCCAGGAATATGTTCTTTTGTATTGGATTGGTATTTTAAAATTCCACTGTAAAATGAAATGCAACATGTTTGATTAACATTAAATTAGGCAATAAAAAAAATTGTCAAAATATTACTACTGTGTGGGTTATGTTACATCTAATGTTTTTAGACCAACTATACAGATTGGAGGTTTCTGACGCTGGTTTGTTGAACGTTTAAGACGAACCCAAAATCCCATTTGGAATGTAACAATCTGAGTACGCAAATTAACGCAAAGATGACTTTGTTGTTTTTCAATAAAATCTCATTTTGTCAAGAGTTAACCGTACAAATTGTTATCGCACATTGAAGGTAGCCTATTAACAATATTCAAATTTTTCTTAAAAATTGCCGTGCTGAATTGTGTGACAATCTATATCAATTTGAATATGACGAATCGTCAAAAGTCTCGGTTCGTTTTCTATATATATATATAGCAGACAGCAAATATCGTTTGTGCAGGATTCTAAGAACCGTTGTCTATTCGTCTAAATCTTATAAATATATCTTTAACTTATTAGGTCATTTAAAATTCTCAAATTTCTAAACGGATAGGGATTAGTTTTTAATTTCCCAACCTTTTAACAACAAAAGAAAATTAAGGTTTCATATTACATAGATAATGTGTTTCTAAAATAATTCAAAAACCTAACAATGATTCATTGGCGCCGTATGCCATCCACTGGTATGAACCGTTATCCACGGCTTCAATATAGTTGATATTAAATATAGAATGTGAGCTAGTTTAATGAGATTTACCCTATCCAAATTTGTTCTTTTTTTTATTCAAATTAGGATTCATATGCAAATCTTTTTGTTTTAGACATCGTAATTTCAGTGTCACGTTCACGACAATGTTTAATCTATTTTCAAATACTTCTGCAAATTGGTCATTAATTAAATGCACTTTCATAAACTGTTTCGCTGTTTGTGAAATACTATAACAAAGATTTATCTTTAGATTACGACGGCATAAATATTTTCTATAGTATTCTGATCTGAAAAGAGAGAAATCAAATCGCAAATACTGTTGTAGGCGTTCACACGGTTATTTTCAAATTGTTTCCGTGTACGTTATCGTAACGCCTCAATTAGGAGTAAATCTTTGATGTTGTAGTAAATAGGTATTACATCGACTGTTTTGCAACGGATATCACGTGCTTACTCTAAATCAAAATTCACACCCACACAAATTAAACTGCCTTCATTTATGAAAACATGGAAATATCATCTTTCTGTATTTTTATTTTGCCATTTTTACATTTGGATGGTATTTCAAGTTGTGAATAAAGTTTTCCGATTCACTTTACGACTCACTATTGTTTATATTTTTCTTCACGCCGTGTTTCACTATATGTGTTGTAAATAAATTTGTGAAATGACCTGAACCGAATAAATATGGGAGAAGCTGCCAAATGAACGATGTAATTGATCAAATTAGAATTGTTGGAAATATCAACATTAAACAGAAACTGAATATTATAATTAATGTTTTTTTTATGAATTTTTATTTTACGCCAAATCCTTTTAGTGACTGAAATACTGACGTTGAGGCGCAACTGGTATAACTCATTCCAAGTATACGTGGGTGTGGCTTTTATTCACGGAGAAATGGATGGATGTTTTAATCGCAGAGAAATATCATTTTATTTATCAAATCAGCTTTATTAATACACTCTGAATATGCAATTTAAATTCTACATTTTTACCGTTTTATGCTACTACAAGTTTTCAGAAATTTATCAATTTTGTATAATTTTATATTTACTGTATTACGAATGACCTCTTTTTGATAATTGTGAACTTTTATATTGGCAATAATTTCTCTATTCTTTTTTAGATCGCATTCTTTGTTTTTGTTTATTCTTTTTATTCATTTAATCATGCAAAGAATAATACTTGATATTTGAAACTCAACATATTCGTGGGTTTAACGCCAAGACGTTCACGTCTCTTCGACAAAATTTTTCATAGTTCAAGTACCAAAAGAGGTCAAACACACATGAAAATACGACTTTTGAAACCCAAAACAAATTAGACTGGAAAATTATCTCGAACATGTATAAAATGACCATTTTGAATAGTATCAAGTTTCAACGATGCAGACATGTAAATTAATACAGACAAACGATTTTCGTTACAGACTGCTCATTTAAGAATTTTCCAGATATCTTGCCGATTGCGCGTAAAGATGAATACTTTGTATCACGTACTTTTCCATACAGGATACACAAGTTGTAGTCTTTGGTACTGCTTGAGTTCGACCTGAAGAGTGAACTGTCTTTGCTCGCAATTTTGATATGAACCTATCAAAAATCTATTACTAACCGCAATCGAAGTTTTGAACCTAATCATTGACAGCTTAAAAGCAGAAAACCCGTGCGAGACGCCAAAAATTCTAAATATGTCGTTTATATGTCTAATTTTGCAACACCATATAAAAACCAAAATAAATGTTTCCATTTCGGCGTTTCGACATTTCGGAAATATTCAACAGAAAAACCAGACGCACTTGAAATCTGCGGTATTATTTGTAACAATTACTACAAATTATCGTAAGCCAATCCTGGTGCGAGTATACTCTACCGCGGAGAAATTCAAATAATCGTCGCGGTAGGAAATAATTTCTGGCTCAGAACTATCATCGATTCGTACATGATACAAACATTGAGTTGATCACACTGAGAACGTACTTAGCTGACTATTGCCTATCGCCGTGTTTAATTGGTGTCGATATCAAGGTGGCCTTTTAAAGCCAGCTTAAATAATCTTTTTGCGTAGAGGTACTTGAAACGCCTTTTATCAAAAACTTGTATCTTAAGTGCAAACTATGCCAAACGAGAAGTAACCGCTGAATTTGAAACCACGAAGATTCTCAGTTTTGAAAACGATATATTTTTTGAAATAATAGTATAATTCGAAAATATAAACAACCATTGAACCATATTACCTGAGTATGAAATACCGGTAAGGCGCGCCATGCTAAGCGTTAGGAATACGCACCTCTGATTACTCCGCGCGGTTTGCAGAATTAGAAACCTGTGGGTGATAATTATGGGCGAGAGGAAGGCTGGACTCCTCGCCGTAGTAGGTTGGTTCGCATGGCCGCTGGGCGGTTACGGCTTCTGCCACCAACAAGTCGATGTATTTGAAACAAATAGCAGACTGACTACTTTCATACCCGACATGGAATGGTAATCGGACGAGAGGCCGTGGTTCGCCATATGGTTAAGACGCCTTATCGACTTTCCTCTCCCCGAGATATTAATGTAAATCCTATCCTAAGAATAAAACAACTTACCTGCATGCGTGTATCAGAAGCAATGCATAGAACAAAATGAATAAATGATGAGTCTTCCAAAATCTTCGATAATTTACTCGTCTGTACAAACAAAAGATTGAAAAAAAAAATGAAGAAAGTTAATAAAAAAAGGCCGTCACGTGGTTTATATATCACGAATTAAGAAATCGGATCATTAACGTCAAATATAAAATATATCTTCATCCTATTCTACCCTAATTTCTTCGTTACCCCTACTTTTTGTGATGTCGGACAAATATAACAAATTTTCTCGGTATGAAAAACATTATATCAGATGTATTATGACAACGTCTTTGAAGCATACTTTTAATTTTCAGAGGTATGCTGTATTTGATGTTCACCATTCAATGAGCTCAATACAATCACATCAATATTTTATTTTTTAAAGCCCTAACTTGGACCGCCAGTGCGAAACACAAACGAAAATCCGACAGCATTGATTCAAATGTCATGCTAAAAACAAATCGAATATACTGTAACATTACTTCAAAGGCAGGGTATCTTGGGCTACCAAATAATAAACGTACCTCAACGGGCCTGAAGCCGTCACGGCTATTGTTAGCAAGCACGCGACCATCAGAACACCGGACACACCAGGAACTGACGTCGCAACAATTATTATAGGACTCTAAAAAGCAAAGAAAATATTCATTATAATGTGATATAGCTCACTACCCGTACACTATCAAAGTATTTGGAATGAAACTTTTAACTATATGGTGACCATACAAGTTTTTGATCAAGATTTCAAATCCAATGTCTGCGAACTTCAAACATGAGGTAATAGTAAGGCCAGACTATGCTAAACTGAATCAGCATCAATCTTTTAAAATGGTGTGTATAAGTATTACCTGAGGCCAAAATTCGAACCACCGGGGGGAGTTACGGGTTTCTTCCGTCAATTTGTAAAACAACCAACCGCAGAATTTTAAACATTTTCTGAAAAAGAGAACTAAAAACAACTGTACCTGATTGGCAAAAGCTGCAACGTTGATTGCTAGAAATCTCGTATTGAAGTATGTACTAAAATTCACAGCGTTAAAAGCGTGAGCTCCACAGTGTATTGCTGTAATATAAATTTATCGCATGATAAAGATAGTCGTTGATAAATAATTAAATATATAAATACTAAAGGTAAGAAATAGAATCATGTCGTATCGGACTAGATCACTTTAGATTCCAAGGTATACTGCTTACAAAATGTGTATCTGATAAAATACGTGACTCAATCTAAGCATCGTGGGAAATGGAATTCAAACTTTCTCAAACGAAGTAAATAAAACACGAAGAAAACATTGTTATTTTGGTAACTGACTATTTCCCAGAAGTAAACGGGTGTTTGTTTACTTCAATGACAAGTTATAAATGACCAAAAATGCCGTCAAAAAACAAAAACTTTATTTCAATTTTTTAGTAATTGAAATATTCAGCATTCTTCTTTTATGTTTTTATAAATTCATGATCATACGGGGATACACGATTTGACACGTCGGTGCAAATTATACCGATAAAGAGTATTTGAATAATTTATATAAATTTTGATAATTTTCAGTGTCTTTGTTGGAAGCATACATGTCATTTTTATTCTTTTTCGAATTTCCGTCACGTCTCATTTGCAAGAACTTTTGTTATTTAATCGTCCAGTTCGTTTCCGACTTTGAATTCAAAATCAAACAATAAAAAACAAAAGATTTGGTGTCAAAGGGTCTCCTTGAGGAAGTCTGTGACCGAATGCGGTAGACTCTATTGTGTAAACCATGTTTTGTGAGAGTACCATCGGAAACATCTCTTGTAGGGTCAACAAGCTTGTCAATGCTTACAACTACGACGGCTGAACTCGAAAATGAGGAACAGACAACCACAAAGGTATGACGTCATAGAACAAATAAACATAGGATAAAAATACTAGATCTTGATTTGATCTGTTCTCTAGTCTAGGTAAATAATTATTGATAATTGCAATATAGATTGGGTTTTAGTGCAGATTTAGAAATAAATATCAATTAGTAAACAAGTAAAAACATGATTTATTGATCTATTTTTAGAAACTTAAAATGAAATCATTCATGATGTGCATGGTACAGTTTACTGCGCAACTTGCAAGGCGCAAGCAGTGTTAGAATTTGCTTCACATATAAGTTTTGAGAGAAGCTTAATGATGAAAATAGTATAAATTGCATATTCTTCAACCCCTAGAATAGTCTGAAAATTTGATGATCTGTTCCTAGTGGTTACAGCGCTTGAGCCCATCCTGTTGGAGCTATAGATAGGAAAACCGAAAATATTCTGATTTTCCACAAGTAGCTAACTAATAATATGTAGATAGTATACAATTGAAGATTGAAATCAAGATTTAAAACGTGGAAAATTTGAAAATCAAAGTTCACCAGTGAAATATAAGATAGATGTTTTTGGAATAAAAATAATGGAACATTTGTTACAAATTTACTTCTAATCACGAAGACTAATGTTCAAAATTGTTCAAACGAAAACACCAAAGTATTCCGAGAAATAGAAATTTGATTCAAGATTCAACTACTATATATATGCATATCTTGAGCGAAACGTGAATAAAGTATAGTCTTTCCCCACAGTTGTCGTTTCAATCTACACGAAGGGAAAGACAAATATTTTGGACCCAAACACTTGCGGGTAAAGTGCAAGTTTATGGATTTGTATTCCGGCCATAATTAGTATTTACAACAAATAAATTGCGCAACTCACCTGACATTAAACACAGCATATACGCACAAGCAATGTGAAATGATTTGCTTTTGTCCATTAGTCTTCTGCATTGCCTGCAAACCTGAAACAATTGTGAAATCAGATTTGAAAAATTATCCGTATGAGCAAATTCAGACTAATTTAAATAATTGATTTAATATAATTTCGCAGTATTTTCATTTTTTGCTGACTGGATGTTTCCACGAAAAATCAGATAAACACGACAACACCAAATACCATAAATGGCGTTATAAGATTGATAACATTTTTCTCAATTTAAACTAAATTCAAGTTGAAATGACATCAAAGTTTGATATATGATGAAAAATTACAGAAAACTTGGTTTATTGAAACTTGTTTTTTGAACATTCATCAAGTTTTTGAAGGTGACCAAATATTATTATTATTCTCCTTAATTATCTTCTGAACTGAACTTTAGGACATATCATAATTTATCTTATATTATCCTAGACACCGGATATACCAAATGGTTGGGGTTCAAAGTTTATTATACATAAATAATTACTTCTGGAAAATCGCGATGAGCATTTTTCCTTACGATAGAATCATTTGACCTATTAAATTCAGTGACTTTTCAAAAATATGTAACAAATCTGGTACCATTGGTCACCCAAAGAAAGTGTAACTTACTAACCCAAGGAAAACTTCTCAATATCCGTAAAATACCTCTACACATTGGCAATAATATCACACATGCGTTTAAATTAATGCATGCCGCAGTTGCTCTACTGATGCATAATCCATACTGTAAAAAGAAAATAAATCATAAAATAACAAAGCAGAATTGTATTAAATTCATTTTTCCGGAATCAGCGATTGGAATGAGTTTCATATGCATGAAATAACAAAAAATGCTTTTATGAATTCTGCAATTATGAATTAAAATTGCATATATGTCGATAACAATGACATGTACCGGAAATCTGCATCTGCGTGTCAACAACCGGATAAATTTGAGCTCAAAACCCAAAATATGAAATATTTCGAAACATTTCTAATTTACTAGAATGTCAATAAACTAAATAATATTCGTTCAAGTTAAATCAGACAAGAAATAAATAGCCGCATTTTCAAAATACTTGCTGTGTAGCAATGTGATAAACGCTGAGATTGATGAAAAAAATACGACATTCATGTACACAGTATATTTATGGATACTGAATGTCAACATACTGCATTTAATTTTATTCTGAATATTCAACAGTGCTATAAAGTTACAGACAAATCAACTAGAATTGTAAGTGCAAACAATGCGCGGCCCCTAAACTAGAAAGACATCTAATTTTGGAAAAGATTCCAACCGCAATATCTCTGTAAAAGGTGTTTTAAATTTTAGTATTGCATTTTTAAAATAACTCTGCGTCCTCAAAATCGAGATATCTCCTTCTAACCACAAACTGCGACAATTAACATTCCTCGACTCGAATGACAGTTAATCCAACGCAAATAAATACTTAAATCGGTGACTGCACAATCCAAACATACTAAATCCGTAAACAATTTAAAAGGCTTGATTTCGGCATATTTGAAAACACTATATATTGTCAAAACAATAGCAAAAAGCGTGGAAATTTTGCTGAAATTCTATACTATTTTTTCATCGTGATAATAAATTGCAAGTCAAAAGAGAATTTAGTTTCAGAAAGTCATAGTCGTGTTTGGGATTTTATAGATATAATTTTTCAATTACACATTTCTGTGAAGAAAATTTGTAAATTCTGCACTTAATATTTACAGAAATCAAAAATTTGTAAAAGTAAGCAAAAATTTAATTTACCGATAATATTGTAAATCTGTTGTGTTTTTACCAATATCATTACTATTTTTGACAATAAAACATTTATGGTTTTCAACAAAACTTTTCAAAGTATTGGGCAATGAGGCAACAAAATAAATGCATCGTAAAAAGCAAATTTTTAACAGCAAACCATCATATTGAAATTTTATCTTTAAAATTGTAAATGTGAAAACTTTGAGAATAATAAAAATAACAAGATGAACTCTCACCCCGAGCATCTGGTGAAGATAATAAAATTGTGGTCCGTAGTAATAATAGATAAACGTGAAGTAAAATAAGATAGTGTTGACTCCAAGCCACAACACCTGTAAAAGAAATAAAGACGTTGTTGAAGATCAAATGTTACCAATTTTTGTTGATGGAATAGAGTACGGGTAAATACCACCATTGAACGTTCAAAATCCAGGAATAAAACTATGAATTCACCAACCATCTTGACATCAAGTTGGGTATGGCGAATAAATAAAAATCAAATTATTTTCCACACTAGTTGAATCTGCTATTAAAAATGTCGAATTAAATGAAGTGGTCAGGCTACGATGATGAATAATAAACTGATAATAAAGATGAATTGAATTAGAGAACCAGATGGATGGTTGCCTGGTATTTGTTACCATAAGACCACACGAGATTGAATATGGTTGAAACCTCATTTGGGAGCTAGGCATCATAGGTGATCACCATGGATGATTAACAGAAGAAAAATCAAACACTGTAGCCATGCCAGGAATCGCTATATTGTTGGACTAAATTCTTCGCTTTGAGAGACTTCGATGTTTCTTCACATCAAAGCTTTGTAAGTTGGTTTTGAAAATTTTCTCGCTATTTTTTTCAAAGATAAATGTCTCACGTAAAAGCAAGAAGCTGTGAAAATGATACGGACGCTTTCGTGACATGTGACCCATTCAACACCATTAGGTTTTAAATATATTGGTCAAATTGTCATTATCTTATAAAAGTAGCAAAGAATAAATAGAAATTTTGGTATTCGGCACTAAAATTTCCCGACATTAAGATGCTCAACGTTCCTACGTATAGAGGTAACATGCATGACGTGTTGTCATACTTGATTTATCATATTTTATTACAGTTTTTAATCATATAATTACTCGCATCAATTTTTAATTACTTATTCTAAGGAAAATATTCCATTTCTCATTTTTGGGGCGTGGAATAATTAATCACAGATTCTAAATTGCCAATTTCGAATCTTTAGTCTAAATTATACTCACGTGCAAAACTAATTATGTACCGCCCTTGTTTTATTGTAATGACCCAGACTTTGGCACAGGTTGTCATTACTTTTTAATTCTTACCGTACTGGAAATAAATGAGAGTCTGAACCATTCAAAATGGATTTTTCAAAGTTTAAAGTAAAAATTTACAAAATCATTTTTCAAAACATTATTGCTCGGAAGGACTCCTGAATGTAAAAATGATGCTTTTTTAAATACCGCAAAATTGATATTATTTTTCAAATATGACACGGAAACAGATGACTTGATAACAAATGATAAGTGCAATCAAATGTATTATTGTTCTAATTTGGCAAAAGGTCATGTGGACTGGTTTCCGCGTCTTCACCCGTTACTAGTTCAAAACATTGGTTCTTGTGGGCAAAGCTCATATTTCATTTTTTTTTATTCTCAATTTTTTGGACTTTTTACCTCTTGTCTTGTACTTTTCATAGAAGTAACCAGTTTTGTGGATAAATAAATTTACAGAAATTTTCTAAAAATGGAGTATACTTACATAAATATAATATAATATACCAGATACACAATAAGTAAAAAAGCTTCGGATGGATTTCCACGTGATGACGCAATTTTTGCAAAATTTGTAGTAAAATGGATGAAGAGAGATATAAAATAGGAAAAATATATAATCAATGATCTTAAATAGAGTCACTCTGTAATCTTAAACTAATGAAAATACCAAAGCATTGACAAATTAGTTGGAAAAATGAGAGTTTTGTACCAACAGCAACATGACCAACTATAATTTATCAAATTCTCTTGTCCAATTTACTCCTTACAATCCTATGCAACAAGACGGTCAATCCGTGACTAATAAAAATCAATTAGGTTGGCTCTCGTTAGCTATGCCAGTTTGGATGAAAAAAAGAGAGTAAAATTTCGATTTCATCTAAGGGGAATTTCTTTCGCCAGTCATAATATTAATCAAAGTCGTTCTTTTGCGCCACCAGACAATCTGTCTAATTTGACAGCAAAATTTATTGATCCATTTTGTTGTGCTTTGACGCTAATGATGAACGTCATTGTCACAAGATGGCACTTTCTAAACAGTTCTGAAACTTCACCATTTACAAAGGTCAAATTTATACTGATGGTTTCCATATATGACATCCGGTATTGTTCATGCACTTAGGCGATATGATTAATACTAATTAATTAGGCTGATTTTAATTTGTACCATTAGATTGAGTAATACGTTTTTTTAAATAAAGTTTAGTTTAAAACAGGTTTGACATGAAATATCCGGAAAAAGATACTTGAAATTATGACAGAAATAAATCATTTTTTAATTTGCAATTAATTTTCATGTATGTCATAAGCGTCGGTGATCGGATTTGATGATTGTTTGAAACAAAAATAGACGGACCTGCCTGGCGTTGGACACAATGAACTAGGCCATCGCCTTGACATATGCCGTGGACTAGAGCTATATGGGCCTCAGATTTCTGAGAACTTTTTTGGCACAACTTGCATGACGCAATATTTCTCCCAAATTCATTAGTTTTATAAATTAATCAACATTAAATAATCCCAAATTAAATTAATCCTTTTTGGAAATGAATGATTGTGGGACGATGCTCCATGACGGTGGTTCTTGAAGTATGGGTCGCGGAAGGTCTAAAAATGGGTCGCGCCAGGGCCATGGCCAAAGGTGTTCTAAAAGAAAGGGCCGAATCTGTCAGCTGGTCCAATGTTCCAATTTACACTAAACTTTGGTATTTGAAAACTATACCATATTAAATCTCATGTACGGAAAGAACTGTCTTGAGCGCATTGTTGCATCCCAATTTATATAGATACCAGTCACGTGTCTTGTTTTATGGTGTCGATAACCATGCACATCGCTTGTCGTTTTGTTGACCGCGCAAAATTCAAGTAAATTCTCTAAAAATTGAATAAACTTACATAAATATATTATAATTTACCAGATACCACGTGATGCCGCAATGTTTGAAAAATTTGAGGTAAAATGGCTAAAGAAAGACTTAAAATAGGAAAAATATATAATCAATGGTCTCAAATAAAGTAACTCTATAATCTTAAACTACTGATAATTCTAAAGCGTTGACAAATTAGTTGAAAAAAATGAGAGTTTTGTATCAACAGCAATATGACCAAAAATAATTTATCAAATTCTCTTGTCCAATTTACTCATTACAATCCTATTCAACCGAACGGTCAATTCGTGACTAATGAAAATCTATGAGGTTGACTCTCGTTAGCTATGCCATTTTTGATGGAAAAAAGAAAGTAAGATTTCAAAAAAAGGGAATATCCTTCGTCAGTCTTATATTGATCAAAGTCGTTCTTTTGCACCACTAGACAATCTGTCTATTTTGACAGCAAAATTTATTGATCAATTTTGTTGTGCTTTGACGCTAATGATGAACGTCATTGTCATAAGATAACACTTTCTACACAGTTCTGAAACTTCATTATTTACAAAGGTCAAATTTATACTGATGGTTTCCATATTTGACATCCGGTATTGTTCATGCACTTAGGCGTTATGATTAATACTAATTAATTAGGCTGATTTTAATTTGTACCATTAGATTGAGTAATACGTTTTTTTAAATAAAGTTTAGTTTAAAACAGGTTTGACATGAAATATCCGTAAAAAGTAACTTGAAATTATGACAGAAATAAATCATTTTTTAATTTGCAATTAATTTTCATGTATGTCATAAGCGTCAGTGATCGGATTTGATGATTGTTTGAAACAAAAATAGACGACCTGCCTGGCGTTGGACACAATGGACTAGGCCATCGCCTTGACATATGTCTTGGACTAGAGATATATGGGCCTCAGATTTCTGAGAAATCATCGGAAAAGATTTCCATGACGCAATATTCCTCTTAAATTCATTAGATTTGAAAATTTATCAACATTAAATAATTCCAAAATACGTTTATACTTTTTCGGTAGGAGTTACTCCCTTGTATTTCTTTTATATAGTTCTTTTTCTTTTTTCAACTGAATTTCGGATGGAACAATATTATTGACAATAACATTGATCATATTATTTTATTTTTTATTTGATCTTGCTAGAAAAGTTATATATTATTAATTGATATATTTTCAAGCAAAGTTGAGGGCGATGGAGTAATTAAAAAAAAATTACTTACTAGTTACACAATCTATGTTTTAATTTGAAAACCTTGTAAATTTTACAACGAAAATATAATAATTAATTCTTTAATCTTTTTTAAAAAAAATCGAGGTCTACTGACGTTGAATTGATGTACCTGTTTCTGTTGCGTTTTGTGGAGGGATATGTTACGATTTAGAAAGTAAACACCGTATCGTTACGAAACTGGTGTCAAATTTAATGTTGCATGCATGCGAGACAAACGTGCACGATAAATGCCGGCTATCAGATTACCAAATGTTTTGTTTTGTGTTAATGCATTTCTAATTGTCTGTCAATGCCATGGTATCGAATTTCTTCGACACTTGTGTAGAATATGTCATAGAATTATAGAAAAAAGCACATTGCTTTGGGTTATATATTAGTTTCAATATTGTTGAGATAGGCAGGAAGCCAATGATAAAAATTTGAAGGTTTTTTTTATAATAATGACAACTATCTTTATATATTTACATTGAAATTTTTGATATTTTTATGATTAATCGGTCTTGCAATAATTTTACTTATGTAATTCTTATTTTCTCTAATTTTAACCAAAAAATATTTAACTCTTGAAATAAATTTATAACATCGTTTGCTACGCAAGGGCCAAAGATTATGTGCTTTGGAAATATTCCCGACTTGAAGTACTGTAAAATGCAAAATAATACCATGCTTTTTCCTAACAGACGGCGTAATAAAAATTACGCTATTCTTTGAAAATACCAACACGGCCTGGCACGCTTGGCCTATTACCAATCCGATTTATCTTCAAATATTTTCTAATTTAGGCTTCTGTAATAGATGGCCGCGGCTCAAACACAAAAATGATCTTTGTCACGTACTTCGCCTTGCATAAGTAATAACATATTGGATAATAGTGATAAACTGCATTGTGACCGACTTTTTACAAATACTTTTCTTGTATGGTCAGCAATCTTATCAAGAACACAATTTCAAATATGATCAGTAAATGTAAAGGTAATTGACAGTAATTTAATAATAATTAAAATGCTTTCGAATGGCCGTGTGAGGAAGGAAGATAAAATATACAAATTTTTTCAACATCGTATCTATGAAATTTATCGAAAATATATTGTTGATTCCGAATTATTCGAGTTTGTATATTTCATTATTGCTATTAATAATAAATATCTAGTAACCCAATACGCTTACGAGTCCAATATTACGATTTCGCACTTAACATTTCGATGTACCCCTTTTGACACGTTGCGTAATTTGTATGAATAAGCATAAATTTTATTGCAAATAAGTATGAGTAATAAAAGGTTCCAGCAACCGAATGCGGAGATTTTCAGCAAAATTGATTTTTCGTGGTATGGAATTATTAATTCAAATTGCGGGTTTCCAACTAGTGATCAGAGCGGGCACCGCTTACTCCGACTAAACAAAATTTGAAACTTAACAAAACTTTTCAGTTTGGGGGATTACAAGTTCAGAGGCCATTCGATTATCTAATCGGGGAAATCACTTTTATAATCGACGACTTGAAAGATTCAATTATATTTCAGAATATGACAAGTTACTGAATTTTCGTGGTATCGGCGATATAATAAAATGTATGTAAGATAGTATTTAATTCTCGAAAAATAACGACGTCGATAATACGGTTTGAATGGTAATGCGTACTCGTACGATGTATTGTCCGATTACAGTTCGAGTCTGGCATGGGTTGATGGGTATATCAGACCATTCCAGGGTTTCGAACAAATAAAAGTGGTTGGCGGAGGAAGCCCGAGCCGATCACTAACGATTTCTCGAACCAAATTTAGCGATTTTTTAATTGATTGCTGTCTCACCTGTAATCAATTTATACAGAACCTCCCTCATGTGACGTTGCTGCCAATATTAAGAGAATCGTGACGAAACAATTATCCAATTTTTGTTTGTCAAATAGATACAAAAACGTGGTATTTGTACAATTTGTTTAGCAAATTCACACATTCCCCAGCCTGTAATTTCCCAAGTTCTACATGAACAAGTGAGCGTTATAGATTGATACGAAATTTTAAGTAAGGTTTATCTGCGATACACGCTTGGTTGTATGTGCAAATGTATCTAAACTTGACAAGTTCAAAATATACATTCTCCCACGTCAAAACCATTATTTACAGAGCTTAGGCGGTGAAGTTTTATTTTTTAATTAGTTGAAATAACATAGTCTGTCCGCTAGTCAGTGAAGATAAATACGTAGAATTCCTTTTGGTAATCAATCTATCAAAAAATATTTGGGGTGTCGTTGAACGATTACTTTTGCAAAATATAGCTCAATTTTCGTATTTGCGTCTGATTTTACAGCTGAGTTGGGTTTTTAAAAAATGTACAAAATAATTTTGTAAAAAATTAAATAACATTTTTGCAGAACTAGTGTATTGTGATAATAAAACACATTACCATGTTATTATATTATTTTTGGATCTGTTATTACCAAATTTTAATTTAGTACATGCTTTATTCTCACGGATTTATTCTACGATTTGCAATGTGGTTTGCTACGATTGTGACGTATGCCCACCTAAAAACCTTGCGGAGAAAGCGTTAAACTCGAAAAAGGTATTACTTCGTTTCAGTTCAATTAACCATGCAAAATATGGAAGTTTTGTACTAAAAATTGCTCGCTTGTCTATCTTTAAAACCACTTTGGAAACCCCCGCCATTCAATATAGCCCGATTTATAATTTGAAAAGTTCATAAATTTCTTGAGTATTCTTTTACATATAAGCTATGTTTTTTCTGACTCATGCCGATAAAATCGAGTCGAAAAGTGAAGAGTATTAATCGCACTGCCGATGACACAGTATCCATAGCTACAGCCCCATTTACATATTCCGATCAATTCAGATTAAGAATGAACATAAATTCGATTTAGTAGGCATGGCCCACACACACAGAAGTTTTGTAATCATATTGTACGAAATACCGACTACCTCGTTTAAAATCGAGACGCGACTTCCGTCCTTATAACGGAGGCTAAAGCCAAAGAGAAATGCTTTTAAATATTGATTTAATTTATTGCTTGATCGCTTATAACTAGTCGCCGTTATTCTCTTGACTGTCTATCAGATTATGCAGTGTCGAAGTAAATATATAGAATAATTGGTCTATCTAATATAGAAAATGTTTATCGTTTGTGGTATTAAAAATTAACAGTACGTTAGAGCAACAGCACAAATTCTGGTGGAGTATGGATTGCCATAACTTGACTATTCAGAGATAAGCACCTGCATGACAATGCTGAATACAATTTTAAAAAGACGCAATTGAGGCAGTTTGACCTTTGTATTATGCGGAGAAAGACGATGCAATAGCGTGGCTGCTTTGTTTCATCATTTCAATTACAGTTAAGTATATAATTCTTGACTTAACAATATTTAAAATCGAATAGTCGAAGCAATCAGGAGGTTATCGTTCTTGTAAAGTTTAACAGATATATACGAATGAATATGTACATAAACCATATAGGCAAATGTAATACGTATAAACACTAGTGCTAGAACAATCCTACAATTAAACACCATTTATGCTTCGACGTTTTATGTGTAATTCCAGACGTAACAACGAGAACAAAAATTATGTGATTTAAATACAATTCCACTTGAAGCTATTATAATAATGTTTAAAATTACTCGTTTTGTTCTCAAATTAATCCAAAAATAAAACAAGGTAGTTGGCGGTCAAAACACTCACCAGAATCAGCAGTTTGGCGCCTTCGTTAACGAGATAATTTCTTACTCGAGGCAGCATTGTCGTTTTCTTGATAATGTAAATTCTTGAGAACTTGGAATATGTTAATTTTTGCGTTACAATGCTAATAACACAGTATCATGATAATATTTTCCTACAGAAAGCAAATAAAATTGAATACATATTTAGATTCGTACTGCACTGAACCCCATTGTGATTTTGGGCATTCGCTCTAATATAATAACTAAATATAATTTAATACTTTATGAAGAATCTCTTCACTTGTTGCTATTTTTGAATAAAATTTAAGCCTTCATGACCTGTAAATATTGGCTAAATCTTACGCATATCTTTTATACTACAGCACTTCTGATTCGCTACCTCTTATTACGAAGCGAAATGTGTATTTTATCACACCAGGGCATGCGCGATGCAATGAAAAATTTCGTATTTGCATATGCCGTCCACGCGTCATCGCTCGGCATATAAATGTCACCCACGACATATTTTTGTCCAACAAAGAAAAATCTTCGACTGTATTAAAAATGTCGTTATGTCTCAATTGCCCTCGTTCGCGATCTCTACAAAAAAAGAAAAAACAAAGAGCATGAAAATAAATTTTCCTGTCTGGCTGAGGCCGAACAGCTGATCGAAGCCATTTGTGAAAGGTCATTCGCAAATACCAGCATTTATACCGGCATGATACGGCTCGTTAACTTTCTCTCCAACGAAGATTTTAAACAAGGAAAAAATCTCTCGTTTTCCGCTCTCAAAGATCCCTTGGAGTCTACTATAGATTGAGCTTGGTCAAGTTTGAATTATAGCAAGAAGAAAAACAAATTGCACTTAATCACCGATTCAAAATCACCGACTATATATTGCACATCCTTGTTTCCTCTCATATGAGACAATTGCTTTTATACACGATTCATCTATAAATTATGCTTGGCCATTGTATTACTTACTTCGCCTTCTTGCTTAAATTTTTTAGGGAATGTGTATTCTTATGATTCGATAAGGCAGAAAATATGAAATTAAATGTAACTTTTGCTTGTTGAAAGTAAACCAAACTTTCCTCAAATTGGTATTTACCTGTTTTTGAAATTAGCTTACAAATGGTTTCCAAATATGAATCTTATCCAGTTTATTGAATATTTCAGAAATGTTATGTCTGCTTTTGATAACATTCCTGGTATTTATCAAATATTTATTAGGTTTGGATCTTTCTCCGCAATCAAAAATTGATTCCGATTACAAATGTCATTGCGTGTCGGTTATCCGTGTAGTCCCTGCTTTCTTGTGTGTAAAACAGACAGATGAATATAGTGAAAATGAAAGCGAAAAGTGGAAGGGACTTAAAATAAATACAGGGATGTGTCAACAAATGATGGAGGTGATCTGGCAGTAACTGAACAACAGCACTGGATCGATAATCGAAATTTTCACAAATGAATGAAATATGACAAAATAAAAATAAAAGAAAAGAATACATATTTCAAAATATATTGTATTATAGTTTTTTTTTTTTTGAAGAACTAATCTATCTTGACAAGTACAAGACCATAAATAATGTCATCAATACGTGTGTACCCTATGAATTCAAAAAATTAAAAATATCCTTGATATTGGTACATTTCAGTATTACGCTTGTCTTATCTTTATATATCTTAAAACGAGGTGATTTGATGATTACAAGAAAGGTGGTTTATATTATTCATCTATTCGTAACTGGCAACAAAAATAAATGAATTATTTCAGAGGAATTTATTTCTACGTTATTTTACTGTTAGTTAGTTATGAGCATGGCCATACTTGTTTCATAGTACCCTTTATATGATACCCAAACATGATCAAAATTTGTTCTATTTTGTGTTAAGTTTTGACTTGCGATTAACGAATGAACTGGAAAGAAAAAATCTTTCTTCCGATAATTCGCTTATTCATGTCAGATCCATTAAATATATCTTGCTAATGAATTCGTTTTCTAGCGAGCACTAGATCGTTTCCGTTTGTGTTGTGATGACGTCACGAATGGTCTGTAAGAAGAATCGGACTGAACGACGAATAGATGTTTCATGAATCGTTTAGAATCCGACTTCCAAATTTATCACAACGAACAAAATTCTAAATTGTGAATTGAATGTTATAAATAGTTTTATTAATTGATAAGTTTGGCTGCGAATGGTATTCCTTCCATGCCACTCTAATTTAGAGGGTCCGAAAATGTTTAATTGTAATTATAAATAACGCTTGAATTTTTTTATATTCAAGAGCTATTTTAAGTTTTATTGGAAAACATGTGTTCTTTTGCAATTGAAAATCCGAAACAAGATAAATATGAACAGAAATGAAAATTCGCCACATACTAGAAAAATTGTCATACTTTAGTAATTATAATCCGAAAATGTATTTTTTTCAATTTAGTCTAATATACGTCTTTCCCTTCCTTCCAGTCTCCTAATTCGAACTGCCGTATTCTTTCACTGTACAAGTGGGGTTTATGGTTTGACTAATCAAAACACTTTGTTTTTCTATTAATTGAAATGTGTTTATCATATCAATGTCAAATAGATTTGGTAACATACATATTGTTATTAAAAATTGTTTTTGTTGCAATAATATATGTTTTGTCATTTCTGCTAGTTTTTCAATATTTGACGTTATTGGATATAAAGGAGAAATGGTCACTTCTGACCGGCGGGCATTTTGCTGACCAGTATATAAACATAATGCAATACACATAACTGTAACAGTTTTATGATATCGGCCGCTTAAACTGTTTTGTTTATGTGTTATTTTACGATCCTTTTCTCTTGTTGATTGCCTGAATATCACGTGACTTTGATGTCATTGTGTGAATCCAGACGAATGGTTTTATGAGAGTCAACTGGTATCGGTGGAAGGTTTCAAAATTAATAACATTTTTCGGTTAATCAACATACTTGAGTTTTTAGATTTATATCAAAAGCTGTGTTGTTATTTAGCATTTTCTTTTGGTATTGACATGACGTAATCTGGGAATGTTTGCCAGTACATAGTGATTAATGCATTGACCTAACTCGATAGATTCCAATGTCCTCAAAACCTTTACCGCGCGAAGGTTTGGCAAATTAGGCAGAAAAGTCAAATCGGAAAGATTACTGACAATACAATGAATCACTGGTTGTACATAGCCTTGTTCAGAGTGATAACGTGACTTGGATACGGTATGCAGAAAGGTCATTATTTCAGCAATGCGTAGCCCATCCTTAAATGACTGCTTGTCGACTTATTATCGGATTCGATCGTTTGAAAATATCTCCATAAATATCTTTTTCGGATATATTTTAGGTTACTGTCATTGTTTCCGTAAATGTTTGCTCGTTACACCAAAACCATTGATAAAAAGACACTCGATAGGAAATTGTCATAAAAAACGAATGCGGTAATTGATATATCACCCGACTTTCGGAAATTAGTTTTTCGAGGTTATAAATGTTCTTTTTGAAAAACAATTATCATCTACATTGACATTTAAAATTCTGGTTTTCTGACTCCTAATTATCTGTTTCATTGATTGTCATTTTATATAATGTATGATGAAATTTTGTGAAATATTTCGGAAGTTCAAAAGTTTGCATATACTTATTGTTTCACAAATTACGAGAAATAATGCCAGAAAATCTTTTTTATGGATTACGTTATATATATATGAGTTTAATTTTGCCATTGACAGATTAGTCTGGGAACATTAGAATTAATTTATAAGAAAATTTTGAATCGCTTAAATATAAAAAAAATTCTGAAAAATATGCATTTTATTTATTCAAAATTTAATGTCTACAAAATCCGTCTAGTCTGCATTTGAGTTAATTATTCCAAATCTTAAGTATTTAGGTGACAAGAATATCCGTCAACGTGTGAGGTATGTGATTTCAGAACTTCTCTTTATGCAATAATTGCGATTGGTTTAGCACCGATAATTTCAAATTCTCAATCAGTAGTTTTAGTAGTAGAAAAATACAAATTCATTTTTTTGTTCAAACATACTGAAAAGAAGACCAAACAAACTTGACCCCAGAGTCGGGCCCATTAAGATTTTTAGTATGATAATTTCTCGTTTATTTATATGGAGTTAATCGTCCGGTTCACCCACACTGAAGGCATGTTATTCCATCCTCCGCCGCAATGGGTGGCATGTGGCTAATAGGTGACTTGTCAAACATATTAAGAGTTTTGATATGGTTACTTAACCTTCGTGTGTCCCTAAAAGCCTGGTGACTAGTGATTACCCATGGCGACTGTCATATTAAGTTGACATGTATTTTAAAGTTTAAACCACATTCATCAAAAGAATTTGCTGCTAAAACAATTTTGAAATAATACCGCCATTTCACGTTTATGGACATAAAATGATTTGGTATATTCGATTAAATGACAACCCATTTGATTTATAGATAGATATAGTCAATACAATAAATTTCAAAACCTTATCACTTTGGATATTGGCGTACCGTGTACCTACCTATAGGTGTAGAAATAGTGAATCTTTAGATGATTTTGTGAAAGGTCGGTATTTGAAACACATACTCAAATTGGAACCATCATTGAAACCCTGTTCGAATTTCAACTGTCACCTTATGATCCGCATTGAATTAGCTGGATTTTTGTTTATATATTTACCAGATCCCTTTTTTTTCAATTTACCAGCTTGTAACAGTGGATTGCACCGCTCTCGGAATTGCCTGTATTTGGATATAAACAACACATATCGTTTTTGGACCTCCTGAAGTATGCGCACCAAGATGGCGCACAACCTGAACTCAGGGTGTGTACCACGTTAGGATTCATGTTATGCGACATCTTAGTGCGCATACTTCAGGAGCACCTCGTTTTTAATAGTTGTGAATTATTATCACGTCGTATTATTGTACCATTCATTGGAAACATTCATAAAAGTTTTTTTTATATAAATAGCATTTATTGAACTCGGAACAGAATTCGATCTAACATTTCAGTCACTGTCGGATTTTTGCCGGATTTGACACAGCACTACTAGTGGTGAAATGTACTTGGAAAATGTAAACGAACGTATTTCGTATCGTATATCACGCAAGATATTTGACACTGGGTGGGAGATATCCAGTTGCTGAGGAAAGATAGGGGTAACTAACTGCGGAGTC